ACTCTTTAGGGACTGCACAGCGGCAGCCCAAAGTTGTCGCCCTGGCGGCTGCTCTGCATGAGAGGGGACGGGGGCAGTCAATCGGGTCCGCTCCCATTCGTTGCACAAGTGGGCTCCTCCGTTGGCTCGGAGCTCATCGGTGTCCTTCTAGCTGGCCGAGTGCCGACTCCGATGCGGCGGACAGAGACAAGACAGCCCAAGTTGGTGTGCGGCCATAGGAGATAAACGAAGCATAAGATACGAATGCACAAAGTGCGAATACGGAGTGAATGCGGAGTATGACAATTTCTACAAAATAAAATAAAAATAAAAACATAAATTGCTTGTTCTGCTGGGATGCGTATTCATTGCCTCCAGAACGAAACGAGATAGGGGCCTCCTGTCCTTCCCTTTGTCCTGCATACCCCTATGCCTACGTGTCTCTGCCGTGCCACCTTGTGGCCAACGAGTACGCGGATGTTGTCCGGCAAATCCCTCCTGTGTCTGGGAAGAGGAAGTGGAAGATTCGGCAGTACCGTGGGATGCTTTTCCATCATTTACTGTCGTTTTCAAGGTCTCGTATGCGCCCTATCCTCTACACCAACCCCTACAAATACGGGTATACTATGAGCCACAGTTGCCAGTTTCACGTCTTACCCCACCCTCATTGGCGGTAGTAGAGTGGCGGTCAGACAGCTACTCGCTGCGAGAAGCAGTAAGGCCTGTTCTGTGCCTGTCACCACTTGCTCTGTCTGCCCGTATTGCTCGTTTTCCCAACCATAGCCTACCTCAGAGTACGAGCAGCACGCATGCACCCTTACAGGACGGTCTCCGCCATCCATCTCTGCTATTCAATGAAACCATCCCGCGTGACGGCTTGCCGTTGTTGGCCGACTGCATCTCGGCACAAGTCCTCCGTAAGGGGACCAATGCCCTGCTCCGGTTTGCCACCTTGCTCGGCTTTGTTTCATCGCCGCCAGACAGTTTGGAGTATTGAATTTCGAGAAAACGAGCATTGTAGCGAAAATGCCTCATATCATGCCTGTTGTGCCGCTCACTTCCCACGCCGCTTCTTCGCCGCTCCATTGTGACTCCTCGTGAAGCAGCGGGCTCCTCTGGTAGAACTGGAGACAGGCAACCATGCCCATCGCTCGTATGAACGCCCATCCGGTGTCAATCCGTACTTTGGATATCTCCCGCACCTGTCGTATGAGAGGTCCGTCCATGGCTCTCGTCTCTTATCCTTCGGCCCGTTTGGCCCAAGCCACCAACCACGCCCAGCGTCCGTCGGCTGCTCTAGCCCGCTTCTGTCCCTATCGCTCTGCCATTTTACATATGCGCTCTGGTGACTCGGTGGTAGCTCGAGGCTTTGGCTGGCAACCCCACAATCACATCTCACTTTCCCCGACTCGTCCCGAGCATGATCGGGTTGCTGCAAAAGACACCAGACTACATAGTGCTCCGTACGTCAGCAGGTTTTCCAACGTGTTGGATGGTGCCAGCCAAGCGTGGGGGTACGGCAGGTCTGGCCTGGCCTGGCTAATCCCTTCGGCCGGTATGTTAATGCTCTGCCCGCGCTGCTCCTGGACAGCTCATGTGGTCGCTCTGCTCCTTGCTCCTGATGATCTCCTACTCGTACTCGCTCGACAGGACGGGTAATTCGAGGCGACAGATCCCACTAGGTCATTTTTCACTCATTGTCTATCCCGTGCTCCAACGCTTGTCTCTCAGTGGTGCTCTCGACGATGCCAGACGATTGTCGACCTCTGAGTCTATTGATGTCAGGTTGTTGAAATTTGTCTAGAGCTCTTGAGCTCTCGCTCCCTCAGCTTGCTCCTAAGCAGGAGCCCTGCTGGGAAGAAAGATAGAGGGGCAACAGCGGGGAATGACGACTGTCAGCCTCGCTCTCTTTCCTCTAGTGCCAACGTCTTCCAGAAGAGCACATGGGTGGAGTCGGCCCAAAGTGAGCTCCTCGCTTGGGGACCGTATTTCGAGCTTTTCAAACGAGGCAGAAAGGGTGACCTTTCATCACGTTTATTGAAGAGATCTTATTGAAACGGCTCTGGCGCACGCTGTGTATCGCTGCACGATACAGTATCGGTAACCACCCCCCGAAACTTGCGAGTGCAAGGAGCGACGACGAGGAAAAGAACAAGGACCGAAAGGCTTACTGAGAAAGGAGCAGTCCGGACAAGAGCGAAAGTGGCAAGCCCAACCTATCACGCCCCTTCCTCTTTTTGCCTTGGGACCAGCAGAGCCTCCATTCTCCCTCTTTTGGCCTTTTGGGCGTTACGTCATACATCATATTTAGGTTCCAAAAAAAATCTGCACATCACACCGATACTTTGCATTTTTACTGAGGCACACCGCAGCACCCACCGGAGAGGTGGTAGATGCCGCTCAACTACCGGGCTTGACTCTTGATCAGTGTTTCTAAGCTACTTACTCAATTCTTGGTAGTTGTACACGAAGCACTCGCTCTTCACCGTCTTCGCCGTCGTTCAATGCCTTCAAAGAGGCCTCTTTTGCCCAATTGCAACCATGTCACCTTTCTCCATGCCAAGGGACGGAGACAGCTTCGGGTTCGCAATACCGCTCTGCGGACAGTCTCGGCTGGTGCCGATCACGGCAATTGGCCACGTTTCGGTCTGTGGCGCCCTTGCCCAATCCTGTGGACCATCGAGATGCGGCCTGATGTGGAACACTAGGTATGACATCCTCCATCTCCTTGCCACCTCAGGCTCCAACTGCTGCTGGGCTGCACGTCAACGTTCGTCTAGCCACACAGCTCGCTCAGCCTCTTGGCTGTTCGCCATTTACCGCATTGGTACCTTACCTCGTGGCACCGCGCCAAGAACGAATAGATGGGTCTGTTGTGCATGCTTGTCATCCTGGCAGGCGTTATTCCATCCGAACACACCCCATCGTTTCCACATGGTCAGTGCTCTATACAGCCCGATCAGTGTGGTAATCGTTTCCTTCGTCGAAGCGAGCATAATTTATCATCGGGCGAGGTGCCCTATGGACAAAGCCTGTCTTATTGAGGATGTAAAGACCGATGTCTTTCTTTCACTACACACCTGCCGCCCTGTCTCTCTGGGCGGGTCCTTTGGTTAAAGCCACACCTTTTGAAGGTCAGATTGTGGAATCTATGGATTATATGATGCCCTCACCGACACAGCCCCTGATTTCGTGTGAGTCAGGTTGAATACTCAAGTCTTAGCAGGCCGAATTCGGGCTCAGCTACGATGGGGTACGATTGTTTTCATTTATCCTTCTCCTGCCATGTGGACGTAGGCTACTGTAGGTCATATAGCTTGGCATGTCAAGTATAGCTTCCAGCTACTAGGATTGCTTGTCACAAATCACGGGCCTTGGATCTCTGATTGTCGTTTGGGGGTGATTTATAGCCCATGCTTTCTGTCTTGCCAAATTGTGCCTAATTCGCTTCTTTGGCCTCGTACTCCACTGGCAGACTATTTCCCGTCTCGGGTATGCCTCGTCCCCGTCATGTTTTTGGCTCCGGGAATCCCGACGATGAGCCAAGGCAAACGGAGACTGGTAGGACTGAGCCCCTTCATCCCGTGCTAGTACTATCATGAGGCCGCATCCAGGCTCATTTCTATTCCTATTTGATCTGTCCGGTCCTATCATGGCCGTAAATTCGATGGAGGCTCGAGCTAGGACAGTGGGTATGTCCATCTGAGCCATCATGGGAACAGGGCATGACAAGAGAACTGTATTAAAATGGGGCTGAAGGTTCGGGATGATGCTACTTATCAGCTTCTTATTTGCCTGATTTCCGGTGCCTCTCTGGAATCATCTCGCCAGTCGGCCTTGTTGCCTCGTCCTAGCCACGTACTATGAGGTGTGTGCTGGGATAGACATGCCGGCAATGGGCGTTGGGTAACGACGATAGGTGGATGCAGCACAAGCTGATTGAAAACTGCCAGTACCACAGGTGCCCTGATTACCAGCGCCATGGAGCTGATGCCGATGTGCCGGGCTATGGTGCAGTAGGACAGGAGCAGAAGGACATGTGTTGCCCGACGCGTAGTGGGCTTTGAAGCTGTGTATCGTGTTGCCTCCTGACAGTAATATGGCCCGGTTGAGGCTTGTGGATGGGGTGTTCAAACTTGTATAAAGAGAATCAAAGAACCTCTCAAAGTACAATTCTGAACAGCACAGTCGACATCAACATCAACATCCACCCCCTCCTTAAACGTCAGAGATAACACCCATCCAACATTTGGAAAAGAGAACCGAGCTATAAAACCAACGTGATGCCACCCGCCGACTCGTCCCCAGTTCGTGACGACGATGATCAAAGCCGTCCACCATCACCACCGTCAGAAGTGATGCTGTACTGCTGTCAATGCCAAACAAAAGACACAAAAACGTTTGTGGCTAAAGGATCGAACTGCCCAAGCTGCCCTCATACCATCTCTGATTGTTGCCATTATCGTTACGACTAATGGAAGCTGGTGACAAGGGGCGGCGATTGGGAGACTTCAATCCTAGAAGGTTTGATTGAGAGAGAAGGGGAAGAAAGGGGAAAAGCGGACAGAGGGGCATGAGAGGAGGGATGACAGGAAAGAAGGGAACGGGGCGATATTGAGAGAGAGGACGAGGGAGGGAACATGGAGAGGGACAGGGAGGGATGGGGAGAAGATTGGAGAGAGAATTAGGGATCTGGCTAATCCTTTATTTTCTGGGTTTTTGTTTTATTTCTCTTTCTTTTCTGGGTTGCATGCACCCAAACACACACGACTGAAACAGACAGCCACCAGACAACAGAACAGACAACAGACTACAGACTACAGACTACAGATCACAGACAGACCACAGACTACAGACAGACAGAATAGACGCGTCTTATATTCTGACCAGTACCAAACTCATTAATTCCAGTCCTTTTCCAGTAATCCCATCCACCTTTCGTCGCCCCTAGACCATTCCGCCGAATTGCTACATTGGTATCCTGTACCCCTGTCCTTTCCGTCATGAACTCGAGCCAGCATCTACAGCGCGTCTGCATCCGTCGTCGGCCCAGGCGCTCCTCCGCCGAGATGGAAGAGCAGCTCGTCCAGCAGGGCGCACGTCTCAACCGGGTTAGCGACCCAGGCGGTGGTAGCGGCGCGGCGAGCGCGGAAGTCGTTTGCGCCGGCGCTGAGGAACTGGTCGCCGACGTGGAGGGTGGTGCCGGGACGGGCGGCCGTATGTGTGGTGGTGGATCCGCCGAGAAAGCGCAGGGCGTGCTGGCAGATCTGAACGCCCCAGCTCTTGTCGCCGATGTCGACAAAGACGTCGCGGCCACCGTTGAAGGCGCAAAACGGCACGCGGCCAGCACGACCGGCCGCGCTGACCTCAAGGCGCTTCTGGACAGTCAGAACGACCTCCTCAAGACCCTCACGTGACATGTTGGTTTTGGGAGCGGCTGCCGCCGGCACTATGGCCGAGCCAGGGCTGTTGCTGCTGCGGCCAAAGACGGCCGCGCCGGCGGCTACCAGCGGCACAATGCCGACGGCGCGGGCTTTGCGCAGAACGGTCGCCGGCAGCTGCAGACGCTCGACGCAGGCGCGCAGCGTCGTCTCGGCCAGGTCGAGCAGCTCGGCCACGTCGTCGGCCGGCCACTGCTTCATGGCGTCGGGCATCCAGACGGTCGGGGCCACGGCCGCCAGCAGAGCCGGGCTGTCGGGGCTGTAGGCAAAGACGAAGCTGGCCTCACCGCCGACGACGACAAGACCGTGCTTCTGGGCATCGGTCAGGCTGTCTGGTCCGGCGTCACGCACAGCACACAAGAGCCCATGCAGACGCTCGTAGTAGCGGTCGGCCGTGTCGTAGCCAGCCGCCGTGACGATGCCGACTTTGATGTCGCGGCGGAGGAGTTCTGGGTTGTCAGTGCGGCTCTGGCAGTCGGGCTGGTGTTTTACGTACCCAAGATCCGTGGAATCAGCGGGCTGTCCGGCTCCAGATTCTGGCCGTCCTCGTACAGGGTCAGGTCGCCATCAAAGGTGACGAGCTGCAGGGAAGGGAAGGACGTGAAAGAGGACGACGAGGACGAGGACGAGGACGAGGACGAGGATGAGGTGCTGCTATCGTCGCGTCCTGTCAGGGCCATCATCTGAGCCGTGTTGAGGGTCAGGCGGATGTCGTTGAAGGAGGGGGCGACCAGGCGGCGCGACGAGATGCGGCGACGACGGTCCTGGAAGAGAAAGGCGGCCTCGAGCGGCAGCGGGGTGAAGAAGGGCCCGACGGTGGGCACGAGCAGCTGCAGGCGCGACGGCCGTGGCGGCGGCCAGCTATCACGACGGCTGTCGAGCAGGTCGTCGCCCTGCAGCAGCCGATGCTCGGCCACCATGGTCTCGATGTCGCGCATGATCTCGGCGTAGCGACGCCGTACCTCGGCCGAGTCGGCGGCAAAGACGGCGTCGACATCTTCAAAGCCGCCGGCCGGCTGCGAGAAGAGCACAAACGGGCTGATGAGCAGGCCCTTGACCCATTCTGGGAGGGCGGTGTCAGGAAGAGTGAGGAGAGAGGCGGGAACAAGAAGGAGTGCGGCCTACCGATCAGCTGATCCCGGCGGTGCGACTTGAGGGCATCTGGCAGTCGTCAGGAGCGAGAAGGCATGAGGCGTCAATGACAGCAGACGAAGGAAGGCTCACACTCGACACGGTATCGGGTCGTCATGGCTGCGAAGACAAAGACGGAGAGGATGGGTCGGTGGGAGAGGACGAGAGGCACAACGTGGCCAGACCGACGGCTGTTATATCCTGCTGAATGCACATGGGTGCGGGGACCAACCGCGCTTCCAGACCGCCGTTGTGCGTTGTGCAGTAGCTGAGCTGCTCCCTGGCCGGTGTACACAGTCACGAGGCGGTGATGAAGTCATGCTCTGTACCACGTATCCGACTTATTATTGACGGCCGCCGCTTCCAGACTAGCGGCTGTTATTGAGCACCCGCCCGACAGCTAGTGTGGGTCTTCACTATCAGCGCTGTATCTTATCTTACAAAGCCTGTAATTGTACATATTCTAGGTATGTACATACTCCGTACTCCGTACATATGTACCTAGTCCGTAAAGTCGTAAATCAGCCGTCGAGGTCATGGTCCTCGTCTTCCTCCTCCTCGTCCTCCACCTCTTCCACCACCAGGCTGGCTGACTTGCCAATGGCCTCGAGCATCGTCTTGCTCTCGGACGGCTCGTGTACCTCTCGCGGCAGCATGGATGCGATCCGGAACTTGTATTCGTGCGTGTAGCCTTGCGGTCTGGTTTTTTCTTCCTCGCTGTCACTCGTGTTGCTGTCGCTCGCATCGTCGTCGTCGTCTTCGTCGTCGTCTGCCTCTGCTCGCCTCCGCTCCTCCTCCTTCTGGGCCAGCAGTCCGTCGACAAAGGCGTACAGCTCCTCGACCGGAACGTCTTGGTCAAACGCCCGTCGCACCCGCTCGCCCCCACACGACTCGGGCAGCTTGAGAGCTACACGCACAACCCCTGCTGTGCCTGCGGCCGGTTCTGGCAGCAGCTGGGCCTGGCGCCAGCGCCGCCACTGGCGGGCGAGCTTGACCTGGCGGGCCGCCTCGGCCTCCTGCTGGCAGAGCATCCGCTCACGCTCAGCCGCAGCCGCTTCGGCAGCCTGGCGCTGGCGGGCACGCTCGCGATCCGCGGCCAGCGACCGCTCGTAGGCGCTGTCCTGCTCAGCCCGCAGGTTCCGGCTAGACTCGCGGTCGACGCGGTCGGCACGCACGGCCGCCAGGTCGTCGGCATAGCGCTGCATGGTGCCGCGCAGATGGGCGGCGTACAGCTGGGCCGGAATGGGTCCGGTCATGCGTTTGATCGTGCCCATACGCGTGCTGCCGCCCTCCTTGGGCGTCACGCACACGACGGCCGAGAAGGGGAAGCGTGTCGCCTGAAACTCGGCTGACACCTGGAAGGCTTCGGCATCCCGCACGTTGCCGCCCCAGATGACAAAGTTGTTGGCCGGGTCTGCCACAATCGCCGTCACCTCGGGCGACAGCAGCGTCTCGCGCACAAACCGGTCCGTGTCGTCGTGCTCCGGCGACAGCAGCACCACCAGAAGATACTTGGGCTCCGCCTTGGCTCGGTCGTACACCTGCGCGTATCCGTCCTCGGCAAATGGCAGTGCCTTACTGCCGTACTGCTCCTCAAATTCGCGCCGGAACCGTGCGGCTGCGTCTCGCGGGCTCAGCTGTCGCCGGCCCAGCCGCTGCGAAGGTCCTGTTCCCGTCCCTGTTCCTGATCCTGTTCCTGGCCCAGACCCGGATCCGGACCCCAGCCGCCGTCGCAGAGACGGCACAAACGACGACAGATACTGCACTGCGCTCCACAGGCCCACGAGCACGCGGTAGCTCAGGTGCAGCGGCGACAAGAACAGCGCCACCAGCAGCGGTGGCCGCCATATTGGCGTCGGTGGCGATGGCACCACCCGGCGGGCTGCCTCGGTTCGCTCGACTGGCTGCACCTGGCGGCCGTTGTATTCTGCCTGCAGCAGCTGGTCTTGCAGTGACGGCTGGGCTGCGCGGCGGCCGTTGGGGCGGGGCGGCAGCGGTTCGAGCGGGATCTGCTCCTGCTCGCCATCGAAGAACTTGGCAATGGCAACCTGTCTGAGTCAGCAGGCCTTCTCTCTTCTTTCCTACAAGCATCACAGTCAGCAGCACGGCGTACCGGGACGCTCCAGTTCGACCTCCGCAGCAGGCCGACGGCCTCTGCCTGCGTCTGGTTTGTGATGGACACTAGCTGATCGAGAGACTCCTGCTCTTGTGGAGACAGCTGAGCTGCAGCCGAGCTTGCTGGAGTGGCCATGGTCGGAGGAGTGGCAATCGTAGGCGGATCGGGGAGGATAGACGAGAGTGACAAGGCTCGCTGGAGGGGAAAGGCCGGAGCTTGAAACGGAACTGGCAGATACGCACAGTTGCAACGAGGCTCTCGTTCAGTCGCACGTCTGGACGTCCCGCATCGGACACAGTGGTGATGATGAAGAGCGAAGAGCAAACGATACCTCGAAATGATGTATGTAGCTTTCTCGGCCAGACGCCTTACGTTATTACGGGGCCGCAGCCTGGGCTGGATAGCTGCATGTTGGCTCGTTTCGTCGTATTTGCTTTACATGCATATGGGGCACCATGTCATTACCTAATCGTTCCGCGCAGTCGTGGTTTCCCTGCCATCGGCGGGGCTGCTTGCAGGCTGGGCTTTCAATGCCATGCGTCCGCCACCAAGCGCCTGCCTGCCCTGTGCCCAAAAACGCATCGCCCTCCCCAACGCGATCCCGGGCTTGGAGGCTTGACCTGTGCTTTCCAGACAACATCAGAACGTGCAATGCAGTGTCCGCCCGCGACGAGACATGGCCACGACGACGCGATTGCGTCCAGCTGAAGCACTCGCCCAACGAACGTGAGCCCGGGACCTGGGGTCGTCTGGAAACAAGAAACAGAGGCCAGGAGGGTGGACAGAGGGCAAAAGGCAAAAGTGACCTCTTCAGGCCGATTGGCATCTCTGACTGAGAGCCCTACGCACCACGATTACACATACACACATCCGAACACACACGTCTGAACACACCTCCGAACATCAGATCCAAGATCCATAGCCAGCAGGCGCGCGCATCCCACCGCCCCGTTTATCTCCACCCATCCCGCCAGATGAACGTTGGCGAAAACGTCAACCACCAGGCGCCACTCGTCTTCTCCCGTCGTGAGGAGTGCGGCCACGGCACCGACGCCGATCTCGACTCACCGCCACCATGGCGTCCTCCAAAAACAAACTAAACGTGGACTCGCCCGTCTTCACGCCCGGATCCGGCCAGTCTCCTCTGCGCAAGACGGCCACTCTATCAATGCAGGCTGCCGCAGCCATCCCGTTTACCCCTCGGGGCAGCAGTGGTACGTTTATGTTGGGATGCATCTTCTTATTGTATCGTGTCGTGGCTCATCTTGCGTGTCCTGTTTATCGTCTTGTCTTCCGATTCTGTTGTTCTGCCCCCCCACCCAACTAACCGCTCAGCTGTCTCGACCAGCAATGCATCCTCGGCCGCTTCGCCGCGCGAGCAGCTGCGCGATCTTATCGCTCCCAAGGACTCTGGCCAGATGCTCTCGCGCGGCGACGTGCCGGCCTTTAACGTCGCCACGGCCCGTGAGTTTGTCCCGCGCTCGGCCGAACGCACGCCGCCCAACTACAACGTGGCCCTGGCCAGAGAGTTTCTCCTGCGCGGCGACCGCTCGCCCTTTAACATCGCTCAAGCTGTCGAGTTCCGCCCCGTCGCCCTCTCCTCTTCGGCTGCCTCTTCGGCTGCACCCATACACACCCTCCAATCGTCCCCCGAGACGACACAGCAGTCGCTCCAGTCGCAGCATACTGCTTCCACAAATGCCACTCCTGCTGCTGCTGTCACCAACTCTACCGCCTCCCAGCCTCCGCTCCAGGCCCCGACACAGCCTGCCGCACACATGCACATTCCCACTGGCCCGGCACAGAGCTCGCAGATCAGCATTCCCACCGGCCCGTCGCGTGGCTCGGCCAATAGCCACGCAAGCAGCGGCGTCGACGGTGTCAGCCACATCACCTCCGGCACCAGAGCCAACAGCGTTGCCGCTGCTGCTGCTGCTGCTGCCAGCATGGCTGGTCTGACTATGGCCGGCCTGACCTACGGCTTGGGCCCGGGCGCCGACGCCGCTGCTGCCGCCGCCCTCTATGATTCCTACAGCGTCGCCGGTGCTGGCGTGACCGCTTTCAACCCCTATGCTGCCGCTGCCGGGGGCGCAGGCCGTGAAGGTGCTGCGTATTTCCAGAGCCAACCTCCCTTTGGAACCCAGCACCAGCCGGTAAGCCGAGTCTTTTTTTTCTCTATCTCTCTCTGTGTGTGTCTGTCCTGCTGACCCACTCCCAGCTCAATGAACATCTATACTTTCCCCAAGGACCTCATCGCCAGGACCTTCTGCCACGCCAGCGCACGGTGCATGACTTCTTCCTGCCCGAGAAGCTCCGACAGGACGTCCACATGAAGTCGAGAGCAGGGAGCCAAGCCGCTCTGACGCGTGAGTACCACGCAAGCAGTCCTCTGCGTCTCTCAATCTCGGCTAATCAAAACAGTGTCAGTCAATGTCGAGAGCTACCACTCGCTGACGCCGTTGGACACCAACAGCCATAAGGTGGCCGGGTCGTTTGGACGGATCACGTGGCTTTACAAGGCAGTGGCCAGCAAAAACGGCAAGCACTACTGTCTGCGTCGGCTGGAGAACTTCCGGGTCAGCAACGAGAACGCACTTCGGGCGGCACGTGACTGGCGACGGGTCAGTTGCGGCAGCGTGGTCACAGTGCACGAGGCCTTCACGACACGGGCATTTGGCGACAGCTCGGTAGTGTTTGCGACAGACTACTACCCGCTGTCGGTGACGCTGATGCAGTACCACTTCCCGACATACGGACAGAACCGGCCTCGCGGCAACGTGACGATCCAGGAGACGATTCTCTGGGGCTACTTTGTGCAGATTACCAACGCGCTGCGAGCGATTCACTCGGCCGGCCTGGCTGCACGGTCCATCGACTTGACCAAGATCATCCGCACTGGCAAGAACCGGATCCGGCTGAGCGGCTGCGCCGTGCAGGACGTCATCAACTATGACCCGACGCGCCGCGTCTCGGACCTACAACAGGACGACTTTGTTAAGTTTGGCGAGGTCATGCTGGCCTTGGCCATGTACACGCCACCCGGCGAGTTGAAGCAGCCGTACGCACCCATGGAGCAGATCCCCGAGATCTACTCGCACGAGCTGAAGGAGGCCGTGGCCTGGCTCTTGGCACCGCCGCCATCGCCACCTTCACGGCCGTCTACCGCTCAGCCGTCATCTCCACCGACAGGACCGGCATCGTTGTCGTCGCCGTCGTCGCCAGAAGCCACGGCTGCAGCCATGACGGCCTCGACCGTATCTCCCAAGAACATTGAGGCGCTGGTGACGGGCATTGCGCCACAGATGACGCGCTTCTTCGACATGTCGCTGCAGGAGAACGATGGGCTGATGTCGATGGTGTACCGCGAGGTGGAGAATGGACGGGTGGCGCGGATGCTGCTGAAGCTGGGGATGATCAACGAGCGCGAGAGCTACCAGCGCGACGCGACCTGGGCCGAGCACGGGCCGCGCTATCCGCTCAAGCTGTTTCGCGACTACGTCTTCCACCAGGTAGATGAGGGCGGTCGGCCGGTGATCGACGTGTGGCACATGCTGTCGTGCCTCAACAAGATGGACGCCGGGTCGAGCGAGGTGGTGCGGCTGTCAAGCCGGGACGGACGCACAAACCTGTTTGTGACGTACAAGGAGTTGAACAAGATGGTGCAGCGGTCGTTTAACGATTTGATGCGGGCGAGCAGACGATGAGGGGGGAGGGAGAGAAGGTGGGAGAGAATGGGATAGGGCGGGAGAAAGAGTTGGAAGAAAAGAAAGGGGAGAAAGGAGAGAAGAGAACACGACCAAGGAGATCATGGCCAAGGAGTCATAAAGACCAGGATCCACCAGAGCACTGCCGGACGGTAATGGGTCGAAGCTTGGCTACAGTTCGATGTGTTCTTGCGATTTTTGTCATCCATTTCGTGCGTCTTGCTTGCTTTTCACAACGTCCGGTCCTGCTCGCAGCAGCTAGCCATGCCTTAAGAGCAAGGCCGGCCCTGCGGACAGGCGGTGGACAACTACAGCTTAACCGATACATAAACAAATGTAAAACATTGAAATAGTCTGGCGGCAAGAACGTCGTTCCTGGCTGTACTTTCCGTCTTTCTTTTCCTTCCTTCTGCGGTCCAAAACCAGGCGTATCCCTGCGCAGATCCCATGCGACGCGCATGACAGACAGAGAAGCCTCCGAGGGGTTTAAAAAAAAGGATAAAAAAATAAACCTCATGTATGATACGAAAGAGTACGCCTGGCGCCCTCCCAAGAACCCGACCGAGTCCGTCTTCCCTCTCAGCGTGTGTCGACGACCTTTCTTTCCGACCTTTATGAGCCTCCTCCGGCTTCTGTCGTCCGGCCACCCTTCAGGCCTCGGTAATCTCCACGTCCTCGTCCTCGTCCTCGGGCTTGGGCGTGTACTGGTACGCGGGCGCGTCGCCGCCGGCCTCCTCGGCCGCCGCCAGGTACGGGTTGCTTATGCTCTCGCTGCCGTCAACCGGATGCAGTGTGGTGATGTGGGTGCCGCGGATGACGGCCAGGCCGAGCGACCGGGACTTGGTCTCGCCATCGGCGTCTAGGATCTGGTCAGAGGGGTACTGGGGTGATGACTCGAGGGGCCAAATCACGTACTGCGCATCTTCTCCTGGGCATTGTCCAGCACCATGTTGAGCAGCGGGTCGAAGCCCTTGAGCACGCCCGAGACTGGAATTGTCAGCGATTTTTTGCTTTTGCCTCTTGCCTCTTCTATGCCTCGGTTTTCTTCCATCCTCCAGCTCCTTCCACCTCGAGCTCACCTTCTCGTCCACCGTTAAACTTGATGTAGATTTCCCGGTCCATGTACTGCTCCAGGTTCAGGATGTTCTCCTTCTTCGCCGGCGGCTCCCGTTCGTAACCACCACCGCCACCGCGCGAGAATCCGCCACCACGACCTTCGTACCCGCCACGGCCGCGCGAGAACCCTCCGCCACCACCTCGGCCTCCCTCGCCGCCGCTGCCGCCACGTCCTCCGCCACGTCCATACGAACCACGGCCGCCACCGCCAGCACCACGGCCGCCCGAAGCTGCGCCGCGCCCGCTGCTGCCGCCCCGAGAGGCTGGGCTGTACCGGCCACGAAAGGGAGTCGACATGCCGGCTGTCGGTAGTTGCTGTCGCTGTGCAGCTCGCGCACGTCTTGTTCGTAGAGGAAAGAAACTAGGAACAAGGATCGCCGGCACTGGTGTTGTTGCGGGAGCGTCGTCAACTGCACACAGGGCGAAAAAGCGCAAATCCAATATGCCACTTTGGGATTTCCGCTCGGGCTGTCTTGGTGGGGCTGCTGCCCGCTCCAAAAGACCAAAAGACGGGGCGGCGGACTTTGGGAGCTCTGGGCAGAAAAAACGGAAGTGTGGGGAATTTAGCAATTGTTTTGCGATTACATTTAATTGCATCTCGTCTTACATCCAGACGCGGCCACAGCAGTCCAGTTGAGAGCGGCTTCTTGCTCTTCGACTGCTCACACGATCCTGGATTATCGGTCCCGATCCTGTCGGTTCGCTGTGTCTCAATTTATCCTGGCTGTGAGGCAGGCCGGCGCTGGCTAGGGTGTGGTCGGGGCTGGTCAGGAGGTCAGTAAGACAATAAGCAAGGAGACCGGATGGGAGACAAGCCAGGAGGAAGACGGTGAGACTGCCCTACAGGGAAGCCGTGAGCAAAAAAAAAGCCCAGAAGTGGCGGCGGCGGCAGTGGGAACAGGTCACAACCCTGCTGACTCCGTAGCCAATGAAGCGCTCTATTTTGACTTCCTGCAACGTCGCATTGTTCACGAATGCGGGCAGACATCCTGCTTGTTGACGACAGCAGAGCTACTGTCGAGCTGGACTCGGGGCTGTTATGCAAAAGGGATAACGCGCAACACAATCCAATACATGATATCACGTGGTTGCAATCCCCTTGTCCGAATCAATGTGCATTGTTGTCACCAAAGCAAGGATATGCATAGCATCGTCAGCTTCAGCTCGTCTATTGCTGGCTTGGCCTGTATGGACAATGGTGTTGTTTGGTCGGCACAGGCCTGCCGTGGCGAGTTCCTATTTTATTTGTGTACATAAACTGCCTGTAGTTTATTGTTCACTTTGTACAGGTCATTATACGAGTATGGATCTGCCATAGGAGGCTGACAGGGCTGTCGAATTTGTCAATTTCACGATGCTCGAAGTGGATGGGCAAATTGGTCGAGCCGAATGGGTCATGGGGCATATCGCTTCCTTTTCTGTACTGTGGTCTGATGTCTTATTGAAACAAGATCCATCCCGGCTGTGAGCGTCGTCCACCCCAGTAAAGTCTTCAGCTGGGAGACGACATGGAATTGCTGAAATCGCTCTTACCGCATTTTTGGAATAAAAGCCAGACTGCGTAGAGAAGGCGTTACTCGGTCATGGTGTGCCCACGGCTTCTTGATTTGAATGTTAAGGCCGTCTGGCCGGCCTGCTTTAGCTCTCCATCTCGGTGAAAAGACGCGAAGTCGTGAACGGATCGCTGTGTAAACAGAAACGTCTCTAAACATGGAGACCACTTGCCCACCACAGAGCCTTGAGAACGCCTGTTGCGAATGGCTCTGGACTTTTGTATTTATTTTCTGGTCTCCATGACAAAGAAGCCGGCATGGAGGCCGGCGTCGAATTTCGGTCCCGGCCAACTTGTCTGGCCAACCCGTCTCGTCCTTTCGTGGTCACACTTGCAGCACCCGTGGATGGCATCAAATACGGACTGGGACACGCTGCACGCGACATCTCGCCAAATTTAATAAACGTACCGGTATCCTATTAATTTTTTTGATCCTCGTACATGCTGTTTGCCTCTCCATAAGGCACTGCTCCCACGTCCACCCTTGGGGGTAGCAGTTTCACATGACCAGCCTACTCGGCAATCGGTATCCGAAATACAATTCACCCGGAGAGCTTTTCCCTTTTCCATCATAGAAAGCGCTTCTTTCTTTTGTCAGGCTGTCCGGCGAAAGAGCGCACGGAGACCCGTGGATATTGGGATGAAAAAGGCGCAGCCCCAGCCTCGCAATTTCGAGATGGAGGCAAGATGTCGTGCAGAAGAAAAGAGGTGTTGGGCATCACGGTCGGGGAAGGGGACATACAGTAGTATTGACAGGATCATGGCACCGGCATCACCGGCCATTTTCACGGAGCCGGCGGGAATCGGCAGAGCGGGCAGCTAAAATGGACGTGGTCGAGCCTGGAGCCATGACGTTGGGCAACAGGCTCGAAGCAGGAGACGAAGGCGTCTGGCAGCCAATTCTAGGCAGTAAAGCAGAGCAGTATACGAGATATGCCCTCACAGAGCCAGTCCAATGTCCAGGCGCGCGAAGAGGGCCATGAGCAGGCGCCGTGTTGTTGCTGAGCACAGATCCGATTGGCCGTACCAGGCGGCATCCGAGCAGAGAAAGGGAAGAGGAAAAGGGAAAAACGAAAAACGAAAAAAAAGACAAAAGGACAAAAGGAGAAAAAGTTAAAAGACAAAAAGACAAAAAGAGAGAAAAGAGAAGAAGAATAAAAGAGAAAAAGGTCGACAGAACGATAGGGACCAACGGCCGTCTTGGACGGACAGATCGACGCGTGATATCCGGGGCTTCTCTCGCTCTTGCTCTGGCCTGGCTTGTCCTTCTTCTCTCTCCGCCATCCTCCTTCCTCTCCGCCATCTTTCCTCGTCCCGCCCGAGCTAAGACGACCCGCTGGCTGGCCACCCTTTTTTCGTCGTACTTCCTCTACAGGCTCATCCTCACATTCTCTCTCACATTCTCTCTCTCTCACTCTCTCTCACGCACACACCTCTCCCACATTATCTCTCGCCCCTTTTGCACAACCTCGTGCTCGTACAAACAAAAACACGACAACAGCGTCTGCAGCCACTTCTGTCGGCTTATGCATCTGCCTGTTCCTGCTAATCTGGCCTGCATCGAATTTCTTTCTTCTTTCTTCTTCGTCTCAGCCTTTGGCATCTCCTGGCATCTCCTGCTGGCTCCTGCTCTCGTCGTCGCTATCGCTCTAGGCTCCTCTACTGCTCACTCCTCGGTAAGATCGGTCGTCTCGCCGTTTCTCTTGTCTTTTTTTGTCTCCTGAGCCCTCGTCTTCTCTCTGCTACGGCTCTCTATCTCGTCGTTTCGCTGTCCCGGCGTCTTACCTTCTCTCCCTCTCGTATCCTCATTCTCTCCTCTCTGGTCTCCTCGTCCCATTTCTGCCCTCTTCCTCTCCTTCCTATCCTCTCTCACTTGCACCCTCTCCTCTCGTTTCTGACCTCCCTCTCAATCCTGACCTCCTCTCGCCACCCCAGCTATCATCCAAGATATCCACAGTCCGCCTAGCCCAGCCTATGGCGCCCTGACGCCCTTCGTCTACACGAAAAGCATCCACTAGTTCTGCTTCTACGCGTCAGTAAGGCGGACCCCCTCGCCTTCCCTTCTTACCAGCCGTTGTCAAGCCACACAGCAATTTCCCCCCTCCTCCTGCTCCCTTATCCCAACGCGCGCGCAAGCCACACACACGCCAACGGCTATTAAGCCTTAAGTCTTTGGCTCGGTCGAGACAGCCGGCACGTGTAATGCATTAAGCTCTCGCTCCTTCCTGCGATCCCCGTTGTTGACGCGCCGCGGATTGTCGTTCTTCCTTTTCCTCTTTCGGCCTTCCCCTTTCCCAGCTCTTCGCTTAGCCTCCTTCCCATTTCTTCTCGCACGTCCTCTTTCCCAGTCGACGTCGACGAACCTCTTCCCTTTTTTTTTCTGCCCTCTCTATCGTCTGGCCTCGAGCGGATCCCTCGTCTCCCAATCGCACGGGGCATCTCTTCTCGTGTACGTGCTGCTCTTCATTCCCTGCATCCCGTCCTCTTTCTGCCTCTCTCTCTTTGCGCCCAATTCGCGTCTCCTCTTCTGCCACCCCCCCTCCACGTTTCTTGCGCCGTGACCACTAAGCTGGCCTGGTCTCAAGACGCGTCGTTTGGCCGACAAACTAGACCTGGACAAAGAGAACGGCTCTGGCTAGTTCGCGCTGAGCCAGAAGCGGGAGCTGACTGGCTGCTCGATGCACTGACAACCAGGCGGGAGAGGGAATCATCAACAAATCACGACTCCCAAATACCTCCATTTTCCCATCTTGGACCAGCTCGTCGCCTCTCGTGCTCATCACCATGTTTTCTCTGCTCGCCTCTACCCCCATCGCCCAGATGCTGACGCGTCGAGACAGACCTCCGGCTTCAATGCCTCTCAAGGAGGAGAGCCCCGCCGACACGGGCATTTCAGATGTTCCCGTCTTCACCGAGACCCACGAGTCGACCGCCAAGTCTACACCCGCCTCGACTTTCTCTAATGCCTCCCAGCCGGCCAAGCCTGAGGGCGATGAGATCGTGATGGCGCTCTCTGCGGCCGGCGCCACCATCGCGTCTGTCACCATCCTCTCGGACGACATGCCCGCAACGCCTTTTTCCCTCGCTGCAACGTCGCGTCTCTGCTCTCCCCAGCTGTCTGGCATCAGCGAACTCGACAAAGACGCCACCACCGACTGCGTTGCCACTGCCGATGTCGAACCGACCCATTTGCCCGCTGTTACCACTCCGTCCACAGACGAGCTCTCGAGCAGCAACAGCAGCAACGATGTCCCACAATCCCTCGCCACTCCTCCCTCGCCACGGTCCTCTACTCCCGTGCATGTGGCCGGCCCAGCCGAAGCCGAAGCGATCGTCGAAGCAGAGATGATGCCTGAGGTGTACCTGGAGCAGGAAGGCCCCATCATCGTGGAGGAAGCGTCTGCCGAACGGACAGGGCTCGTGGAGGCCCAGGACTGCACCGCTACCGTCAGCGTCGCCGAGACCATGGATATTTCCACAAACGAGGCACCTGCCCGCCAAAGTCACCGGTTATCAGTCCGCCAGTCATCTAGCGCAGCCGCCTCACAGCCACAGCCACAGCCGTCATCTGCGACAGAAACGAGCCTTAGCCCTATGCAACGACCGCGGAGAGCAGTAAGGACAGCTACGAGTCCCGCTGCCAAAGCTTCCCCGAGCGCCGCAGCAAAGCCGAAAACGTCAAATGCAAAGGCGAATGTGCAGTCTCCTGTTGAAAGGCGTGCCACCCGCCTGTCCGGCACAGCTGTTTCCCTGCTTCCAAATCCCAGCTCAGCATCTTCGTTGGGCAAACGGGGGCGCCGTCTCGAAGCCAAAAAAGCCAACATCCCTCGCGAGCTTCGCCGTCTGGAAGACACAAAGGAGTTTTCCCATGTCGACGAGAAGCCGGTTGTCTACACCGTTTGGAGCAACGGCAAGTATGTGCCCGCAAATGCAGCAGGAGAGCCGTTGATCGACAAGAAGGCCACTGATAAGACGGCCACCCTGGGAAACAAGGCGATTTCTTCTCTCGACGATGAGGACGCAAGAGGCGACTCGCCACGCAAACGAGCCAAGCTGGGCAGACTGGGTCCTGGCGCCGTTGGCGCAGAGGAAGACGACGACCAGCAGGGCTTCTTCAAACCGACACCAAGGCGGGTGAAGAAGTGGCTGGACAAGGGTCTTTATGCTGGCCAGCCCGTGCCTGGCGATCCCTCAGTGGGCTTGACTGCTACCGAGAAGAAGGCACTGGCAACGCTTCCCGAGCTCACAAAGACGTACCCTAGGAACGAGACATTACCAATGCCAATCTTCACCGGGATGCGGCTCCTGGTCCATGGCCGAGACTTTAAGATGCCGTTTGACGTTTTTAATCCGCTGCCACCCGGCCAGCCGAAGCCTGTCAAGTATGGCAGGTTCAGCAAGAGTGAGTTGGGCTGATGTAATCCGGTTGGTGCTTCGCAAAGCTGACTCTCCAGACCGATTTGTCGGCGATGCTCACGCCATCTGGCGGAAGAACCCCGACTTTGACGACTTCTCGTCCAAGTGTGTTTGCAAGCCGGAGACGGGCTGTGACGAGGACTGCCAGAACCGGATCATGCTTTACGAATGTGACGACATGAACTGCAACGTGGGCCCGGAGCGGTGCCATAACCGCGAGTTTCAGCGCTTGGCCGAGCGCACCGCCTCCAAAAACCCATATCACGTTGGCGTTGAAGTTTTCAAGACGCCTGACCGCGGCCATGGGATTCGCGCCAGCCGGAGCTTCAAGCCAAGCCAGATCATCATGGAGTACATTGGCGAGATCATCACGGAGGAGGAGTCTGACCGGCGAATGAATGAGCTGTACAAGAACAATGCGGTGAGTGACGTTTGCCGCGATGAATCTGTGCGTGGTTATGGATTTTGGCTAACCATCGTACGCAGTGCTACTATCTCATGTCCTTTGACCAGTCTCTCATCATTGATGGCACCAGCGGTAGTATCGCTCGTTTTGTCAATCACTCGTGCTCGCCCAACTGCCGCATGATCAAGTGGATTGTGTCTGGACAGCCACGGATTGCCTTGTTTGCCGGGGATCGTCCGATCATGACAGGAGAGGAGCTGACATACGACTACAACTTTGATCCGTACTCGTCGAAAAATGTCCAGACGTGCCTCTGCGGCAGCGAGAACTGCCGTGGCATTCTGGGGCCTCGCAAACGGGACAAGGCGGCTACGAAGGCAGCGGCAGAAAAGGCAGCGGCCGAGAAGGCGGCGTCGGCATTGGCCAAGAGCAAGGGCGGCAAGGGGAAGAATGCTAAGAAAGCAGGCACCATGCTAGGAAAGCGGAAATTGGATGCGTACAACAACGGCAAGGAGGAGGAGAGTGTCGGCAGTCCGGCAGCAAAAAGGGCCAACGTCATGGTTCCTTCTAAGAGAGGACCCGGGCGGCCTCGAACTCCGGAGAAGAAGACAAAGTCGGCTGCCAAGGTGACGACGACAAAGGCAGCACTAGCCGCGTTAGCAGCCAAAGCGACAAGGGATGCCAGAGCAGCGAAGGCCACCAAAGTAGCAAAAGCAAAGGCAGCCGAGCCAGGCTCGGCTGTCAAGACAGCGAAAGCAGGCGGTACAGGGAAGACGAAGAAGCCGGTGAAGACGGTCAAAGCGGCAAAGGGAGTGAAAGTCACCAAGACAGCGCGGGGCTTCAAAGCAGCAAAGACGATCAAGACGAAGACGATGGTTACGACGACGAAGACAACGACAAAAAAGACGACGGCATCAGCGTTGACGTTGGCAGAACCAATCGATGGCGCTGTGACACGGAAGCACAAGGCCACAGATGAAGCAGTGCCGGCAGCCAGTACAGCAAATGGAGGAAAAGCAGGGCCCGTACGAAAGCCGAAAGGCACGAATGCGGAAGAGGATGTGAATAGTGCGGCTACGGAGGCGGCGAATGCCGAGACAGCATTGCGGACGACTCCTATGGCGAGAGCGCTGGCAAAGGCTGCAAAGGACGCAGCCAAGGCAGCCAAGGCGGTAGGCAAGACCAAAGCGAAACCGTCAGTCGGTAAGCGGGCGACAACAATGGCAGCAGCAGCAGCTTCGAAGCGGGCCGACAAAGCCAAGATGCCGGCAAAGGCTGTCAAGCCGACGACAGCGAAAGTGGACAGACCAGCGGGCAAGGCAAAGACAACGGAGCAGACATCAGGCAGGCCGTCGTCGGACGAAGCCGCAGCCGAGACTGAAACGGGCACAGAGGTGGCTGAGACGGCCAAAGAAGGCGGCCCTCCAAAGCTGGTGCAACAGAAACTAGACTTTCCTACGATAGGATCTTCGCCCCGGCGAAAGCCCGGACGACCGCCATCTGCAAAGACGCTGAAGGCGAAGAGCATGGGCGCAGGGATAGGCACAGTGAGGCCGCAGGTTGGCGAGGTGTCCGGGCCAGTCAATGTGAAGAGGCCGGTTGGACGGCCACGAGGATCGAAGAAGGCCGTGAAGCCACAGCAGGCGCTGCGGCCGACATCACCATCGCTGCCGTCTCCGGCCAGCAACAAGGAGACGGAGCAGGGCGAAAAGGTTGGCGCGACCGGCAGCGAGATTATGCAGGAGGTGTCTGATGTGGTTCAGGGGACTGCAGAAGACGTTATCCACGTTGCTTCTAGTGTCTTCAATGCTGCGGCATAGGTTGCGCATGCGAGCGTGGAGTTCTGGCTCGACAGAGAGCAGAAGCAACGGGTAGAGGACAGAGTCAGGGCAGAGGAACATCTGGACGGGTCCATTTTTCAACCATTTTTGTCGACTACTCCGGCAGGGAAACCGGGATGTATTCCAAGAAATGAATCCATGTGTATCATATTACAGCGGCTTCTGATTTAGGGCTTTGGGCGAACGGGTTTGGTCATTTGAGCTGTAATGCAAGCATTCTTGAGTGGTGGTCACGTGACTGTTTGAGTACTGCCGCAGGAGGATTGGCACAAGATCGTCTCTCATTTTGCCGTGTCTGCGCTATTTCCATTGTTGCTACCAGCAGGGACATCTCGTCGGCTGTTGGCCTCGATGCGCTCGCGCAACACGGCCGCCTTGGCCTCCCAGTTCTTCTTGGTCTGTTCGATAGCGCGGCGGCGAGTCTGCAGAGCAGCGATGAACTCGTCTTCCGGCGGGGCGGAAACGGAAGTAGTTGGAAGGGGGGCCAAGGGCGGCAGTGACGAGGAGGACAGCACGGCGGTTGCCTTTCTTCTCTGGACAAAGGGTCAGCCACGGCGCAGTGAAGGCGGAACGAGCGAGCAGAGCATGACGGCACCTCTTTCGCCTCCTGGTCCGACTTGAGGCCGGCGCCATAAAAGGTACCGACCATGGTGATAGCGGCAACGCCGGCCGTCAGGATCATGCCGCGGACGCGCAGCTTGGACGACGACGTGGGCTCCATGGCGAGCGGACGTGAGGCGGATGGGATGGCGTGGCTGGAAACAGTCGCAAGATGCCGATGTAGAGTATAGTTTGGAAATTTGAGCGGTGTAGGGCGGCAGAATATAGGCGTAAGAAGTACGGAGTAGAAGCAAGACGCAGTACACCCAAAGCAGTGAAGAATGACGAATGTCGGTAAAATACATCTATTATACATTGTCACATATGGGGAGACGATGTACAGCGGTCCCGTTTAGACCAGCCTGCCTTTTACGTTCCCCGTTAAGCCAGCCGGCCTTTTTAACCAAGCGCAAACGCCGTAGGATGCAGACCTGCGTCTATGAGGTGTGTAGGAGTGTGGAGGAGAGGGTGTATGTGCTGCTGAGGTGTTCCAATTCACTCTGGTGCGTTCAGCAGCTTGAGGACGATCTCGTAGATGCCAAAGGTGATGCCGGCAGCCGGGACGGTGCGCAGCAGATGTGGTGTGAGGCCGCCATAGAGGCCGGCGATGTGCTCTTCACGCCAGACGCGCAAGAAGCACTGAACGAGGCCGGTGTACTTGCGGCGGCCGTCAGCAGCGGGAGCCTGTCGCAGGCGCGTGCGCACGACCTCATGGGGGTAAGTCAGGAGGGTAGCGCACAGCTTAGCAGCGCTGGCAGCGGCGAGGGGACCGGTCCACTCGACGAAGCGATCCCAGGCGTCTGGAGGGCGAGCAGCAGCGGCGGCGGTCTGGCGGCGAGCGAGTCCGCGCTTGAGCTGTTCGTAGAGCAGCCAGTGGAGGGTCGACTCGGCCGCGCCGAGATAGCTGGCCGTCATGCCTTTGTAGAGGCCGCGGACGCCTTCCTGGCGGACGACCTGGCGGACGCAGTCGAGAGAGTTTCGGTAGCGGCGGTGGGTCGAGCTGGGAGAAGCTGTCGGGCCCTCTCGGTCCAGCTGCAGTCGGGTCTTGATCAGCCAGATCGGGTTCGTTGCCGTCGACGTGGCCAGGCCAGCCACGATGCCGGCGCCCAGCTGCACCCAGGGCGTGTCCTGGCTGACATCAGCGGCCTCGGCCAGCAGCCGCTTGCCGTTGCCGTACGCATAAAAGTTGATGGACTTGGCCGGCACCGTGCCGACGAGCGTGGGTCCCAGGCCTTTGAACAGCGCGCGCCAGCCCTCGTTGCGCTGCACGGACGCAAAGATTTGCATCGTCTCGCCGAGGTGGCGGCCCATGGCGCGCAGCGGGTTGGCCGTCGACGGCGGCACCATCGCGGCAGCACTGCTGCGGCCGGCCTGGGCTGCTGCGGCTGCGGCTGTTGCTGCTGCTCGCGCTCGCTGCTGCTGCTGGTAAAAGTCCGACTGGAGCCGTGTCCGGATGACGTCGAACGGCGCGGTCGCGGTCGCGGCCGCCAGACTGCCGACACTGCGACCATGTCAGCCGGGCAGAGAGAGGGGGGCAGACAAGAGAAAAAAAGGGTGCAAGACAAAGGAGGCTCAACGTACGCTCCGGCTACCATGTGAGACCATGATTTCGCATTCTTCACGGGCACGACGACGCTCTGCTGCGACGGCAGCTGCGCGGGCACAGGCCCAGCCGTGGCCAGAAAGCCGGCCACAGAACCGTCAGGGGTAGTGACACGTTCTGACATTTCGATCCCTGCGCGGGCGCATTGGCATCGTCTAATACAACGGACAAAGTGGAAGGGAAAAAATTATGCAGACAGGATGACACCCGATTGGGGAATTACGGCGTTTAGATGTGAATGGTGGGTGGCGATAAGCGATAGCCATTAGTCAAGGTCATTAGTCAGCATACATATTTTGTGGCGACCTAGGAAGGTGTGGCGATGTTGGAAGCAGGACAGAATACGACGACATCCACGGACGTCTTTCCTACCAACACCACCTTCCCGACGTCAAGACACAGAGACTGCCAGAATGTCGATGCTGGGACGGCAGTCGCCGGACGAGCGTGACGAGCGGCTGGGCGGGTCGCGCATGGCAGCGCCAGCGACGCGCGAGCAGAACATTTACATTCCGCAGTTCATCACGAAGCGGCCGTTCTACGCGATTGACGAGGCAGACGAGAGCAGCGCGACAGGATCCAAGTCGGCCGTGCTGCGGGTGGGCGGGGCAGCAGACGCGGCAGACGCGGCAGCAGCAGCAGCAGCAGCAGCAGCAGCAGCAGCAGCGGGAACGACGGGCCAGCGCGACTATCTAGAGCACCAGCGGCTGCGCAAGCGAGAGGAGGAGACAGCATGGTACCAGCGAGGTCGCAAGGCCGGACCAGCGGCGACAAAGTACCGCAAGGGAGCGTGCGAGAACTGCGGGTCGATGGGACACAAGATGCGCGACTGTCTGAGTCGGCCGCGGGCGCGACTGGCCAAACACACGGGGACGGACATTGAGGCGGACGAGGTGGTGCAGGATGTGCGGCTAGGATGGGATGCGAAGCGAGACCGCTGGCTCGGCTTTGATGCGCGGGACTACGCGTCGATGGTGGCAGGGCGGGAGAAGATGAACGAGGCGCGGCGGCGGCTGGGGGGAGAAAGAGGAGGTGGAGGGGCAGAAGGGGGAGAAGAAGGGGGAAGCAGCAGCAAAACGGCAGCCGAAGGGGACAAAAACGACACGCGCTACGAAGAAGACGCGGACATGGGCGTGTCACGGACGAACGGGGCAGCGGACCTGCGGATGCGCGAAGACACGGCGCGCTATCTTGTCAACCTGGATCCCGACTCGGCCAAGTACGATCCGAAGCGGCGAAAGGTGGTGGACGGGGGTGCCTTTCTGGACGAGTCGGCGCGGCTGTTTGCGGAGCAGAACTTTGCGCGAGCGTCGGGCGAGGCGGCCGCGTTTGCGCGCGACGAGCGTTATGCGTGGGAGCTGCACGACCAGGCCGGCGATGCGGGCTTGCATCTGCAGGCGAACCCGACAGCGGCGGCCCATCGACGGCGGGTCGAGGCCGACGTCGAGGCCGAGAAGCGGGCGACCATGGCGGCGCTGATGCGGGACAAGTACGGCGTCGACGAGACACCGGCAGCTGTGCCGAGCATCACGGCCGCGTCCGAGCATTTTGTCGAGTACGACGAGACCGGCCAGGTCAAGGAACGTCTGCGGGCCCCGCGCGCGGACCGGTCCAAGTACGCCGAGGATGTGCTGCCGATGAACCACACGGCCGTCTGGGGCAGCTGGTGGCACGACTTTGCCTGGGGCTACGCCTGCTGCCGGTCGCTCGTCCGCAACAGCTACTGCACCGGCGACGAGGGCAGGGCGGCCTGGGAACGGGCCGAGCGACAGCGCCTGGGCGACTGGGGTCAGGAGGGGCGAGAAGAAGGGGAAAAGGGGGGGGAGGACAAGCCCCGGAGACGACTGCTACTAGCCAAGGCTGACGGGGATGGAACGAGTCGAGGGAATGTGGATGCACATGATCGGGAGGCAAGAGATTGACATCATGAGACTATACACAATCACTTGTCGCTCTATTCAACAGCTGTCCGTTCATAGCCTACCGAATATAGACTGCTCTAATTTCCTACGCTGTCGGAATAGGTGATAATCAAAACCGGACCGACGAAACTCCAGATATGCCCCTAACAATCGCTGTCACGTGCGCTCGTCTCTTGCCGTTTCGGTTCCCTCTGTCCTTGCAGTCTGTTCCCCCGACATCTCTCCACTCTTCGTCTCTCTCTCCGTCTCTGTCTCTCCTTCCATCTCTCCTCCCATCTCTCCTCCTGTCTCTCCTGTCTCTCCCGTCTCTCCCCCCGTCTCATAGTCCACGTCCCAGGCCGCCAGCCCGTCGTCTTCCTCGCCGTCTTCTGGGATCGCTGGTTCATCCACAAGATCCACTCGACTCTCATCCGAATTCTCCACTCGGCTCTCCTCCATCTCATCCACCTCCTCTTCCACCTCCTCTTCCTCGTCTGAATCCACCGGCGCCTGCAACACCATCACGTCGCCCTCCTGCCGCATTCCCGTCAGCGCCACCTGTGCTTCCCACTGTCGCTGTCGTTCCAGCTGCAGCCGTTCTTCCTGCTGTGCTCGCATCTGTTCACTCGATGCCGTCCTCCTCGGCTGTGGCTGCGGCACCGGTTTCCGTGCCACAACGCTGCTCCGTCTGCCAGTCACTCCTTTCACTCCTCCCCCTCTCGACAGCTCTCCCGGCATCGGCAGCGGTTCTCCCGGCGGTGGCAGAGGTCGTCCGCCGCCCATCGGCTTGCTCAGGTCCAAAGCTTCGCCGCTGCTGCTCATTCGCCGCTCGCCCAATCCCTGTCGCGCTTTGCGGTCCGCCGCTGCTGCTGCTGCTGCTGCTGCCCGTCGCTGTAGCGCATTGATGCCCCAGCGCTTCGCTGTCGCTGCTGCGCCCGTCATGGCCGCTGCCAGCGCTGCGCTGCGCTTGTTGTTGGATGACAGCTCCCTCGTCTCCCTCGTCTCCCTCGCTTCCCTCGTCTCTCTCGTCGGCGACGTCGTCGAGCTATGTCCTGACGTCATCGTCGTGCTGCTCGTATTTGTCGCCAGCGTCTGCATTGCCGTCTCGCCCTCGTCGTCATCGTCTTCGGACACGGGTGCCAGCACCTCTCCTCCTCCTGCCTCTGCTTCTTCTTTTGTCTCCTCGCCCGTCTCTCTGCAGCTCTCGTCTTCTCCGCCCGCAGACTCCCCAGATGACTCACCCTCTTGTCTCTCTTCCGCTCGTCGCTGTCGGGAACTGCGCGAAAGCCACTTTCTCGATGTGCTGCCCGATTCGCTGACCGCCTGCTGTTGCTGCTTGCTCTTCTTGGGCGACGGCCCCTTTCCGTCCGACGACGACGATGTTGACGACACCATCGCCGGTGCGCTGTAGTTCTGGCTAAGCCTCCGCAGCCGCAATACCGCTGGCGACACGTTCTCGCTGCCCGTCGTCAGCGTTGCTGCTGCTGCTGCTGCTGCTGCTGCTGCTGCTGCTGTCGTTGCTGCTGCTACCTCGGCGTCTACGCCATCCGTCTCGATGCTGTCTTCGGGCCCGCCTTCCATCCTTTCTCCTCCCTCCACCATATCCCCTCTCTCCACGCCCTCCCCTCCCTCTACCCCTTCTCCTCCCTCCTCGCCTGGCACGCCGCTGTCATCCTCCCAGACGCCCCCTCGCCACCGCTTCCGCTCTGTCCCAAAGAACGGCATATCCTCCCAGAACGGCAGCACCAGGCTCTCCGCAATCGTCTCTTTGATCTTGCCCTCGATCATCTGGATCACCAGCGGCCATGTCAGCTGCCGCGCCGCGATGATCGGCCGGATCTCCATCTCTACCTTGGGCATGTGCCGGAACGTAAACCACAGCCGGTTGCTCGGCGGCGCCTTGATCTTGAACAGCACCGGGCCCTCCAACCGTGTAAAGGCCACCGCCAGCGACGTCCGCACCTCTTGCGTCCCGATCGGCGTGTTGACCCGCAACGTCGCCGCCACATCCATCCCAAAGTGGCCCGTAAACCGCACGTCTGCCTCCACCACGCACTCGCCCTCGGCCGTCAGACTGCGCAGCCGTGGCGACGTGATCTGCGGCGTCGTCGTTCCCAGGTCCACTCGCTGCACCTCCAGGCTCGCCACAAATCCCGGCCGTGGAGCCCGCGACAGCTTTGTCACAAACTTGTTCTTCACAAACGCCGCCAGCTCCGGCGTCTGGTACACCCCCAGGAACATCCGGCCCACCAGCGCGTTGAGCCAGCGCATCTCGGCCGCCTCTTCCGACGCGTGCAGCCGCTCCATCAGGCTCGTCAGGTGCCGTACTTCGATCGCCCGCGCCCGTGGCTCGCCCAACCCCCCCCGAGTCCCCGCCGCCTCCTGGCTCTGGCTGCGCAGCAGCGCAAAGTAAAAGTCCTCCTTCTCCGCACAGTTGTCGCTGTACAGATACCATGGCTGCGGCACCGGCGCGTTGTGTGCCCGCACTGCTCGCTCCGGGTGTCGTGGTTTGAGTTGCAGCGCATTTCGCTTGATAAATAGCTCTCCCTCCGGCACCACCCGCTTGCCCGCTCCTGCATACACCGTCACGTCGTGATCTGCCAGCTTGATCACGTGACGCACATCCACCTGTTGGTCGTCGTCAAACAGGATCAGATGGCCGTGCCGCAGCACCACGTAGAACATGTTGCGTGCGTTCTTCGGCCGCGGGCTGGCCGCACTGCTCACCTCCACCATCACCGGCCCGCTGCCCTTGCCGCCTGCTCCGGCTGCCAGTGCTGCTGCCGATGCCACCGCCCCCTGTCCCTGTGCGGCCCCGACGACTCTCTTCCCGCCGCTGACCCCACCGCCTGCTCCGGCTCCTCCGCCCGAGCTGCTCCCCTTCTTGGTGAGCATGTTGCGGAAGAAGGTCTGGTACACGCTCGGGCTGGGTGGCGCCACCGTGTTCGGCCCCACGGTTGACGGCTCCACCGGCTTCGAGTTGACTCCAATGGCCACGTATTCGCGGAACACTGCAAAGTAACCGGCCGTCGCAAAGTCGTCTACATGATGGTGATGCTGGTCGAACCGGCTCTTCTTCTCCGTCCCGCCTCGGTGGCCCTGGTCGTAGTCGTGTTCGTGTCCGTGTTCGCGACGCGCGTTTTCCAGCGCCGCCAGGTCATCGCCAGGCCGTGTCAAGCCGTCTGCTCCATCGCCCGGAGGCACCGGCTTCGTGTAGACGTAGATGATCGCCGCGATGAGGAGCGGCAGAAATGTCATGCCTCCAAAGAGGTAGACCACGAGAAAGGCCGTCAAGCCCATCGAGCTGGCCCTTTGCAGTGGTATCGTGCAGAAAGAAGCTCTGTCTCTCCTCCACTCAGACTGGGGCGCTTCGGTCAGACTGGCATCGCACAGCCATGTCCAGAGAAACAGAGAAAATCGGCGATTTGGCGAAAGAACGAAAGAACGAAATGGACAGGTATGAAGCGACAGATGAAATGCGCCTGTCGTCGAAGCAAGGGAACGTGTCCCAGAAGTGTCGGAAGTACCGAACAGGTGGATCTCGTCACAGAACACGACTTGGCGTGTGTTGCTGGCAGTCTCGCAAAAGCTGGCCGTCTGTTGTGCTCAATTGTCCTCTTGGGGTCCCTGGCTTTCAGCCGTGTGCGGGCAGTGGCGGCCTGGATTGGCTGGGGGCTTCTCAGCGGTGCCGTCCACCCCCACACCCCCTGGGAAGGCACGCTAGCAGGGCCGTAGCTCCTGCCTACCCTACGGCGACGGTACCCTGGCGCACACGTGATGTCACACTACTGTAGCATAGTACGGCCAGCATACGAGCTTCTAGACGAGAAGCACAGGCGGTCAAGCAGATGAATTGTTGGCAGAATCACGCGGCTTCCCGAACGATGTAGGCGCTTTTGTAAATTGAAGAACGAAGCAAAGCCGCTGGGCATACAAAACATGCACCCTTCGTCCCTGTCCAAGACACATGACCAATCTCGTGTTAATCCAGCTGGGCTCCTCCGCATTGCCCTGAAATTAGAAATCGATCTGACCACCTGTGTATCTGCGGCAGGCTGCGGCAGTCTGTGCGTTTTGCAAGCCAGCAGACCAGCAGGCCAGCAGAACAAAGGTCGCCGAAAAGGGAAGACAAAAGAAAAAGAACTCTGCAGATGCAAATGGAAAATGGCGTAAAACTTGTTCACCAAGCGTTGCGGTCCCAGTTCGGGTCTATTGCTGTCAGTCTGGGGAGGGTCTGGGGCTGAAAGAAAAGGACAGAAGAGAAGGACAGAGATGGATGGACACGCCAAAAAAACATGTCCATGTATATATAAACCAACCTTGCACGAATGCGGCCATGACTTTGCTTCCCGTCTGCAGCAGCGGGTGGCCGACGACAATCTTGAGGAACTTCTCAAGGCCGGCACGCCGCGCCTCGATCACGTCGTCGCTGAAGCGGTTTGTAAACACCTTTCCTGGCAGCGGCGGAATCGTCACGCGTGCACTCTCGCGCTCCAGGATGTCGCGAAAGTACTCAAAGTCGCTGTAGCGGCGCCGCACCACGCTCTGCCGCACCTTGAACGCGGGGATGTTGGTGCGGCAGACGATCTCGTAGTCCGTGTACATGTGCCGCCCGACCCCGTGCGTTCGCGGGTTGCGCACCTCGATCTCGAGAAAGTTCTCTGGCGGGCCGTAGATCTCGTCAAACGACTGCGGCCGGCTCTCCGGCAGCGTCTGCATGATGGGCCGGTGAAACGGCGGCGAGGCCGGCGGCGACGTTGACCCGCTCGATCCTTTGGACGACGTGTACGACGTGTATGACGTAGACCCGAGTCCCCGCGGTACTCTGGCGGCGGTGGCCGGGGGCGCGGTCGTCGGGTTCGGCTGTGGCGACGCCGTTTTGACGGTTTTGGTGGCGGAGGCCGAAAAGAGGGGTGCGGATGGGGACGCGGCGATCGGCGGACAGCGAGACAGAGTCCCGACAATGGTGCAGACGTGGCGAGGCGAGGTGTGCTTCGAATGTCGCTCACCGTGGCGAAGGAGACAGATCGACGAGCAGGAACTCGGGCGGAAATGGGAAATAGGAATCGTGATCGCTGACCGAAGTCTCTAGAGCTCTAAAGTGGGGCAATTGCACAGTGTCGCATGTGCCGCTTGGACAAGGCAGCTCAGCACCGGCTCTCAATTGTCGGCTCGTGTTCTTGTCGGCGCATGCGAGCATGCAGAGCACTCGTGCGCAGACTCGCATCGGTCCTCGAGCTTCACCGACAGAGCTTTGGCCTAGATAGCATCATGTCCACGTATCGCCTCTTTCAGAAACCCAGCTCTCGCATCCCACCCCGGCCACACTGTGCCTGAAAAGAGAAGGTGGGGCTGGTCTGCCTGCTTGTGGGGTACCAGGAACACAAGGCTGGGCATATTTCCGGGAGCGAGATTGTACGAGTATACGAGACGATGGAAGGCGAATAATACTCCTTGATCCCTGGTCTCAGGGTCCTTGATATGGCCATGGATTGCAAGACCGCGGCATAAATCAGGATACAGCCCGCCTCGCAGGCGGAGATATAGGGGAATCTGGCGATTTAATGGCTACAGTAACCTGTCTCCTCTATGTGGCAGGTTGATTTGGTACAGCAAGAAGCGAAATAAAAAAGCGACCGTGATAAGCACAAAGCCATACGAAATTCCAGCGCCAAGCCGGGGAAGCTTTAGATAGACACATAGTGGAGTGCCTTTTCAACTTGCGGCATTTCCGTAAACGAGCCAGCAATAAGAGTCGCAATCCACAATACGTTACATCGACAGATCACGGTCGTAAAGCCTGGGGTTTCAATGCTACACATCCAGCAGGTAGTAAGATACTATAGCAACTACGTGTCTTCATTGGAAAGCAAAAATATACTCTTGAATTATTGCACTGTATCCGGTGAAGTTAATAATAGCAATGCATAGTAATGAAGAGGAAGATATTTTAGGAGTACATGCAAAATAATCTCCAGTTGTGAAGGAATCAACGCAAATAAGCTAACATTGATGCGAAACAAGACATCTCAACTTATGTTCCACGTAAGCCCCAAATCGAGCATTTTTTTGGTTCCTCCACGTGCTCATCTTCTCTTGCCATAATTTGACCAGGCGCGAAGCAGCTATTTCGTCACGTATTGAACAGAGCTCCCGCCCAAGCGCGGTTATTATCCAGCATGGCCACGTGACAGAGAGCTGCATTCCGCCCTAGCCTCTTCTGGTAATGAGGTTGGCACCCAATTTTTCCCATCTCCAACTTCACCTCACTTAGGCAGCTGTTTGTGCAGCAACCGATTCGTTCTCTCAACCAGCCAAAACCCTCGTCTCGTTGCTGGTTTCTACTTCACTCACAGGTCCTTTTTCCGATTGCCGTTTTTGGGAATCTGTCTTCGGCCAGACCTGCACCACGCTCATTCGATTCGACAAGATGGCGAGCAACGGCGCGGCGCCGGCAGCCGCTGCGGCGACGCTGGACCGCATCAAGCCACCACAGGGGGTCATTATGCCGCCGCCAGGTGAGATCCGTGAGGTGATTGAGAAGACAGCCGGCTATGCGGTGCGGGGTGGTGCCGGCATCGAGGCGCGGCTGCGCGAAAACCACGGCAACAACCCGCGGTTCAGCTTCGTGACGAGTCCCGACGATCCGTACAACGCGTACTACGAATGGCGCAAGGAGGAGTACCGGGCAGGGCGGGTGACGGCCGTGGCGGCCGGTCGTGTGGGCGAGGGCCAGGCGGGGGCGGCTGGCGGGACGGCAGACGGCACAGCAGCAGCGGCGCCCAAGGGCCCCGAAAAGCCGCCAGACTTTGCTTTCTCGGCGCGGCTTCCGATCATGAACGCCAAGGACCTGGACATGCTGCGGCTGACAGCCTCGTTTGTGGCCGTGCACGGCCGGCGCTTCCAGACAAGCCTGCTGCAGCGGGAGGTGAACAATGCGCAGTTCCAGTTCCTGCTGCCGAGCCACTCGCTGCACAACTACTTCCAGCGGATGGTGGACCAGTACGCAGCGGTCAACAAGGATCTGGGGGTGGCGGTGGCGCCCGGAACAAATGGCGAGGATGGCAAGGACGGCAGTGGCGACGGGGACAGCTCGGCCGCCCGGCTGGCAACGCTGCGACGCAACGCCGACGACCGATTCGCAATCCTGCTGCAGGCTAAGCAGCGGATCGCGTATTCCGAGTGGGAAGAGGCACAGCGCAAGAAGGAGGAGCACGAGCGCGACGTGGAGAAGAAGGAGGTTGAGCGCATCGACTGGACCAACTTCACGGTACTGGAGACGATTGTGTTTGGCGACGAGGACGACGCGGCCGCACTGCCGCCACCGACGTCGCTCAACGACCTGCAGTACGCCTCACTGGAGGAGAAGAGCAAGATGACGATGGCGGCCAACCGCATGATCGAGGAAGCCTTCCCATACTAGGCGGATGCGGCAGCCGGCGACCACACAGGCGCAAAATCATCCATCAACCATTACATGCAACGATACCCAAGTCCAAAGAGAAAGATGGCGAAAGAGCGAAAGAATGAAAGAAGAAAGATAGGGATCAAAAGCGTGGTGTACGAGTACGGAGCCGGTGGCTCGATATATAGCAGCTTTCCTTCCTCTCATCTTGCATGGGGTTCGGACGGGACGGTGTGCCCACAAGGCTGTTCCTTTTTCTCCCTTTTCGTTTTTAGGCTTCCAGGATAGGACTACATAGCAACACGGCGTCATTCTTCATGTCAAGCATGAGAAAGCAGCAGGAATCGATGAAGATGAACATTTGCTAAACGTAAGTAGAGCATGTCCGACAGCCAAGCTAAACTATCTAAGTAGGATTTAAGAGCCAACAAAGCAGCGCATCTTCCTAAAGACCTCCGTGTCCAGCTTCTCAGTACATCCGTGAGCTGTGGACGTGACTGCCGCACCGGTCGCAGTGGTGTTGTCTCCGGTGGAAAGTCGTGTGAAGCCTTGTCGGCGACAAGCTAAAGTGGGGGTGGGAGCCACAGCAGTGGGCGTGGCAACCAGAGACTTGGGCTTGGCCGTAGAGATAGAGGTCGTCGCAGCCGTGGGTCTGCTCGACATTTTCTGTAGCCGTGCTCTCGCTGTCCGCAGCGTCGGCATCGGCACCGGCGTCAGTGTTGGCCGCTGCGTTCAGCGCGGTTTGCACATCTTTCTGGAGCTCGTGGATGCTTGCCAACACGCCGGCCAGGTCGCGCTCGATCCGGCTGACAGATTCGGTCAAGCGGACGATATCGCTGTTGTCGGACTGGGTGGACCCAAGGATGTCTCTCACGGAGGTGTCGACCATATCGGAGCGACCATTTTTGTCGTGCTCTTTGTTCTTATTGCCCTCTGTGGTGTCGTGCTTCCAGGTCGGCTTGACCGCTGCAGCCCCGACAGGCCTCTCGGGAAGGACGCTTGAAAAGAGACTGGGGCGAAGTAGAGAGGGCGGATAGCGGGAAGCCGTCTGGTAGCTATCCGGAGCAAAAATACTGGGACGAGTTCTGTCGAAAGTCGTCGGCAGCAACGAAAAGCCGCTGTCGGGTTTGGGCTTCGGGGCCGTATAGTTCGAGAAGCCGCTACCGAAGCCGCGGTCTAAAGAGAAGGTGTTGGAAGCATTGCCTTCATTTGTGACCTTGATGCCTTTTCCGTCGTCTTTGTCAAAGCAATTAGAGCACGTGCCAGAAGCGGCTCTGTCGTGGCCCGCAGAGCCAGGGGCAGAAGACGTCAGATGATGTGAGCTTGTCCTGCCGTAGTGTTAGTGGGCTGGCAGATTGTGTAGAAGACAGAAGACAATAAAAAGTATGCAGCACAATACAATGCACTTACGTTCCCAGAGTCATGTTGGATATAACCGAATGAAATGCTGATATGCGTAAAAATTGGTTGAATATAAGGAGTAGCTATAACAGCGGAAATCTGCTGTTTTATGGCAGAGTCGAGACAGTTGATGCTGAGCACAGTAGTAAACGAAAAGATGGCAAGAGTTTGAGGCAATGAGATATAAGCAAGAAGCAACTCCTCAAAGAAGGCAATGAGGCGAGATACTTATACTTTTTGTATATTAGTCTACAAACAATTGCCACAGCCTCTACAAATGCATCCTGTCTAACATCAGGCCAATGGGTCAAAACTATGCCAAACGAACAAGTAATCCACAGACTGTCTTCTAAACCTTCCCGAGATGCGTCTGTTGGGAGTTTTTGAGCCTCTTCATTGGCTAGACTTGACTACTAACGACTATCCTGTCAATCATAATCGACTGCCGTCTAGTCCGCTGACTGTCCAGGAAACTGGCTGCTGTAAGCAGCCAGCAATTGATCAGCACAAGGCAGCTGGCCCTCTGCGACCATTTTCTGCGGCCCGAGGTTGACATTGCTGGTGAGGCTGCGCCTTCCAGTTCGTTGCTCGTGGCCAAATGTGGCTTGACTGTGGCTAAGTAGAGCTAGACGATGCTCGAGAGCCGCCTCGTCGCCTAGAGTCTCGTCGCCTAGAGTCGTTGTTCCTTCTTTTGTTTACCACAATGGCATTGTGTGTAATATGCATATGCATCTGAAATTGATGCGCTGAGAACACAGGTTGTTAGAAATCCTAAACATGTCCTCTTTCCCAAGCCGAATTGTGACCGAAACGCCGTCCTAATGCTGCAACACCCCAGTCAACGTGATGAGCCGGATGAAAGCCACTTGCTTTTGGTTCCTGTTTTCCTCCAACCTGTCTCTGCAGCTCTTCCCTAGTCGGCCTCCTCTCCGGCCTCCTCCTCCTCCTCACTGCTGAGCTCCTCGCCGGCGTCGATGGCTGCCTGCCGCCGCTGTGCCGCCCGCTCCCGCTTGCGCTCCAGCAGCTTGCTCAGTCGCTTGGCATTGTTGAAGACACCCGTCGTTGCCGATCCGCATGCCGCACAGGTCGGGTCGCGCCGGTATCGCGTCAGCGCGCAGCGCTCGCAAAAGTAGTGTCCGCAGCGCGTCACCACCGGCTGTTTGTAGCTCGACCGGCAGATGATGCACGCAAACGGAATGTCGCGCAGCATCGCCTCCTCGTCATCGCCGTCATCGTCGGCGGCAGCGCCTGCGCCCGCATTCTTGCTGCGGTCTGCACTGGCCACCACCGTGCCGCCCAGATGCTTCTTGCCCTTGGTCACCGCCTCCCACTCGTTGTCGAGCTGCCACCCCTGCTTGTAGTCTTCCCGTGCGTGCAGAAACTTGCAGTTGTCGCCAAAGCCGCAGAACCCCGTCAGTTTATAGTCCTTACAGACGTCTGGGGCGAAGTCTGTGATGGTGATAGTGCGGATGTTGGCCGCTGACTTGACGGGCCCGACCGATCGGGCAGCCGGTGCTGATGCCGGCGTGGCTGTTGGTGCCGGCATCTTTGTCTTTCCAGATTTGCCGGCCTTACCAGACTTGCTGTCGGTGTCGTCGAACCAGTGGCTCTGCTTCGTCGCCGCGTCCGAGTTGGACAGCAGAGCGCTCCGGTCGGTGATGTGCAGTGGCTCCTCCAGTCCCGTCGACGAGGACGTCGCGGTCGCGCCTGTTGGCTCGGTGAAGGCGCTGATCATGCCCGCACCGCCGGTTCGCTTCCGCCGCTTGATGCCGCGTAGACCCCCGTCCGAATCGCTGTCGCTGTCGCTGTCGCTGTCTGCTGGTCGTGCTGGAGGTGGCGTCGGCGACCGCTTGCGCATGTTGGCCTTGGCCTTTCCCCGGCCACGCGCCTTGAAGAGAACAGGCGCTATGAGCGCAGCCGGTGCCGAAGAAGGTTCCGTAGCGTCTGTCATGATTTCGTTGCGGTGGGTTGGCAAGAGAGCGGAAGCGCAAAGACGTGAATAGAGCCGTTCTGTTGAAGGATTATCAGCCACAGGAAAGCCGAGCTAGACGTGTGGCGAAGCTGCTTACATCATCGCGATCGTTATGAATCGTCCAGAAGCGTGCTCCGTGCTCGTACTAAGCCGTATTCAACTGGTGCAGATGTATCAGACATCTCCAGCATGATTGGTCGCAAAGGTTAAACATGAAATTTGTTGGGCCTGTGGAGTTTCCCAAAGCAAATTGGACATTGGCCAGATTGATGCGATGGCTGCCTGTATCTGTTCGACGAGGTAGGATACATACGGAGTACTCCGTACGAGGTATTGCGAGAGACATGGTGATTAAAAATTGCCGCAGCTGCCTGTTTACCGCACGACGTTGCTATTACGTGCACAAGCATTGCATGGCCTCGTATGCGCCCGTCATACTCCGTACTCCGTACACGTAGACGACCCCTGTCACATGTGGCAGAGTCCAAATAGCATAGACGGAAAGACGCCTGCTGACCTTGGGTAGGGTCGTGCCTTCTTCAGTTCAGAGCCGTATCGGGTCGTGTGGATACGCTACGGCAGCGTAGTGCAGTAGCACCTTTTGGCTGAAAACAGCGCGGCGCCTTGTTATGATGCGACCCTTCACGTTGGGTTGACCTTCGCGCCTGCTTTGATGTCAACAATGCGCTGGCTCTTCGCCACGACAACAGATTCCACATTCCCTTCATTCGCCCTCACCCGCCGTTTTCTTTTTCTTTGTCGTGTTCAATTCTTCAGTGGTTCTGTTGTGTTTGCCCGACAACTACGAGTGTTCTATCCTCCCATACCCGCTCTTGATTGGTGCTTGTGCTGCCTCTGCTGCCTGCAATTGTTTTTATCGGATTCGAAAGCAATCGAGAGCGATCTACAGAACACAAACGGACAAGGAAAGGCCAAGACGGCGAAGGCACCGTCGGGTGGAAGCCGATTGACATCAGACTATTGCTGTCCAGAAGCTTTCTTCTGTCCTCTGCATCCACTTGCTGTTTTAGCTGCCCGACTCCTGTCCATACAAAAGCTGTATGTGACCCTTCCTAAAAACGCGTCACATTTGGACCCCACAGCTACGCTCCTCTCGCCGCTTCTCTCTCCTCCCCGCCCATTTGCATAGCGAATAAGATTACGGGGGTATCGACTGCAGATATCAGAGCTTTGGCTGCAACAGAATCCCGACCAGTGCTGTGTTATCCTTGCTGCTGTGTCGCATTTTTCGTCAACGAGGCAGTTCTGCCGCTCGTCTTCCGCTCCCGTCGTTGGCCTCACCTTCGCCTGTCGTCTCGGGCGCACTCGGGTTTTTGAGTCTGTTTTGTCTCGTCTCGATCGTGCCCGCACCACAGTCTGAGTGCAGTTACACTATCCCGATCGAGGCGAACAGAACCACGGAAAGGTAATAATGGAGAAAAGAATGTAGGGGAGGATTGTCTTAAATTTTGAGTCCCCACTACCGTATTATTTTCCTTTTTTTCTGCGCCTCTCCTGATTTCACTCGGTGCTCTTTCTGACTCCGTTTTGACAGCAGGGCCGATCTACCACAACCATAGCGGTCGCGCTCCGTGGCTTGCCATCTCCCCCCCTTACAGAAAGCCCGAATTCTGTGCGGACAACAAACAGAGTTGAAAGCCACCTCACGCACTGCCCATCGGGCGCCGTTCCTTTTTTTCCGTCTTTCTTTCTTCCCTTCAGTCTCTCTTTTAATTCTCTTTTCGAAAATCGATTTCGCACCTTTTGCGACACCTTCTCCGAGCGACACGCATTTTTATTTTCGACGCAAAAACGTAAATTCTTTCTACACCAACCAGACGTCGCTGGATGAAGCATATGCCCTCGTGGTAGTCTGGACGGGGCTTTGTTACAGCCCGTGAGCTCCCCTTGGGGACTTTTTGCCTTGCTGGCTCTTTTCGCCTGAGAAGCCGGTGAATATCCAAAGGTCAAGATGGCTTCGCAGCAGGATGGAAGTCCGGTCACGCCCACACCGCTGCAGCGGCATTCCGGCGTCGACCGGTCGTCGTTCTCCCTTCACCCACCCCGCCTGAGCATCGGTTCAGGCCACCATTATCGCTTCGCCGACTTTGACGAGGGGTCCTTTTCCGAAAGTGCAGGCGTCTCGGCCGAGCAGGCCAAGCGTGCTCTGCGGGCACACCTCGCTGAGACCGAGCGACGCATGGCCGAGGCTGGGCGCCTGGGAACTGCACTTGTTCAACAACAGAAAGAGTTGACGGAGAAGCTGCAAGAAGTCGAGACGCTGCAAGAAGAATCCGAGTTGTCACCAGAACTCAAGAAGAAGCTCGCCGAGCTAGAGAAGGAGTATGACGATGTGGCCCGAGAAACCGCTCGTGCTTTCCTACCGAAGAAGCGTGTTCCTAGCAATGAATCTACTGACTCGCCGGATGCGAGAGGTCGGGTACGTTTCCACCGCTGCATACACTCTTCCCTGGCCATTGCCCTGGGTCCCGTCTGCTAATGAGCCACAGAGATCTTTGAGTCCTTCTAAATACGAGACCCATGCCTCCGGATCGCCTAGCAAGTTGACTGTCTCGAACCGCAGACAGCGGAACCAAAACTCCAACCGGGTTCACGACATTGAGTTCGCTGCGGAAATTAGCACGTCGCTGATCTCGCAGGTTCGTGGGCTGCAGGCACTTTTGGCTGAGCGGGAGGAAGATTTGCGCGATACAAAGCAGGACCTTGCTCGGCTGGAAGACACTGCGGATACGATGCGTGAGCGTATCAAAGAACTGGACGAAGGCGAGCATCGCTACAAAGAGGAGAACTGGAATCTGGAAACCCGCATCCACGACCTGGATGCTGCCCAACGTGACGCCTCCGACAAGGATAAAAAAATGGCTCAGCAACTGGCGATTCTGCAGGCCGACAAGGTCAAGACGCAGCGGGAACTCGATGAACTGAAGGGCGTGCACGCTCGTCTGGTTGATGAGCACGCTGCGATCGTCAAGCTCAATGACATCGAACTCGGTACAGCGAAGCGGAGCATCATCTTGGCTGATGGTGAAAAGGCCACGATGCAGCGCAAGATTGACGAACTGACAGGACTCAACCAAGAACTTGCTCGTGCCGTCTCGATGCAGCAGCGTGTCCAATCCGTCATTGGCGAAGCTGTCCCTGCAAAGAGCGACGAGGACGCTGATACTTCCAACGACCAGGGCACGCCCGATCACTCGCCACCTGCCTCTCCAGTCAAGGGCACGCCTCGCCATCCTGGTCTCGAGACGGAAACTTTGAAAACGTCCCTCCTCCACGCCCAACGCACTGTACAGAGTCTGCGCACCAACCTTCATCGCGAGAAGACAGAAAAGCTTGAGCTCCGGCGCCTGCTGCAAGAGACTCGGGATGACCTGGAACGTGTCCGCGCCGATCCTAACACGGCTGCGGCTGCGGCTGCAGCTGCGGCAATCAAGAAGAACCGGAAAGACGTGCGCGAGAACCAGAAGCAGTTGCGGCCTAGCCAGCTGGGCGGTCCCCGTTCAAGCCGTACAGAACTCTTCATCATTGCTTCGAACGACCCTGACTGGGAAGAGATCGAGAGCGAACCGTCTCCGTCTGGCTCCGCAGCCAGGGCACGGAGACGGGGCACGGAAACCAGCGACCAGTTCGATACGGCAAACGAGGGTGTTGTTAGCGACGCGTCATTTGCGACTGCCAATGAAGGAGCCGAGACGACCACCGACGCTTTCCATACCGGCGCAGAGGACCTTTCCAGCGACGAGGAGACTATGACGGAGACAGACCAACGTCCTCGTGGCCGAGCACTGTCTTCGAGAGGGAGCGGATCCGTATCTACGGCAAGAGGACCCCCAGCTCAGGATCCCGACGCAGCCAATCAAAGCACCGCCTCAACCTCTGATGATGAATTCAAGTCGCCTAGGACGCCAACTGCCTCGACATCTGGTAGCACGTCGCACATGCGGACGCGCTCCAGCCGCAGCACGCTAGCTTCGCACCGCATACGTCGTATGGCTAGCATCGAGGACCCCGGCAGTAGCCCTGCTGGTCTTCAGGCCAGTCCGTTCAGTGCTACTGGGTCTCCTGGTGTCGGCCTGGGCCTGAACTCAATTAACAGCACGCCACGGGTTATCGGTCTGCAACAGAGCCTGTTTGCCGAGCTGGAGGAGCTGAACGAGAACAGCGATGAAGACATGGCCAGCGAAGGGACACCGATTCGCTTCCGCAGCCCACGGTCTCTGACGCCATCTGCAATTGCCAGGACCAGGAGCACCAGCAATCTGTTCCGCGGTCGGTCTCCGCTGGCCCAAGTTCTGTCTACTTCAAAGGTCGTTATGGTAGACCGGGCTACTCTCACGGATTCCGTCACGATTTTGCCCTGGTCTGAGGAGGAAGAGAGACAGGAACAGCTGGGCGGCCTGGCACCTGAATCGCGGCCGACCTCTTTCCTGTCTGACATCAGCATGGGCGAGCGGCTGAAAGAGTTCCCCTCACCTCCATTGACGTCCGTACGCGGTCTCGCCCTGTCTCCTATTATTCTTTCGCCGCCACCATCGAAGCCAATCGAAGTCGGCCAGAAGACGGAGGATGACAGTGGAGAGCTTCAGGCTGTCGGGGAACCACCTCTGGAGCTGGCGATGTCTGTCATTGTTTCGGTTCCAATTGAGCCAGTGGCAGAGCCAGTGATTCCTCCGTCCCCCATCATCCTCGCCCTGTCCTCTGTTCTGGCAGAACATGTTGTGCCCCTCAGTCCATCAGAGCCGGAGCCCCCTGTCTTCACCTCATCAGCTCTTCATGCTGTTAATGTCAGTCCTATCGAGACGGAAGTTCCCGAACCGCCTACATTTTCACTGTCGGTTGTGCTGGTGGAGCAGGTTGAGCCCATCTCGGAGCCCGAGCCGGAGGAAGCTGTGCCAGTTCCCATGGAACCGTTTTCATTCACAGCTATGCAGTCGCAGTATGTGGAGCCGATCGCTGAGCCAGAGCCAGCGCCACCAGTCTGGGAACCATTCTCCGTCTCAACCGTTCAGTCACAGTACGTCGAGCCGATTGCAGAGCCAGAGAAAGCTTTGCCGCCGGTGGAGCCGTTTGCAGTTTCGGGGTTGTTGTCACAGCACATTGAGCCAGTCTCTGAGCCGGAGCGAGCCCTGCCCCCTCTGGAGCCATTCTCGTTCTCGGCGGTCCAGGTGCAGCACGTTCAGCCAGTGTCTGAGCCTGAGCCAGTGCGAGCACTGCCTGTTCCAGAGCCGTTCTCTTTCTCCGATGTGCAGACGCAGCAAGTCGAGCCGATTTCAGAGCCAGAAAAGGCTCTGCCTATTGCGGAGCCGTTCTCGGTTTCCGGAGTCTTGTCGCAGCACGTCGAGCCAATCTCCGAACCAGAGCGCGAGGTGGTTCCGTTGGAACCATTTTCTTACACAGGTGTGCAGTCGCAGGAAATCCAGCCTGTATCCGAACCAGAACCACCAGTCCTGCCGCCACCGTCACTTTCCGTGTCTGCGGTGCAAGTCGAAGATGTCGAACCGGTGTCTGTCCCCGAAGAGCCGCTTCCAAAAATGGCCGTGTCCGGCGTCTTCTCTCAGGACGTCGAGCCTGATGTCATTGCGGAAAGCGAGGATGAGAAGAAAGATCTGGTGGCTGTGGCTGCTCCTCTGGTGTCTGTCAACTCCATTGGAACGCAGACGGACGAATGGAAGCCTGTGCTTCTTCCTGGGGCTATCGCTACTCTCGGTGCTGCGGCAGTGGCTGGCGGCGTATTTACTGGCCACGAAGTCGGCTCTGTGATCTCTGACGGACAGCGGAGCCCTAAGAGGAACGCTTTCATCATACCCCGCGATGGCGACGAGCTTTCGACCGCGACGAGTTCGCCGGAATCTCGCCAGGCGCCAACAACGCCGAGCAAGTCTGCTCGTGGTCCCCTTATTGGGGGTTGGTCTAAGCACACTGGTCCTCCCACTCCAGTTATCGCAGAAGACGAGACGCAGCAGTCGCCGAGCACTGATTATCTGTCGGAGACGCCAGAGTCTGACCGTGTTTTCAAGGAGATTTCAGCCAACGCGAACTCTGGGAATGTCGTGCGCAGTATCGCCGCCGAGGAGCCTGTCCGTTCTCTGGAGGCCATTGGTGCTACGCCATATGTTGGCAGCAAACCGGCGAAGCAGTCTTTTGCTGTCGGCGCGATGGGGCAGAATGTCCTGGAAGATGGCACGGGCAGTTCTATCAAACGCGGCAAGGCTATCGATGCAACTGGTAGTGCGGCTCTGCATCGGCCTGGCTCTGCAACGAGCAACCGGCTCTCGACGGACTTTTTGCCCCCGCTACCAGCCAACCACAGAGAGGTGATCGAGGCTGCCCGGAGCGGTTCTGCCGGCTCTATGGGAAGCAGCGGGCCTGCTGCTGTCGCCGCGCCTGGTGGCATGGCAACATGGCGGGCACAGACGCCGACAGGAGCAGCTGCACGGGAGTTCCATTATGCGCACTATACCGGGACACCGACTCCGAAGGCCAACGTTCGCAACGGTGCGGCCGGCGTGGGCGAGCTGCACGCGCCGTCGCGGCCTTCGTCTCGTATGAACGCAAGCAACGCCGGTGGAAGTGTTGTACCAGGGGCGATGGGCTCGCTCAGCCGGCAGACATCCGTGTCGTCGTTCGCGTCGGAAGTCAATGCTCGGTTCAACATACACGACGGTGACGTCTTCGGAAGTGGGGCTTCTAGTCACATTGACCCGCGCATGATCCAGGCTATCACCCAGACCATGATAGGCGAGTATCTGTGGAAGTACACGCGTAAGACTGGGCGCTCGGGCATGTCTGAGAAACGGCATCGTCGGTACTTTTGGATCCACCCCTACACGCGGATGCTCTACTGGAGCGATCAGGGACCGTCTGCCGACAGCCGCGTGGAGCAACGGGCGAAGAGCGTCGTTATCGAGGGCGTGCGCGTTGTGACAGACGACAACCCGATGCCTCCTGGCCTGCACCGGAAGAGCCTTGTGGTGATCTCACCCGGCCGCACGATCAAGTTCACGTGCAGCACTGGTCACGGCCACGAGGTCTGGTTCAACGCGCTGTCTTATCTGCTCCTGCGTAAGGAGGAAGGGGCAGAGGACGAGGGCATGACGGCCAACGGGGAGCAGATCACGCGGGAGGACGTGGAGGAGTTCAACCCTGCGTTTGGGCACCGTGCAGGCGCCAGCTCTGCCCAAGCCCGGCGTCAGCCGCCCGTGTCGCTGTCGTCGTATAACTCGCGGACGACGCACAACGAGTCACCTGCGTTTGGGATGACGATGAACGTGCCGACGTTGACGCCGACGCCGAAGAAGAACACGAATGGCCGGGTAGGCTCCTCCATCACGCCGTCTCGGTCGGCAGCAAGGATCGCGTCGCGAAATCGCCTGAGCCGTATTGGCGGTTACTGGCGATCGAGCCAAAATCGCTCTCCACGCAGTTTAGCATACGCAGCCACCGGCAGAGCAACAACGTGCCGCAAGAAAGCGGGATATACGAGGCCAGCGAGGTCAACGACAGCGCCGAAGATGCTCGTGCTCTCTTTGTGGCCCAGGACCGGGAAGCTGGCCGGCTCGAGAACGTGCGGGCCTGTTGTGATGGTGAGTCGACTCGAGATGCTCTCTCGGACCGCAGACAGCAAGAATGTGACTGACATGGCACAGGCAAACACGACGTCGGCACGCTGTCGCATAGCACGCGTCGCAACCGACACTCGCAGCAGCCCACATCGACGATGTCAACGCCCACTCATAGTACCGTCCGTCACCGGCCTTAGAGCGCCGTGCTCGTTCCGAGGTGGTGTGTGCCTCTTCTGGTGCAGTGTTTCAGTCGCTTGGGAGCGCTCCAGGCGTATTCCCGTCTGTGTTATCTCTTTTGTGTTTTTGTCCGTTCATGTTCACGAAGCATTAACTGTTCGTTCATCCAACATCCCTTACGACCTTACGTCTCTCGTTTCTTGCCGAGTCTGTTTCCGAACTGCCGGCGTTTTGCTCATACTGCGCATTGTGCATGAGGGCCGTCTCTTTCTTTTGTTGTTCGTCGCGGCACTGAAAGTGCTCGCACCCGTCACTCGTTTGGATTATTTTCCGTCTTTCTATACCTGGGCGCACATAGCTCTAATTTCCTTGCCTGGTTTTTTTTTTCTGCGCTGCTTGTTCACCATGGTGAGGAGCATATGGTCTAGCACATTCTTGTTGGGAGGTTAAAGCATGGAAAACCAGAAAAAACAGTATTCGCTTATTTCACCTGACAAATCATAACTAAATTGCACGTGTTGTTGCTTGCGTATATAGCAGCCGTGTCCCGCAAATCGGTGCAGTCCAGCCGTCCGGTTTGCAGCAGCTAGCATTGATCTTTTCTTTATTTTGTTTCTCTTTTTTTCATTTATTGCTGTTTTCCGTTTGCACTCCCTAGAGACTAAAATAAGAGCATGCATGTCCCCGAATCCGTGGTTGTTTATGACGTAAAGGAATAAACGGACAACACATGGAATAATAAACACCCAGTAGATCCTCCCAGTGCACAAACGCTCCTGTTCCTCGGCGTCCTCTCGTCCTCTCCGCGGCCATCCAGCCTAGATGGCGGTGTCGTAGGGGATCGGGGTGACGGTCTCGGGTGCGTTGCCGTCGAGCGACAGGGTGTGGGCGGGACGCGGCATGGTGGGCAACCGCTTGAGCTGGACGGGCGTGCCGGTGGCCTTGGCCTGCTTCTTGAGCTCGGCGTTGACCTTGACGCGGCGCAGAAAGTCGTCGCGAGACCGGGACGGCGAGATGTGCTCGATGCGGACGTTGACGCGCTTCTCAAGGTACCGGTGCTTGACCTTCTTGTAGATGATCACACCGACGGCGTTCTTGGCCACGTTGTAGATGACGCCCGTCTTGCCGTGGTAGACCTTGTGGGGCATGCCCTTCTGGACGGCACCGTTGGTCTTCAGGTCGACGATATCGCCCACCCTTTCTTGTTAGCGAGCGTGGCGGAGAAGGGAGAAAGAGAAGCAAGAGCGTCGTTTCTCTGCAGAAAGAGCGCAAATGGTCAAGAAAACGTCTTCCGCCAAATCGTACGTACCGGTATGTCTTGAGATACGTGGACAGACGGATCATGCCCTTCTCACGGAACTTCCGCGAGAAGGCGTACCGCGTACCGGACCGCAGACCTGCGCTCTTACCCATGGCGACGGTGGGTTATTGGATGGAGGGAAAAGGAGACGACGTGGACGACTGCACTTGCGATGGTGCTTGTTGTTTTTTCGAAGTCCCGGGGCGGTACTGCGAAAAAGATTTGGCGATTGGGTTTGTGTCGTTGAATGGCCCCCGCGAAATTGTTGTCATGCAAAATCTTTTAGGGCCAAGTCGGTCGTGGGAAAAATTAAAATAAAGTGTGTGGGCGTGCCGGGTGGCGCCACGTGACGTTCAGCGAGTCAGCAGCGTTAGCAGCCACACAAACCTAGGGCAAAAATAAATTTTGGGGGGCATTTTTTTCTGCTTGCGTTTTTGTCGACTCCCCTCCACTTAACCTTTTCTCACATCTCTCTCTTTTTTTTCTTCCATCGCGAATCGCCCAACGTCGACGACACCAAGGAATCGTCCCGTCTCGATCACTGTCCCAAGATGGCTCCCCTGTCGTACTCCAAGACCGCCAAGGTCCCCCGTCGCCCGTTTGAGGCCGCCCGACTGTTCGTGTCTTCCCCTGCCATCCTCACCGGCCACTGAGCAGGAGCGTGTCTCTTGCCCATGTCGTTGTGAGCAATCAGCTAATGGAGGGTTGTGGGTTTTTCTCCTCTTCCCCTGGACTACAGTGACTCCGAGTTGAAGCTTGTCGGCGAGTATGGTCTGCGCAACAAGCGCGAGGTGTGGCGTGTCATGCTGACGCTGTCCAAGATCCGTCGTGCGGCCCGGTGAGTGGTCCTGGATTGGTTGGGCTGGGAGTGCAGGGTGCTAACAGATGCAGTCAACTCCTGACGCTCGACGAGAAGGACCCCAAGCGGCTGTTCGAGGGCAACGCCCTGATTCGCCGTCTGGTGCGTGTCGGTGTGCTCGACGACTCGCGCATGAAGCTCGATTACGTGCTGGCCCTGAAGGTCGAGGACTTCTTGGAGCGTCGTCTGCAGACGCTGGTCTACAAGCTGGGTCTGGCCAAGTCGATTCACCACGCGCGCGTGCTCATCCGCCAGCGCCACATCCGCGTCGGCAAGCAGGTCGTCAACGTGCCGTCTTTCATCGTCCGTCTCGACTCGCAGAAGCACATTGACTTCTCGCTCAACTCGCCCTTTGGCGGCGGCCGTCCTGGCCGCGTCCGGAGAAAGAAGGCCGCGGCCGCCAGCAAGGGCGACGGCGAGGAGGAGGAGGAGGAGGAGGAGTAGACGCTGTCCGGTACGAATACACACGGTGACAAGACTGGAAAGACGGCGGACTGTGCGAGATGATATAAAAAAAATCCGAGAGAATGGAAAGAGGGCAAGAAAGGCAAGAGGCAAGAGGCTTTTTTGCTTTGCCGCTTTGCCGCTATTTCATTTTTATTTTTTATTTTACAAATTGGGCCCGACGGCCGGGTCGATGGAGAGTAAAACAAAAAGCAATAAAAAGAGAAAAATGATACTACTTCTTGTTCTACATGCTGCTCTTAGTGTGGCTCCGCTCCGAGAGGTTGCGCGAGGCATCGAGGATGAGCGAGACGTGATGGCTGAGGGCGACGAGGTCGTGGTGGTCGTCCAGGATGACGACCTCGAGGTCGAGGCGGCCATTGCGAATCTGCTTGGAGGCGATGCGGACAAAGAGCCACTCGACACCATCGGGCGGCAGGGCCTTCTTGACGTCGAGATTGAGGGCGAGGGTAGGATACCAGAAGATCTGGCTGGGGTCAAAGTAGGCATCGTCGGGGTCATCGTCAGACTGGGGCCGATAAGACTCGACGACGTAGGGCCAGACGTCGGCGACGAAGCCGAGGAGCGTGTTGGTGAAGCGTTCGCCGGTAGCTAGGCGGATCCACATGTCGACGATGGAGCGCTGCTGGGGAGAGGGATGATGTTTGGGGGGGGATTCCGGCTGCTGCAGCTGCCACTTGGGCACGTAGAACTCGGTCTGGGCCATGACGGCACGATAGCTGCCGGGGGGAATGGGCCGGCGCTGCCAGTGGTCGTCGACACCGTCGCGGCCGAGGCGGGCAAAGTCAGCGGGCGGTGGTGGCGGCGGCAGCGCTGCCGGCTGCAGAACATAGCCGGTCGGCAGGCTGAGGCCGGTCTCGCGATCGAGGGCCGAGTTGGTCAGGTAAGCCACGGCCTCGCGGCGCGACTGGCCCGGCGTGATCCAGGGCGCCTGGGTGGCCAGGGCATGCTGGAACAGGCTGACGTGCACGACGCTGGTGCGCTGGCCCAGCTTGACCTCGTCGACGACAAAGACGGCCGGCCCGATCTCCGTCCGGCTGACGTACTCGACGTGGGCAATGACCGTGTCGGGCTGGCCACGGCCGGCCAGGTGCGTCTGGACGACGCGCAGGAAGCAGCTGGCGATGAAGCCGCCATGGGGGACTGCAGGTCAGCAGGTGTGGGTGTGCGCAAGAGTGGCACGGACAAGGTAGCTTACCGGATCCGATGCAGTATCGAGCCGGGAAGTTGGCCCCGTATGTGGTGGCATCGAGGCGCGTGATGCGGGTGGCCTCGTCAAAGTTGGGGTCGGACGTCATGCTGAATGGTGTGTAGAAGGTTTCTTTTTCAGTATCTTCGTCCGTTCTTTGGCTTGTTCGACGCAAGTACGTTCATCTCGACTTACACCCCAGATTCACCGAGGCATGTCAAAAAGACGTATGAGTAATCACAGCGGACTTATGGGTCTAGCCGAGGTCCACTTCTTTCGGGCTTATTTCAACAATTCGAGCAGCATGTGCAGCCATATGGCGAGGGCGCCATTCTGTAGGGGATGTTGAGGCCATGTGAAAAGGGCAAGGGGGTTTTCGTGTTCGTGTGCACATTGTAGCAACATCGACCATGGCCGTCAATGCAGCGAGCGACAAGGGCTTCCCGGGCTTTGAGCAGGTGACGGAGCAGATCTGGATTCAGCGTGTGGACGAGCCGACGACTGCTGCTGGCGATCAGCCGACGACGGTGCTGCTGTTTGGCTGGGGCAATGGACAGCCGCGCCATGTGGCCAAATACGCGGCCGGCTTCCGCGTGCTGTTTCCGCAGGCGACCATTGTGGCCGTGCTGTCGCCGATTCTGCAGGCCATCAGCCAGGGCGTTGACGATCGCACCGAGGCGATGCGTCCGCTGGTGGACCTGGTATGGGGACCGGCGAGCCTAAGCCAGCGTGACGTCGATGAGCGTATCCTGGTCCACGTCATGTCCAACGGCGGCGGCATCTTCTATGCGGCTACGCTGAACGCGTATGCGCGCAGCCATGGCGCCGCCATGCCGCACGACCTGCTCGTCTGCGACTCCACGCCCGGCGGCGATGCCATCGGACCCAATCTCTGGTGCTGGGCGCGCGCCGTGGCCCTGGGCGTCGCCGCCTACCTGCCGGGCGTCCCGTTTGTCTTCACGCAGGCGCTGTGTGCGGGCTTTCTGGCGATTCATCACGTGACCGAACACGTGATCATTCGCCGCGAGTCGGCCGCCACGTTTAGTTGCCGTCTGGTCAACGACCAGGACTACGAGACGGCAGCGGCCCACCGGCTCTACCTCTACTCGGCCGAGGACGACATCGTCCGGTGGCAGGACGTGGTGGCGCACGCGGCCGACGCCCGCCAGATCGGCTACGACACCACGCTCGAGCGCTTTGCCGGCAGCCCACACGTCGGCCACATGCGCCAGCACCCGGAGCAGTACTGGGGGGCGATCGAACAGGCCTGGGCGCACTCGTGGAAGGGCAAGGGGGCGAATAGAGGATAGCGGGCTAGATAGCTGGCATGATGCTGGCTGGAAATGACACTAGACGAGAACGATCGGTGGCTGGCTTGGACAGCAGCGGAGAGGCTGTCTTGAAGCTGTGTACACCGTGCTCGGTCTGACTGCAATCCGTCAGCTTCAGCCGCAAAAAGGGAGATTGAAGCTGTAAAGTCGCCATCCCAAGTCGGTCTCCCCATGTCACCAGAGAAACCTGCCAGGACGCGTCATTCATGCTTGGCTCTCGTCTGCAGCCTAGAGCCAAGAGCTGTCCGCAATGGTTTGCGTCACCTATGAGGGGATCGTTCCTGCACTGCCCCTCTGTTGCCAAATGGGGAAATCGTGGGCCGTCACTGCCTGCCCTACCACTCCTTCTCTGCCTTGCCATCCCCCCCTGTAATTTTTATCTCTCACCTCTTTGTATTTGTTTTCCAAACATTCCCATGGTTGCTGTCAATCCCAAACGCCCGATATCCTAACGCCCATTGTCGCCATCCGAAGCCAGACGTTGACGGATCGGCCAGTCTGCGGCGCCGGCGAACACGCTAACCCTGAAGCGAGGACAACGCGCGACGATCATTTCAACGGCAACAGCTACGTTCGTACGCACGGCGAAGCACGATTCCGTCCACCGCCACAGAGACACCGAGCTTGCAGGGCGAAAGAACAGGCCGCGCCAGGATGAAGACCTTTCGCAATGTGCTGGGCAAGAAGAACAAAGATCGTGAGCTGTCTCCGGCCCCCCCAATTCGCCCCGCACGTGTCCGGCGTATGCGGCCGCGATCGGTGCCTTGCGAGCAGTCCAGCTGACAAGCCGTGCCAGAACTAGCTCCGAATGACGGCACGCCGCCCGCAGGACGGGCCTCTATTTCCGGCACGGTCGGATCCGAGCGCGATACGTCCAGCAATAGCCTGGCCGACGATGCAGAGACGCCCGAGGCTTCGGCTGCCCGCTTGGTGGTAGGCAGGACGAGCGAGGACGAGCGAGAGCGATTGGAGGACCGTGGCTGACAAGGACCGTGGCAGAAAACGTTCTGCCTGAGCGAGACTGACGGATCGGTAGGCTGTCCGGACCTGCTTATCCATGTCCACATTCACGCTGACGGCCATGTTCCAGGGAGCCGAAGAGGCCATGCTGCCCAGCCTCGTCGAGGCGGCCGAGTCGTCACCCGCGGCAGCAGCCGAGTGTGCTCGCCACATCCGCAAGTTCCTGTACCGCGAAAACTGGCGCCGGCCCACCGTCATGTACAACGCCATCATGCTGATGCGCATCCTGGTCGAGAACCCGGGCCACACGTTCACGCGCAACATGGACAAGAAGTTTGTCGAGGCCGTCCGCGAGGTCCTGCGCAACTGCCAAAACCTGCAGACGGTCCAGTCCCTCATCGACGCGCTGCAGAGCTTCGAGGCCAAGAGCGTCGTGGACGAAGGCCTGGGCCGCATCGTCGAGATGTGGCAGAAGGAGAGGGCCAAGAGCAAGATCCCATATCCGGTGCGTACGACTCCTCATCTCTGGCCCTCCTCGCTTCTGACAGCCCTAGGCCCATCCGAACGGCCAGCCACAGTTCATGTCACCGATGCAGCCGATGCAGCCGATGCAATCGATGCAACCGATGCAGCCGATACAGTCAATGCAGCCGATGCAGCCAATGCAGCCAATGCAGCCGTATCCGGTGTACCAACCCTACACCATGGGCCACCAGCCGAGCAACAGCCAGTATGAATGGCCGTCTTATGGTGGAAGTGGAGGCGGAGGCGTGAGAAGCAGCGGTGGTGGCGGCCACCACAGCAGTCGCTCGCTGCCACGACCACAGGAGGTGCGAAAGCGTCTAGAGGAGGCACGCACGACAGCCGGGGTTCTGGCCGATGTTGTCAACACGAGCTCGCCACCCGCCCTGCTAGACCACGATCTGGCCGGCGAGCTGTCATCCCGATGCCGGCGAGCGACAGCTCAGATTCTCGACTATCTCGACGCGCAGAACCCGATCCCGGACAACACGGAGATGGCACACCTGCTGACGGTGCACGAAGCCGTGCAGCAGTCGCTGCACCACTACTACAGAGCCGTGCTGGAGGCCCGCAAACAGCTAGGCATGGGCGAGACGCGGCGCAGTGAGACGGGTGGCGTGCCAGCCATCGAGATGACACCGGCCGGCCAGAGCAAAGACAAGGGCAAGGGCACGGCAACGAGTCCGGGCATAGCGGACGGACCCGGCGGAAGCACCAGCAGCGGCGACGCTTACGTCTACGGCGGTAACGATAGAGGAAAGGCCAACAGCAGCAACGGGGGCCTCGTAGGTGACAGCAATCCTCGGTATTCCGTGACCGATCTGTACTCGGACTCGGACTCGGACTCGGACGGCCGGATGGCAGCAGCCATTGCCGCCAGCACGGCGCCCGGAGCCAACAGCCGGCCGTCACAGCGCTACCTCAACACGGACAGCCCGTTTACAGACGCGCCGGCCGAGTCGTCCCGCTCGTCATCGCGCGTGCGTCCGGGAGCAGGCGGCAATGGCAAGGCACGGCAAAAAGGCCCAGCTACGGGCTCGTCCGCTGCCTATGCTTTGGATGGCGTGTCGCCCAACGAGCCAGAAGACTACCAGCCAGCAGGCGGCAGAAGTGGTAGTGGTAGTGGTGGTACTGGTGCTGGTGCTGGTGCCTCCTCGTCGTCTGCCATCGACTCGGCCGCACATGCAGGCGGGCCGGTGTATCGCTACTGAGAAGAGGAAGGGACCATGGCAGGACAGTCCCTGGCTCCTGTATCTGGGATATCTTTGCGGTATGTGACGTGACAGCTTGGCTTTCGCAGTTTTTTGAAAATTGTTCAACATCTGGCCTACCTCTTTTCTTCTTTTTTTTCATCCGTCCTGTTGACACCCTCCCCTTTTGTTTAGCTGGACTGCTTGCTTCTTGACAAGATGTTTCAGTGAGATACCCGTCGTGCGAGCTCCCATTAGCAAGCGGTGTCATTTTGACGTTGTAAGATGTTTTTGCCTCCTTAATTGGAACGTTCAGTCTTGCTCGTAACCAAATTCAAAACCCAAAGACACAACGTTTCCCCGCTGGCATCGTGCATCCTGCGTGCTGGTTTCCAATTTGCCCCCAGATCGGCATGTCGTCCGTAAATGGGAATTTAAGCGAAAGACAATATCTGGCGCTAGTCATGTATGTGTGATCTCAGCTTGGGCCCTAATTCCAAGTTTTACAGTACGCTTTTCAGTACAGTATACGGTGGAGCTATGCATAACCGATACCTAAAGCGGCTAGCATCCCTCAAATAAATCAATGTACGGAGAACTCTGTACCTTTTGTGCAAATTACATTTCGTACCAGTCACGTAAGGTATAGTTGAGCGGCAGAAAATAAAGAATAGTATACAGACTACTCTGTATTACGTACTCTGTGCGAACCCGGTATCATTATACTTATAAGTAAGTGAAAACAGAGAAATAGTAAAGATAAAATTCAAATCGAATATGCTACCGAATTAGCTAGGGCTGCTAGTCTAGCACTCTTCTGAATAATTTAAACGGTTTTACGCAAACTATAGCAACTTTAGTAGCCAAGGACTAAGCCTTTTTTTTTTATTATAAATATCAAAGGTAGTTAGTAAATAGTATATATAGAATACTGTACGGAGTACTCCGTACCAAAAGTGTATTTAAAAAAACTCAGAATTAGAGCCTTAGCCCCAGACCAGTACCAGAATTTTCCGAGCTCGATCCCCTCGACCCTGGAGTTACGAGCTTATCGGCGCTTTGGAGTTACGTGTTTCAAGCGGCCTACTTTGGAGAAGAACAACGATGACGACAGACATTGGTACAAAAAGCAAATAAAACAGAAAACGGCAAGCCTGCGCTGTCAGCTAGCCCACGGGTGTGCAGGTCGTAGGGGTCTGGCATACTAAAAATGAATTTAAAAAAAGGGGCGCACTGTAAGGTACATTCACCAAGCAGCTTACACTGCTTTCAGTGCACCTATCGGATTCAGTACACCTAACGCATACGGTGCGTTCAGCGCATTCAGCGTATCTGAATTATTCAGCATATTTAGTGCATTCTGCGCATTTGGTAAGATATATTCGCTGCACATAGCGCTAAATGCTTAGAATGCACCAAATATGGTGAAATTCAATACGCTGAGTACGCTGAGTGTACCGAATGCGCTGGGTGCACTGAATCGCCGGTTTTACTTGAGCAATAGCTTATTTGGCAGTGTATACTGTGTAAGCAATACAGTGTTGCATTACGCAATTCACTGTGATGGACCCCCTGCGAACGAGTCCGACCCCCTGCGACATGCCCACATTCCTGGCTTTAACAGGATCATTAAGATTACCATACCATAGGCCATGCGCTGCACGTAATATGCGGATCTGCCATCCAGGCTCTCGATCGGTGCTTGACCGCTCATTTCCCCGGCATTTCCGTCAAGGAGCAGCAGTCTGTCTGTCCTCTCTGAAGCTTACTGCGTCATCCCTAATTCTATCCCGTGTTTTCAACTTCGTATATCTGCAGCTGTTAACCTTTCCTTTCTTTTTTGGCTGTGTCTTTTCTTCTTCTGAATCCTTTTGGGCTTCTCCATGACCTGGTTTCTGCCTTTTCCTGCAGGTGCGGCTAAACAGCACAAATTCTCAACCGCTGACCGATAGCTTACTCGTAGTCTTTGTGCTTTGTGTCTCCGCACTGTCTCGGCTGGCCATAAGGCTTTCGACTGGCGCTCCTAGCCGAGAAAATCCCCGCAGATATCATGTTCAAAAAAAACAATGCCCTTGCTACGGAGATTCTTTTACTTAAAAATTAAGTAATATAATATTTATTAGCTAGTCGTTGAACCTTTATATATCTCATTAAAAATACATAGTTGGCAGCAAATTTTACTATGTAGTTGTGTATGTAGGTGTTTCTGGGTGATTTCCCGTAGCGAATACCGGAAATGCCAACACGACTGCATGGCAGGAATCAAGGCGACACTTCGGCTGCCTTTCTCGGCTTGCTCACACCTTCCTTTCGGAGGTTGTTGTCCACGTTGCTTCGGGAAGGCGCGATGCGAGGCAGTGGCAGCAAATGTGGCCTCCTTCCAGACTTTGTTCGCTGATACTGACGTACGCGTAGTTCTATGTCTCATGTATCTGTCTCCGCTGTCTCTTTTAAACTTCGAAGCTCGTCCTCGAATGAATCTTTGAACTTTTCTCTCTCGCCCTCCGTCTGGGTGCCGATGCCCCACCGACGATTCCAGCTTGGCCGACACACACACGGATGCAAGCCTCGTCTGTTACAATTGGAGAAGCGATGCGGCTGTCCAGCTCTTATGCCTGGACGCTTGGCAAACTGCTCATTGCTTCTTCCTTCTTATCAACCGGCCTCTTACCGCTTTCTTCTTCCCAGACCGGCAATGTTGAGGCCCGGGCTTGGACGAGATTCCACGGAGATGGTGCGTCTCCGCCAGGCCTCGACCATTGTCTCAGCCGATCCTGATCATCGGTCCCTCTGTCCACTCACTACGTTGCCTCTATCTGTCTTTGAAAATAGGTGCTGCATAGCATCGAAATTCGGCAAGAGAGCTGCTACGTTTGCTCTGCTCAATCTCAGCTTAGTCTGCTTATTATCTTTCTCGGTACGGAGTACTCATTGCGAGGGTGCCTATTTTTCCTAAATAGAGTTCCACTCTGGCTGCGGCTGAGCCGCGGTACTCTTCCCTGCATAGCACAGCGAACGACGAGTATGCTCACTTGTGCTCTGTCAGATCTAGACATCTGGCATTGCATTGCAGGTGGGCTCTTTGGGGCTCTCAGGGGCTTGCAATCAAGTACTCCGTGTCTTGCACTGTGCCGGAACTTTCCGTCTTGAAAAGCAAAAGCTGCGCACAGCATAGCTGACCATCGCTTACTTCGGTGCTGCATGTTATGATACCCCCAAGTTGTCTACAGTCTGGCAAATGTGCCGTCCTCCACCGGCCAAATTCTCGTCCCTCGGCTGAAACAATGCCAGTGGTTTGGGACGTAGCAGTCAGGCCGCCTTTGCCGCTTCGATATGAGACTGTTGTACGACAGAGACTAGAAACAGCTGCAGAAGCCATGCTGCTCATGATATCACCCTTCATGTGACAGTCGATAGAATGATGGGAAGCAAGGCACCTCGGCCACATCAGACTATTGGTCCATATCGGATCTCAGTCACACTACACGTGGACCCCTGCATCCTACGTTGCCAGGAGCGGGATACCCACCAAATATTGCTTTGTGAACACTGCTCTCCTCCATATGGCAGTGATGGGCGAGAAGGGAAGATAGTTTTCACTCTGGCGATCGTGCGGAGGTGTGCTTTTGCGCATGGCGGGAACCTCCCACCGGCCTCTAGGAAGTCTTCCGTCTCTGGAACGTGCATACTTGTACTTTTGGTGACAGCCAAACAGAGACCAGGGACAGGGCGGTCATTCCTAGCATGGAATTCTAACGGCGCACTGAAACGCTCCATTGGACAATTGCCGTTCTTGCTGTTTCTGCCTGCTGTCTCTTCCTGCCTTTTCTTTCTACGAGCTGCGAAGGGGGAGGGGTGGGCACAGAGAGGATTGGCTTGTCCTCGGGGCCTGGGCCTGATTGACGCCCGGCCTCGTTTTCCTAAACAGTCGGAACGCGTTGTCTGCTCTCGCAGACTCTTGGTTCCAAGACACTTTCGACCTTGTCGGCCATCCCTGCACGTTCTATCTAAAGGTGCGGAGCTACCATCCGGCTTAATCTTTACATCCCCGAGCACTTGTGGCCGGGACCTGTACTTAACGCCATCTGTCCCATCATCCCTCTGCCCCTCCACTGTCCGCTAGCTCGAGTGCCAGACTGCCATCGCTTGCCCCAAATGGTAATGGTCTTAGCGCCCTCTCCCGTCTCGCCGCAGCCTGGCCACGCCTCGTTGGGCAGCACATCGTCCGTCTCGTCGCACGACGGCAGCGATGCCAGCGGTGGTGACAACACAGACGGCAATCCTGTCCCTGCAGAGAACCGCACTGTCGTCACGCTGTTTGCACCGGACCTGGAATACATACTGCGCGCCCACAACTCATTACGGGGCCTTTGCAAGAATCCTGGCCGGCTGGAGCCGAATTTTGCAAAGCGCCCGCTGCCGAATCCACGCCCGATTTGGTTGGCGGAACTCAGCGACGTCCCACTAACAGCCAGACTTCTGATATTGCCTCCGCTGAGCAACTACACGGAGGGATATTCTCTTCGGACGCTGCTGTGCGACCTCGGAAAGGTGAAAAGACCCCAGTCTTCAAGACGTTTTCGCTTATAAGACACAGCCTGGCCCTGGCCTTTCCAACTAACATGTCTTGTCTCAGAGACGGCTTGGTATCTTGGATGCCCCATCTGCAGACCTTGCCTGCAAGCTGTACCAGCCAGACAGGTTGTCATTCACGGAGGAGGCGCTTGAAAACGTGGTGCTGACACCGGACATGGTGGGTCTGGCAGCTCGATTCACCGAAAACGACGCCAACAACAGCTTGATTAATAACATGCATGTTGCCGGCGGTGATGACACAGGCGACGGCAATGACGACGAAAACCAGGCCGTGCCAACCAACAATTCGTCGTTGCAATCGTTGTACGTTTTGCAGCGCTGGGGCAAGCATGTGCGGGTGATCAGGCAGCCAGATGAGCTGGACGTGGCGCGATATGTGTCTAACATGCCACGTCTGAAAAGCATCAGGCAAGCATACAAACATTCTCTCTCCCGGGTTCTCCCCTCGCACACACACTAACAGACGTGCAGCTGGGAGTATCCGCCGAACGGTGACCGAACGGCAGGCTTCCAACGCGTCATTAGCAATGGGGTCATCTCGTACGGAATAGGGGGGCTACAGGGCATTGCATTGGGACATATGCTCGGGCCGTCTGTGCGGCTGTGTCTCGACGGCATGCCACTGGAGGGGATGGCCCGGCGGCTGTCCCAGTTGGTGAGTGGTGGCGTGGACGCAGACCGTGAGCTTCGGGTAGCACTGGGCGGGCTTACTTCGATCCGGCTGACAGTCGGAGGCCCGGGAAACGAAGTGGTGACGGCCGCAGACATGGACGCACTGAAACGACTGCTGCTGCTGGCGTCACCAAACCTGGAGACTCTGATTGTGCGGGCGACCGTGGAAGCGGAGCACGACGGATACGCAGGTGCAGACAGAGGAGACAGAAGAGAAACAGGGGAAGCGGAACAGGGCCGCTTCTATCTGCCGGCCTTTTCCTTCCTGCCTGGCGAGCGGCTCCCGCCACTGCGGTACCTACACCTGTGGCGCTACGACTGGCGGCGACACTCATCGGCAGACGTGGCAGCCCACTGGGACTTCTCGCAGCTGCGCACACTTCTGTATGACGGTGCGCCACTGCGCTGGTTTCTCGGCACGCTCTCGTTTGCATGTCTGGCAGGCTTGCAGACGCTGCGACTGGACGATGCCGAATGGGCGCTGCAGCCAGGCCAAGGCAGACAGGCAGCGCTGCTCGTTGGCTACCTGCTACAGCACCACATCAAGGAGCTGCGGCAGCTAGAGCTGGTGCGCTGCTACACGGACAACCTGCCGATGGCGGCGCTGCGGCGACACGTCGGCACACTGGAGGCGCTCGTTCTGCGGCATCCGTATGGGGTTGGGGGAGGGAGCACGGGCGACGCTGCAGGAGCCGAGCTGTCGGACGCGGCGGCAGCCAACATCACGCCGCTCAGTCTGCATGCGCTATTCGAAGAGGGCAGCAATGAGGAGGTCGGCTCGGATGGGATGTACGTGGAGATGACGGTGGAGACGCGTCGGGCGCTGCTGCTGAAGCGGCGGGGAAACCCAGTGTTTTCGCGGCTGAAGAGGCTCGAGATCGACATGGATGATCGCCATGTGGCTGCTGGAACGACCGGGCAAGGCACCGGAAATGCAGGTGGTCCGCCCGAGGGCATCGAAGCAGAGACGCTTTCACGACTGGCACGACTGCCGCGACTGGAGTCGCTGACGCTGGCAATGCCGTCAGCCCTGCGAGGGCTTCACTGTGTGCCCCGTTACGACGTGGATCTGCACCAAACGCTGCAGCGACTGGTCTATCTGCTGGGACAGCGCGAGGAGTTAAAGAGGAGGCATAATGTCGAGGCCGAATGGCTACAGGACTACGAGAAGAGGTGCCATGACGGCCGGCAACAACAACAACAGCAACAGCTGCCTGAGATGGCTTCCCTCAACCGAATTGCTGTGCACATCGGTGGCTGGATGCCACCGCGAGGAACTGGCATCGACGAGACCGGCATGACTGTCACGCACTGGTTTCCGCCGACGGCGGCAAGACCGGTAGAGCCAACGATGCTGACGGCGGCGAACGGAGCGGGTGCGTGGGCAGCCCCGACGTTTCTGGCGCCGTCGCGCGATGTCGACGTCAGTCCAGGCGTGGGAGCGGCACTGGCTCTGCGAGCGATCGGACTGCGGTCACAGCGCTGTCTGGTGGCAGAGCGGAGCCTTGACGAGGACTGCGAGGATTGCGAGGACGAGAAAGGCGACCAAGGGGAGAAAAGGGAAAAGGGAAAGGGAAAGGAAAAAGCCAGGGATGGTCGGAGCAATGCCGACGAGGGTGGTTCTGGCAGTGGCAGCGGAACTGCCAACACTAAAATCGGCTCTCCTGCTCATTACACGATCAGCGAAGAGTACAGCGATTTGGTCGAGTACGTCGAAGACCGGCCGAAAGAGCTATCCTGGGTGCCGGGTCAGGCGCGCCATGTTCGTGTGCGACAGCCGTATGAGATTCGGTTCGCGAGACCGAGGCATTTGGCAGAAGGGCCATTGTGGGATGTCAACGGACTAGCCATGTGGCCATGAGGGCCTGCACCTGGACGGTAGGATGAAACAGATAGATACGACCGGGTATCAAAAAGGAGGGCAAGATGAAGGGAGAGGAAACCATTTTTGAATTTTCGCGATACCGTTTTCTTCTTGGAGTGTCCGGACCTGCTTCGATCTTATTACAATTGGAGTATTTATTTTGAGCCATCTTGGCAGCCCCAAAGTTTCTGCACTGGTGATGTGATACCCTGACTGGAAAAGCCAATGCCGGAATTGTTTTATCTACCAACGCCGGATGGCTTGCATTAACGGGCCGAGACCAGCCCTCATTTTGTTGCACAAGACAGAAAAGAGGAAGAAACAACGCCGGAAACAATGCTGACAAAGGAAAGAAGCCTCGGGGCAGAACCCAAAAGAGGAGCTAAAAACGACAATCCCGATCTGTTGTTACAATGGAGGACCGCGCCGTGTCCTCTCTCTGTGTCTTTTCACTCCCTCTCACTCGCACTCGCACTCTATGGGTATCTCTCCTACACGACATGTCCACCAAATCCGGCCACCAGAGCGGCCATGGAAGATGACAGCACGGTCCGAGCCGGCAGTTGCGGCACTGGCGGCTGCTGCGACCGAGCCGAGTGAAAGGACGCAGCATACATTGAATCAGCCATGGACGCGGCTGCCGTCGTCGTTGCTGCTGGCGGAGTGGCCGTGATGCCGAGGCCCTGGCTGCTGACGATGCGCGAGTGCCGACCAGCAAGGCTGTTGTTGTAGCTGCTGCTGCTGACAACACGACTGCTGCTGCTGGCGTTCTCGGCGGCCAGCGTGCCGACAGGCAGCACACCGCCACCGATGCGAGCCCAGAACATCTGCTCACGCAGACGCACACCCTCTTCCCAGGCAGCGTGCTCGGCGTTGGCGTCGTCGGCACGCCAGTGACCATCTTTGATCATGCGCAGAAAGCCGAGAAAGTCACAGACGGCTCGCACACGGCCTAGACAGTAGCCACACAGCGCATATGGCGGGCTCCGGTCGCTTTCTGTCAACCGGAACCGGTGTCGTCGCAGATGGGCCTCTTCCCGTCGGCTCTCGCCACAGAGCGCACATGGACTGAAGATGGTGACGGACGACGACGACGACGACGAAGCATAGCCTGAAGCCGCCATGGCCGGAGACAACGAGAAGCCGCTGGCTGACAGCGCGCCATACGGCGAAGGCCCGGAGCCTCCTGAACCGCCGGCCGAGGCAAACGAATGGGTCGAGCCATTCGAAAGACCGCCAAGGCTGGGCATCGGCTCGGCCACCAGCGTGCCCTCCAGCATGGCCGACATGATGCCGCGGCGGCCCAGCCATGAGATGCTTGGGGCCGTGTCCAGTCGCAGGGCCGGCTCAATGTCCTCAACCAGCACGCGCTTGTAAAACTTGGTCTCTTTCAGGCCGCTGGATCCGTGCTGCGTGCCGGCTTGCGAGAACGAGCTGCTTGGCGACGGGATGCTGCCGTTGCTGCCGCCGTTGCCCATGATGGCTGCCGGCATGGCCGACAGCAGCGACGGCGATGGGTTTGCAAACGACGCTGTGGGTGCCGGTGATGATGGTGGCGGCGTCGTGGCGGCCAGGTCGCTGCTGCTGGCCATTATCGGCGGTGTTCTGGGCATCGAGATGGATGATGGCGACCGCGCGTGAGGCAGAAGCGTCTGCTGATGCAGCTGCTGCTGGTGTTGGTGCAGCATCTGCACCTGTGCGCCACGGATGAGGTCGAGGAACTCGGCATAGGCTGCCGTGTCGAACCGCAGGACCGGCCGCACCAGATGGGTGAAGCTGGTCGGGTATGACGGCGGAGTCGGTGGCAGCAGCGAGGGGGGGTCGACTGCAGGCGTTGTGGCTGAGCCACTTGTGGCTGAGCATCCTGTGGCTGAACCTGTGGCGTCGTCTTCCGAGACGTCCGTGTCGGTCCCGTCGAAATCGCGCCGAGCAGCAGCCCCGCCCCGGCCACCGAGCTTATCTGCAGCATGGCCGGCCTGTCGGCTGGCGGAAGCCTGGCGTGCTGCTTGCTCCTCGGAAGCCTGGGCAGCGGCCTGAGCGGCTTGGGCGTTGGCCTCGATGGCCGCCTGGGCAGCTGCGCCTTCGGTGATCATGTCCTCCATGACCTGCTTCAGCTGGGCCAGCTGCTCCTGCTGCGACCGCAAGAGGCCTTCAGTGTCGGCCAGCTGTGCGCGCAGGTTGTCGTGGCGCCGTGTCGCCGCCAGTTGCTCGCGCCGGGCCTCTTCCTTGGCCATGGCCACCATGCTGTTGGCCTGCTCAAACAGCTCTGCCGTTAGAGCCTCGAGTTCCTGCTCCATCTTCTTCTTGGCCTGCTCGGCCTCGTCGCGACGTCGCCGCTCATCACGCACCCGCACCGCAAACTGCGCCCGCTCCTGCGCCCGCTCCTGCTCTATCGTCGCCTTGCGCACCCACACGCCGCCAGTCACCATCTCCTTCTGCCGCTCGGCCACCACCTCGAGCTTCTGGATCTGCGCCCGCGCCTCTGCCAGCTCCATCCGCGTGCGCGACAGCGTGTCGCCCAGCGTGCTCTGGTAGTTGATCGCGTCGATCAGCTTCGTGCTCAGTGTCGTCACTTCGTCCGATGCCACGCTGTCTGCGCTGTACTGACGGCTGCCGATGCCCGGCGACGAGGCTCCCTGGCCGGCTGTCAGCGCCCGCTTGCGCGGGTCCGGTAGCGTGCTCATGTCCTCATCCTCGGCCACCATGCCGGTCTTCAGTCGCCCCATTGGCGTCGGCGACGGCGACGGCGACACCGATGGCGACACCAGCACCGCATATACGGCCGACGCGGCTGATGTCGCCGCTATCGTCGCCGACGACGCTGACGGCGACTCCGACTCGTCCGTCTGGCTCGGCTCTGGACTGGTCGGCATCGTTCTCGGCGCAGACGGCTGCTCGTCGCTGGCCGAGTCGTCATGGCCTTCGGCCGAGTTCGAGCTCGACGCTGGCCGACTTGATCTGCAACAGTACTTTGTCAGTTGGGACCCACAGAACGACATAGCATGCACTTACGGATCGGGCTTGCTATCGGCCGTCGCCGGCTCGGCTGGCTCGTCGACTGGCTTCTCGGCTGGCGTCGCAGGCGTCGCGTCCACTTTCTCGATAGGCTTCTCGATCGGTTCCTCGAAAGGCTTGACAGGCTCGATAGGATCGGCTGCCTTCTCGGTCGGTTCCTCGACGAGTTCGACAGACTCGACAGATTCGACAGGCTCGACGGGTTCGACAGGCTCGACTAGCTCGACTGGCTCATCGGTTGGCTTCTCGGCGTTGTCATTTGGAGTCGCTGGCTTGTCGTCTGGCGTCGCATCTGGCGCTGCATCTAGTTGTTCGACGGCCTTCTCGATCGGTTCCTTATCGGCCTCCTCGACAGATTCGACAAGTTCGGCAAGTTCGACAGGCTTATCATCTAGCTTCTCAAGCAGCTCGACCGGCTCGTCGATTGACTCGGCCATTGGCTCCTCGGCTTTGTTGCTTAGAGCCGCTTGCTTCTCCTCTGGCGTCGCATTCAGTTTCTCGACGACTTTCTCGATCGGTTCCTCAATAGGCCCAACATATTCAACAGGTTCAACATGCTCGACAGGTTCGACAGGCTTGACATCTAGCTTATCATGCAGCTCGATTGACTCGGCGATTGGCTCCTCGGTGCTGTCTTTTGGAGCCGCCTGCATCTCGTCTGGCGTCGCATCCAGTATCTCGACATATTTCTCGGTCGAGCTCTCTACTGGACTGTCCATAGGCAGCTCAACCTCTTGCGCATCCGTCTGCTCGACAGCCTTCTCGATGGGGTACTCGATGGGGTACTCGATCGGCTCCTCGACATGCTCGACAGGCTCGACAGGTTCGACAGCATTCTCGACAAGCTTATCATCTAGCTTCTCGGCCGGCTTGACTGGCTCATCCATTAACCTCTCATCTGCCTTCTCGACTGCCTGCGCATTCAGCTTATCGTCAGGGTTTTCGGAAAGCGGCTCTTTCCGCTCCTCGGCAGGTTTCTCGACAACCTCGATTCGCTCCTCTGGCTCGTCGGCCGTCGCCGGTGCTTTTGCTTCTGGCTTCTCACTGGCCGCATCGGGCCTCTCCTCTACTGTGTCTTCGAACTCGTACAGCTCCTCATCGGTCTCATGCGCAGGCGAGGTCGGCCGCGGCGGCTCATCTGCGACCGCAGCCACCATCGACACTGCTTCAGCGGCCTGGGCTGCCATCGGATCAGCAGGACAGCGTCGCGCTCATGCGGAAACGACAAGAGGAAGTCGGGCTGCAAAGGCGTCGTGGGCTAGGCAGCCGTCGAATCAGGGGCGTCCAGGTCAATCAGTCAGCCGAAGCTGGGTCTGATTGGCATGCAGCTGGCCGATGCACCGTGGAAATGAGAGAATCGTCGCTGCAGAGGGCCGCTGGCAAAGTCGCGTCGTCGCCGCTGTCGTCGTCGCAGTCGGCGCCGTGGTGGTGAGAGAGGGAGAGAGAGAGAGGCGAAGCCGTCGTTCCGAGACGACAAGCTGGTCTGGGCTGATTGACGTATCTGCGTAATGGGCGAATTTGGCGTATTTACGTATTTGCGTATTTACGGCTCCTGGGGGAAGAGGGGACTACTCCGTACTCCGTATTACTGGCTTTCCAGGCAGCTGCAAACACATGACGGCCCCTGCGAAAAAGGCCTGACAGCTCCGGTGCAGCAGGCAGCGTAGTGGCCACAGGAGCTGAATCAGCACGTTTTTTCCGGTTTATTGGACGCGCTAACCCCTGGCGGAATAGCGCGACGACCACGCGAGACAGGGGAAACCTGCAGAAGATACGGAGTACGAGTAAATGACGAGGGGGAACAGATTACGGGCGCCAAATTAAATACGTCGTAAACAGCGCGTGGGCAGGTGGCGGAAAAAGCTGGGCGCGAAAAGGGAAAAGGGAAAAGGGAAAAGGGACGGCCGGACAAATTTAGAAATAAGGGCGACAATCTCCTTATTCTCGCATTCTCGCATCCTCGGACTCGCTGCTTGTTCCAGCTGCGCACTTTCTTCTTTCCCTGGCCTGCTGACCGGTGGGTCTGCCGACCAGGTGCTTAAGCTCCTGCTCTGATTGGTTAGCGCGTAGCGACTCGGCGGCAGCAGGCCGTGATCCATGCTGCCGTTTGCGCTGACGTCCACATTGCATCATTGGGCACGGAGTATTGTTGCGATCAGTTTAGAGGTCAATATAAGAAGCTATCGCTATCGCTCTGCGGTTCTGCTGAAGAACCTACACACACATTACAACAAAATACAGGGGCAGATTTCGACTCGCTTAGAGGCCTCCAGAATACATCACGTGACCCAGAGGCCGAAGTGGATGGCCTGGAGACATGCACAGACATCTAGATGACGTTGCCCTTGTTCTGCTTCTTGTCGACGCTGTAGTTCTTCCAAACCATGATGGCGGGGATGCCGAGCACGAGGATTGCGGTGGACGAGACGCAATTCCACTTCTGGCTCCAGCCCCAGGCGTAGTTGGTGGCCTCGCGAATCGGGTCGCCGGGCAGGTAGGTCATCTGGTACGTGGCGCCGCCGTTGTAGAGGGCCTGGACGAGGGTCTCGTTGTCGATGCGCTCACGCAGGGCGTCGACAAAGGTGTTGGAGTTGATGGCATTGCACACGGCCGTGCCGACGGCGCCGCCGAGCGAGTTGCAGAGGGCGAGCAGGGCGAGCAGCAGGGGAACGCCATCGCGATCAGCAGCAGCCATAACGGCCATACTATTGGCAATGACGAGCGTGCCGCCGCCAAAGGCAATGAAGATCTGGCACATGATGATGAAGCCGATGTTGGAGTCCTGGCCGCGGAAGCGGATCATGAGACCGGAGCCGAGCATCAGGAGGCCGAGGCCGACAACCAAAGCGCCGTACTTGAAGTGGCGGGTTTGACGCACAAAGAGGCCGAAGACCGGGCCCCAGAAGCAGGAGCCGACGTTGTAGATCTGCGTCATATAGCCGGTGTCGGACACGTCGAGATTGTAGACCACCTCGATAAAGTAGTAGTAGTACAGGTCCCACGAGTAGAAGCTGTAGTAGAGCACGGCAGCCATGACACAGGCGCCCAGAACGGTGCGCTGCTTGAAGAGCTCCCAGCGGACAAAGTGTGTGGGTGCGAGGAACCGTTCCCAGGCGGCAAAGACGAAAAAGAGGAGGACACCGAGGATGATCATAACGATAAAGGTGGCTGTGCGGTAGCCGGTCCGACCGTTGGACTCGAGGCTAAACGGCAGCAAAAAAAGCACCCAGGCGGCCATGAGGAGGAAGGCACCGATGATGTCGAACTCGTGAAAATAGTGGACGAGTGACTGCAGACGGGAGCGGCCACTAGGACGCGGAACCCAGAGGCCAGCCTTGCGGGCGCGGATCTCAAAGTACTTGAAGACGCAGCCGAGCGGGGCGAAGACGAAGACCTGAATGATGCAGAACGAGCCAATGGCCCAGCGCCAGGTCGAGTGTTCGAGGAAGGACTGGGCGGCGCGCGGGCCAGTAAAGGCAGTGCAGATAAAGGGCGTGCTGGCAAAGGCAAAGGCAAAGGCCCGGTTGCGCAGGCCGCTGGTATCGGCGACGAAGACGTCCATGATGAAGTAGAGCGCGTCGTAGCCGATCCAGTAGAGCGTGTAGCCGGCAGCGTAGCTGTTGGGCCCGCTGCTGGACGCGAGCACGATCATGCCGAGCAGGTAGATGGCGAGAAAGACGAGGAAGCCTTCGCAGCGGCCCCAGATGTTGAGCACCTTGGCGATCGGCAGCTTGAGCACGCCACCGATGATGCTGGCCAGAATGTTGGCCGTCGCCAGCTGTGGCGCCGTCGAGAAGGCCGAGTAGGCGTAGTACGTCACGTTGCTCAGGATCGACTGCTGCAGCGCCAGCATGAAGAAGCAGACCCAGATCCAGCCGTACGTCCCATACATGGCCCAGCGCGGCCACACCAGCGCGGCTGCCTCGGCCTTTTGCACGCCCAGCTGCGCGTCCGTCGTGACGGAGTTGCCGTGTGCTCGCACCTCGCGTTCGTTCTTCTCGACCGGGTCCGTGTCCGAAGCCGACTCGCCCAAGTCGCCCGCCTTGGTCTCGTCGCCCAGCGTGCCCGAGCCGGCCTCGCGTGCGAGCACCATGTCGTCGATCGCCTGGTCGCGGCCGCGGATGTTGGAAAAGACGCCCATGATCACGGCGGGATATAGAAGAGATCAGGTCAGGATCAGGGTCAGATCAATACTGACCTACAATCAGAGCCGAATGGTGCAATGGCAGTAGAAACATGTCGAAGCAGACCAGTCAGGCCCCGGAGATGCAGGACATCCGCCACCTTTGTACTCGTAGAGCTCGTTTCTTTTCTGCCGATCCCTCGACTCATGCACCCCCATGCGCTTACCCGTATATAACGACTTTTACGAAGTACACACTGGCCGGTCGGCCACGCACAGTTGCAGACCCCACACCCCCATCATCATCACATCGGGCTCACCGGTATGCACCAGAAGTGGCAAGCATTCTCCGGCTGGGTGAATCAGAAGGTGATACCACAAGGTACTGCGATCGACTTGGTACAGTGTGACTGGTTTCAGCACGGTGTTAATACGGTAAGCCGCCGGTCTGCTATTCGTCAGCCAGGGCTTACTGCCCCGCTATAGCGCAGGTTAGCTCAAAACCTAGCTCCATATTGGGCTAGGGCAGCTGCGAATGCACAACTCTGATTGATCTGATTACGGAGACCCAGAGAAAATTGGGTCGTGGAAAAATCTGATAAGATGGATGGGAACAATGAGAAGGGGCTCCTGATTCAGAAGGACCGATATTGCCTCATTGTCTCGGGTGCAGAAGTCCTTTTTAGCAGACTGACCACCTCCCCTTTTTGTAAAGAAAAATGAAGGTCACGACTGATGTAGGCCGGCTATGGAATAGGTGCATAGTAGACGCCCTGTTGGCGGCCGACTTCGGCCCTAAAAGAGTGAGCAGGGTTTGGCCCTTGCGAGCCGCGAGAGCGGATGCGAAAGCGGCCATTACATGCCCCCCTTGATCCTGCGTGTTATTATGTTGCGCAAAGCCAGCGGACGAGGCCATCTTTCGGTAACAGGAAAGCGGGTCGCATGTTGCTTGTACGTAAGAATGGCTAAGAAGGTCGTGCATACGACGCAGGAAAGGAGGGTAGCCGTGGAAGAAGGCTAAATGATCTGATAAGAATTATGGCCAGAGATGCGCCGCGCAACGCGCAGTAAAAAGTCTGAAACTAAAAGGACATGACCGTTGCAGAGCGGACGGCCCACTCGCTTTCTGCATCAGTGCATGCTCCGTCGGATATATGCTGCCCTTTTTCGACATGTCCCCGGTGGCGAGTCGATCACAATTGGATTCTTGCATGGGATTGCGCGTACGCGGATTCATAGCGTGCGCACATCCATCTGATTAGATGAGAGTGGAAAAAGAAGGGAAAAGACGGGTGGGGGATCTGATAAATGGCAGGTGTTGATTCTAGTTTTTATTTGCTACCTTCTGCTTCTTTACTTCTTGCCCATCTTAGCTAGGTAAGCGTCGACACCGAGGTCATGCAGTGAGGCGGCCTTGTCGTCAACCTGCTTCTCGAGATCGCGCTGGTAGGCGAGCATCTTTTCGTGCAGCTCGGGCTGGAAGGCGCCCAGACAGCGGATGGCCAGCAGGGCTGCGTTTGTCGAGTTGTTGATGCCGACGGTAGCAGTAGGAATACCACGCTGGGATGTGAGCGGGGGAAGGAGTAGCAGGAGAGAAGAAGAAGAGGAAAAAGAAGAAGAATAAAAGTAGAAGAAAAAAAGAAAGAGAGAAAAAAAAAACATACTGGCATCTGAACAATACTCAACAGCGAGTCCATCCCGTCGAGATGTGTCGCCTTGACAGGAACGCCGATGACGGGAAGGGCAGTGTAGGCCGACACCATGCCGGGCAGGTGAGCGGCGCCGCCGGCAGCAGCAATGATGACCTTGATGCCGCGGGCGGCGGCCTTGGCGGCAACGTCACCCATCTTCTGGGGGGTGCGGTGGGCGGACGTGATGTCGACCTCAAAGGGCACGCCGAATTCGGTGAGCACGTCGATGCCGGCCTTGAGGACGGGCAGGTCCGAGTCGGAGCCCATGGTGACAAGAACGAGGGGCTTGGCGGATGTGGAGGGGGTGATGGTTGCAGCAGCAGCAGCAGCAGCAGCAGCCTGAGCTGTGGTCGGTCCTCCTGGCCGCAGGGCCTTGCTGCTGGCCTGCAGACGGTCCAGGCGCAGCTGAGCAGCCATGTCGACGAGCGGCTGGGCAAAGGCCTCAAGCTCAGCCACGTCAGCCACGACGCCGGTGACGGTGATGTGGCCGATCTTGCGGCCGGGCTTGGACTGCTTGCCGTAGAGGTGGACGTAGGCGGCCTTTTGGTGACCAAAGAGGGCCTTGGCAGCGGCGACGAGCGGCAGGTGGGCGTGCTCAGTGACGCCGCCGAGGATGTTGATCATGATGGCCGAGGTCACGTGAGGTTCCAAAATTTGGGGGAGTGGCTCATCGAGGATGGCGGCGAGCTGAGCACGGAACTGGGACCTAATCTGTCAGGGGTGGAAGGGTATCGATAAAGGTCCGGAGAAGACGTACATGTATGGAACAGCCTCTGTGAAGAGATGTCCGGAGTTGTGGGGACGAGGAGCGATCTCGTTGACGAGGAGGTCGCCGTCCGGGCCGACGAACATCTCGACGGCAAAGACGCCCTTGCCCCAGAGGTGTTCGACGACGCGCACGGCGACGGCCTGGGCACGGGCACAGACGGCGGCGTCGGTCTGGCGTGGTGGCAAGTAGACGCGAGCGCACACGCTGTCCTCATGGGCCGTCTCGACGGCCGGATAGGCGACCAGACGGCGCGGGCTGCCAGCGGCGTCCTCGCTGCGGATGACGAGAACGGACAGCTCGCGCACAAAGGGCACGAACCGCTCGGCGTAGCAGCGCAGGCCGCCGAACTCGGCGAGGGCGCGCTCGAGGTCGGCCGGCCCGCTGATCCGCAGATTGCCCCGGCCATCGTACGAGTCGCGGCGGGCCTTGAGCATCCAGGGAAAGCCGAAGCGCGCCGTCGCCGTCTGCAGTGCCGCCATGGTCACGCCGCCGTCGCCCAGCGCTACCTGATCGGCCACCGGAATCCCTTGTGCCGCCAGATACGCCTTCTGCTCGTGCTTGTCCTGGATCAGCCGGAGCGTGCGCCATGACGGGTGCACCGCCACGCGGCCGCCCACCTCCAGCTCCTCCAGCACTGCCGTGTCAATGTGCTCCGTCTCCACGCTCAGCACCCGGCAGCGCGTCGCCAGCGCCCGGATCTTGGCCGCGTCCTTGTACGAGCCGTCGACGTGATGCGCGCTGTGGCCGACCTGCTTCGCCGGTGCGTCCGCCGCGTCCAGGATCGCTACCTCCACCTCTAGCGGTGCTGCTGCCTCGCACAGCATCCGCCCCAGCTGCCCGCCGCCCAAAAGGCCAATCACGGGTGCGGCACTCATCCTGCTCGTTCGTTGCGCGTGTGGGGTTGTCGACAGCAGAAGCGTCATCGGACTCGATTTTTTTGCCCTTTTATCTCGAGTTCTCTTATCCAGAGGATCTGATTGGTCACGAGCGAATTGCCTTTGTACCCCTCCAAAATTGTGGCTTACTAACGACTGTCATGAGTACATACTCAAGTCACATGATATCAACCGGCTTTTTCTTCATCGTCGCGCTCGTGCTTGCGATCTTTGTTGGCGCCCGATCAAACTCAAGTAAGAAAACCCTCCCGGAGCTGCAGCCAATAGCAACACTGTGACCAGATATGGCATATTCCATCGGTCTGTATCTCGCAGGCAACCAGAGAACGTTTTGCTCGTCTTGGGTGATCCATGACATGTCCGCACTTATTCCCAGTTTGAGACAGCTTTCTTGCTTCTTCGCCGTGTTGTCCTCTTGCTTCCCGTTGTGTGAGAAAACATCTGGCTTTACCCAACAGGTATAGTTCTCGGTAACCTTTTCGCATTCCCCCGTTGCTGTGTTCCAGATCTTGACGGTATTGTTCCTCAAGCCCAAGGCCAGTTTGCTTCCGTCCGCCGAAAAAACCATCGACGAGGCCCGCCTTTCATGGCCTGGAAGTGTCATCTTGCAGAACCCCAAGGCCGCGTCCCAGATCCTGACGATGCCGTCGTTGTCACCTGAAGCCAACAGCCGATTTCCGCCCGGTGAAAACACAACCGATCTGACTATAGAATTGTGGCCCTTCAATGTATTTCTGCACTCCCACGAGGCAGTGTTCCAAATCTTGACAGTGTGGTCGCCTGAGCCTGAGGCTAGCTGCCTGCCGTCCATCGAAAACACAATCGAAGTGACCCATTCTGTATGGCCCTTGAGCGTCCTCTCGCAATCTCCCGAGGCCGTGTTCCATATCTTGATGGTGCGGTCGAATGAACCCGAAACTAGCCGTTTTCCGTCTGGCGAAAACACAATCGACAAGACCCAGTTCTTATGGCCCTTGAGCGTCTTCCCATTTCGGGCGGCCGTATCCGAAATGATTACGGTGCTGTCGTATGAAGCGGAGGCTAGTAGCGTTCCGTTAGATGAAAAGACAATTTTGGTAATTGCTTTGCTATGGCCCGTAAGCGTATAGCTGCGCTTCCCGGAATCCGTGTCCCAGATTTTGACGCCTCCACTGTTGGATCCTGTGGCTAGTTGCTTAGCGGTGGGCGAGAAGACAACTACCGACACTAATTCGCTGTGTCCGTCAAGCGCGACCGTATCCTCAGTAAAGACCGTGTCCCAGATCTGAACAGTTCGGTCGAATGAACCTGAAGCCAGCTGCTTGCCGTTGGGTGAAAAGGCAAGCGACTCGACCTGCTGGCTATGTCCCCCGAGCGTGCGTGTGCATTTTCCCAAGGCTAGGTTCCAGAGCTTAACGGTGCCATCGTTTGAGCCCGAGGCTAGTCCTTTGCCGTCAGGAGAAAAAACAACCGAGCCGATTCGGTGGGTGTGACCCTCAAGCGTCTTCTCCTGCTTCAACGGGTTCGTGTTCCAGATGACAATAGTATTATCAACAAGACCAAGGGCTAGTAGTGTGCCGTCAGGCGACAAGTCCACCGATGAAGTTGACCGTAACTCCCTTAAGCTTTGCGTACACTCTTCTGATGTCCAGATTTTAATGGTCTTGTCGGTTGAGCATGACGCCAGTTGGTTGCCGTCTTGCGAGAAAGCAACCGAATCAATCGCATTTTTGTGGCCCTTGAGCGTGTGTGTGCACTTTCCAGAGGCTATGTCCCACAACTTTATACTCTTGTCCCGTGAACCCGAGGCTAGCTTTTCACTGCCGCTTGAGAAGGTAAGCGAACTAACCTTCTTGCTGTGGCCCCTAAGCGTCATGCACTCTCCCGAAGCTGTGTTCCATATATTCACAGTACTGTCTTTCGATCCCGAGGCTAGTCGACAGTCGGATAGAAAGACAATTGACGAAACGTAACCTTCGTGGCCATTCAGCGTTTTTGTGCATTTCCACGATGCCGTGTTCCAGATCTCGATCGCATTTCCATGCAAGCCTGCAGCTAGCTGACTACCATCCGGTGAAAATGCAACCGAGAAAACCGCACTTATGGTCTCAAGTGTCTGGATGCGTGAACTCCAGTCCAATTCCAAAGTTGGCGTTGCTTTGATCCACATGGGCGCTTCTTTCGCAAACAGATTCCGTATTTTACTGCGGCTTGGGCTAAACACGAGCGCTGCCGCGTAAGTTTGGAGTGGAGCAATCTCGATGGGATACTTGAATGCCAGAATGAACCGAAGTGCGTCGCCAATGAGGTCGGATAGTTCTCGCCCCTTGTGTTCCTATGTCGTCGTCAGTCGGCGGCTTCAGTATCAAGCGTATTAACACTCACCAGGCCGGCTAGCCTCTGCACTGCGATGACCCCTTCCGACATAAACTTCAGGAGGCTCAAAGCCTCCAGCCAGTAGAGGTACTTGTTTTCGAAAAAAGCTTGAAGTGCCCCGCCATCGTGCAAGTTGTCCATCCTACTTCCCTTGTTTGCAGAATCGCAAAGGTGGTCAACCCAGTAAACGCATGAATATCGAATCGGAGCTAAGAGAGCTGACGTTTTCGGGGTCACTTGACTACTGAGCATACCTGGGGCACCAAGGTCGTACATATCTTGCCGAAGGGTGTTGGACAAGGCACTCAATGACTGCAAGAAAAGAGTATTGTGTTGGGATGCCATGCTAAAAGGAAAGATGGAACCGGAAGCCTCTGTTATGAGGAAATCCTTGGCCGATTGGTGCACGAAATACAGCCGTCTTTCGCTGAGGGTTAGGAAAGAGCCGCATAGATTAGTAAGCTTTTCTAATTCGGCTGTATTCATTGATGTAGACTTGGTAGACAGAACGGATAGTTCCTCCAAGGCAATCGGCCGGTATACTGTTGAGGCGATAGCCAGAATCTCCTTGCACCGGTCTGCAGACCATGATTTTTCGACTTTCTTCAGCATTTGCCGGTAAAGGTCGAATAGTCCAGAAGGGATTGTCTCTATCAGCTCAGAAACGTTCCAGCTCTGAGTCTCAGGACGGCCAAGAACTTGACACGCCAAAGCGACCCATAAAAATGTACCGTTGGCGTTTGCGGTCAAGTGGTTTTGTACAAGCTTCTTTGTTATTTCGCTGTAGTCCTTTATGCGAGCCAGCTCATTCACCTTGCTGTGAATGCACTTTAGAACCGCATCCGAGATAGAGGCCTGGTTGAGTTCTAGACGCAGCTGTATGTGCTGCTCTGTATCACGAATTTTTTCCTCGATTTCTGACCAGTCACGGCTAGAGACAATCCACTTCACACGGGAAGGCTTCTTTATTAAGTCGAGCAGCTCAGATCGGTCCGTGTCCGCTGTGCATTCGTCGAGAGCATCCACAAGGAGAACCGCGCCTTCCAATACCTCGTCATCCAACATAGCCTCAAGAATTTCGGACAAAGTAAACCATGCTAGTAAGCCTTCAAACATTGCCTTGCCTTTATGATCGTAGCTCTTGCGAAGGTAAGAGATAAGCGCTGGGTGCTGCTCAACAAGCATGTAGATAAGTCCACGCAGCACGGCAACGCCGTTATTGAGCCGAACCTCGGTAGCTTGGCAGAAAAAATATGCCAGACCGCGAATGGGGTTTGTCTTTCGCACCTCACATGCTAGCTCTTCGATGAGGCCGCACATAAGCATCGTCTTACCCTTGCCGGGGGCGCCCCGGACCCAGAGCAGACGACTCTCTGGATCGGTGAGCCACTTTTGGAACACAGCGTTATCGAGGATCCACTCGTAGCATTCCTTCAAAAGGCCTCCTTTCCTCTTCTCCAACATTTTTTTATGTATGCGAGGGTCTATATCAAATAGGTCGGCCATGCATTTATCAGCGCTGCTTTTATCGTCAATTTGAGTATAGTTGTTCCCAATGTGAATTTTTCCTGGGCCTGTCGCAATCAGACCTTCGACTAGGTTTACATCGGGAGAGTCTCTGATCAATGGCGCCATTATGGTGTTCGTGTTGGTGATACTAGATTAACTCTCAGACTAGATCAGGCTTTGATTTGACAGACGAGAACTCAGCAGCCTTTTTCGGCACCAGCTCAAAAGGCGTATGGGTCTGGCTACAGACAGGTAAGGCGGCGGTGGTTGTTTGTTCTTATTGCGATAAACATGTTGAAGAATTGCGGCTCACGATATATTACGAGGGACTCCTCTTCGACCTTCCTAAACCGGTTCTTTGCCTAATTCAAGCATTCGTTACGTACGCGTAGCAAGCGGGAATCCTTCCATTTTCCATCTTCTATCCACTACATAGTATATTCTTGGCTTTATCGCTACTTCGGCACACCCTCCGCAACGCTTACCTTTGGGTGGTGACATTGGTCAACACAGGCGTTGCAAGCGGTGACAATGAAAACCCATAAGAGCAGCAATACGGCTGATTCACAGAGCTACGCGGCGCTGCTATTAGAAGAGGAACGACGCGTGATAAAAGTTGGGCATATGCTTTGCTTTCCCTGTGCCACATATGTAGTAAGATGCGGCACACCCAACGCTCAGTTTGTAGGCGAACGATTAAGAGGCAGCGCATAGAGCCACCAAAAACCTAATCTGCACGGCTGCCCAATTCGTCTTTTTAGCTCTGCGGTGGGTGTTGCATAAACGCAACGAAAGAAAGCAGAGGTCGGGTGAGGTCTTATATCAGCCTAATCAAACCATACAAACCTACCAACTATTATCCAGTCAGCTAACTGGGAAGAGAGGGCGTTGTAACGCACAGTTGCAGGCGGCTGACGTAAAGGAAAAGAGAAGAGAGATAACCATGGACAAAGTGTGTCTGTTGCCCTCTTTTCTATTGGAAAGGAGAAATGGAAGCATGTTGTAAAGTTGTAGTAGGGAGGACAGTGGCAAGAATTAATTTACGACGATTGGTCATAGCGGTGGGTCTTGAAAGGGTTCCGTTCGGGAGGTGGCCCTCGCCATCTCGTGCAGGGGACCTGGGCGCTCCTGTGGGGTTCTCGCCTTTACTATGTAGTATGGACCCTGTACTAACGCTGCAGTGCTGCAGCTTGGCTCCATCGATAGGGTGGGTATAATGCATTGCATGCAACAGTACTCCGTACCATCAGCTTTTCTTTCTTTCGTGGAGCTATGCATATAGATTACGGAGGAGTGCCGGTGTTTTAAGTTATTTTTCTTGTTGAAGGCCTCGGACTGACATGACTGAAGATGACCCTCAATAAGAATCTTTTTTGAGAGCGTTGAGTATGTCGGATAGAGTAGTAGGGGATTTCATGCCGTCGGCATAGTTGGGAAGTACTCCGTATTACGGGGCCTTTGCCCCTCCAAGCTGTGGCTTACTAACGAGTGTAGGAACGACTCAAGTCACATGATATCAACAACTCCACTACACAACCTTTCAGCTCCTCAACACTCGCATCGCCTCCTCCAGACTCTGCATCTCGTGTTCTACAATCGCCCGCTCCGCCCTCGACAGCGCGTCCTCGCCCGCGATCATGCCCAGCTGTTCCTCACTGAGATCCAGTACGCGGTCTGCGTCCAGCACCTTGAGCGGGCTACGTTTCCCGCCCAGCAGCAGGTTGTACACGACCTGCTGGTACAGCGTGTCGACGAAGCGCTCGCGCGCAATCGTGTAGTAGCTGCCGAGCGCATCCAGCACGTCCTCGCACACCTGCTCATTCATGTCCATGGGCCGGACTTGGCGCTCGACCTCATCCAGCGACACGTACCTGCGCTCGTCCTCCTCGGACTTCGTCGTCAGCCCCGACAGCTTGTCGGCCAGCCGCGCCTGCCGCTTGGCCTGCAGAAGCTCGCTATACCGGCGGCTAAACGTTGCCGGTGGCGTGTTGCGTTCGGCGTCCAGCAGTGCCTCCGCGTGGGCCTTTGCGCCTCGGTACCGCTCGCTCAGCTCGTCCCGCAGGATGCCGTCCCAGATCTGCTGTCGCACCTCCCGGTCTGGACACACCTCGCCTAGCAGGTCATGCAGGTACTGGTGCACCAGGATGATGACCCGGCTCGTGTGGGCTAGCGCGAGTTCTTCCCACTTCTGCGACAGGATCTCAAACACTGCCGCCAGGATCGTGCCGTTGTACTGCGATGTCAGCTTGGCCAGATGATGAAAAAGAGACAGACGTGGCAGGCTCACAGTTCCCAGCTCAGGCCCGCGGTTGCTTTCGTAGACCTTCTGGATCGTCGGCGTCATCGGTCCGTCCAGCGGCTTAGGGCAGCGGTAGCTCGTGTCTACAATGTCGATCAGGTCTTCGTGTACCTTGCCCGGAATGTCCAAAAAGTCTTGTCTGCTGTTATCCTCGTCAAAATCTTCCTCGTCCGCTTCTTCTGCTTGGCTGTTTCTTTCGCTGACAGGCGTCTTAGAGCCAGACGCCTCTTCGAACGTCTGATAGTGGCCCTCACGCCAGAACGTGTCGGCAAAGGCCTCGTTCAGCTTGATGACCTTTGTGATCAGCCGGAGCCCAGGCTTCTCCGTAAACAAGGCCTCGCCTGCATAGAATCCATTCAGCGCCCGGCTGGTGATGTTCTGCATGCGCGTCGCAATGTGCACCAGGTACTGGCGCTGGCTGCTCGCGTCGGCCCGCGGCTCACCCATGGTCTTGAGCTGTGCCCGTCTTGCCTGCAGCAGCTTCCGGATCTCCACCTTGACCTGCGGCAGCTCGCTGCGCGTGATCTCCATCAGCAGTTCGCGCAGCCGCGCCTTGAGCCGGGGGATGCCGCAGCGGTCGGCCACCAGAGACCATGGCGGCGCTGTGAAAAAAGCCTTTTCCGATGCCAGCCGTTCAGCCGTGTCTGAAGAGCCGTCATCGGCGCTGCGGTTCTTGACCACGTAGTAGCCCAGCTTCAACCGGTTGCGCTGGCCCTCGACCAGCTCGACCACCGCTTCCTGCGTGGCCCGCTCCGTTGCTAGATCCGGCTTAGTCAGCACACCCATGGTCCGCACGCCCTCTGGATCGGCCTCCTCGGCAAGCCGGAGGATCTCCTGCGTGGCGATATCGACGTTGCTCGGCACAACGGCGAGAATGCTACCGGAAATGGGTCAGAAGAGAGCTTTCTCGGGACAAGGACAAAGAAGGGACGAACATGGTACGGCTGTGCTCCATGTACCGCTTGACAATGTTTCGGACGAGTACGACGTCCGCCTCGGTCGTAAGGCCTGCATCGTCAGCAACAGAATCAAGGTGGAAGGAAGAAACGTACCTGGCGTAGGCAGACGGAAGATTCCCGGCACGTCAATCACGGTAAGATGGACTTGCTGTCTCTGTATCAGCACACGCAACAAAACAAAGGCATCGGCAGGCTGTCTTCTTACATCAGGACCACTTATCTCAATCTTGAGAATGTCCTCGCTAAAGGCCGTTTGAGAATCGTCACTCGCGCTCATACGGATCCCCATAGCAGCGTTCGCCTTGTCGCAATGTCAGTATACCAGACCCGGACGTCTACTATGTGAACGCATACCTCTTCAAACACCCTGGTGAGGTGATCGTTTTCCAGGCCGTCTAGAACCCGGCGGAAGTCCTGAAGACGTCGCTTGAGGGAATCTTCCGCATGAGGGCGAGGGATAATGGAGATCGACACTTTTTTGCGGGCCTCGCGCGAACAGGTGATCTGCGTCGCATAGCGGGTGCAGAGACCAGGTGCACGGGGGAACGAGAAGCCAGTCAGGCTTTCGAGGACCGAGCTCTTGCCGGACGACTGGTCTCCGACCACGATGAGCTGCAGGTCACATTAGCCCTCCAAGTAAGAGCCAGACCATTAGAGAGTCAAGTGGAAACTCACCTGAGGAAGAGGTATGAGCGTGCCCACATTGGCCGCTCGAAGACTGTCAATTTTCTTCAGAATACCCTCGTTCCCGAGACCTCTGACGTCTGAAGAGGTCATTTTCGGGGGAGCTTGTTTATCTTGGCTGAATTGATTTGCTTTCGCTTCTTCAATCTTTCGCGTCATGATGGAAAGAAGCAGAGTTCGGAGTAACAAACACACAGAGGCAAATGCGAGTATTTATACGCCAAAAAAGACGGCGTACGCGCAGCTGTTCGGCCTATCTATTCGACCTTTGTGGCTGGCGGTTGCATTAGCGGCAAACGAACTGAAACAATCGGAGTCCAAGGGGTGGTATCTTGCAATATTTGCGCAGCTAGGCTCCCAATCCCATAGGCTTCCCACACTTTGCATGAATCGGTACTTATACATTTGTTGGTGCGGCTATCTACATAAACGGAAACAACTACGGGTATATTGCGGATTTGATATGTGCAACCGGTGACCTACGTTTGGCCAATTGTCTCAAACACTTGCTGCGCAACACCCCATCTGAGATCCCAAATCCGATCGTGATCGGCACCCTTGATAACAGTGGAGCTATAGTCGACAACGTCGCCGCGATGTTCTGCGTCCCAGCACTGGTCAAACCACTGCTCGAGAGCGTCAGCAGAATGCCTTTCCTTGCTGACAAAATCCAGGCGCGGTCTGAAGAGGGAGGCATCTTACCAGCGGACCCTTGGTACCTCCATCCCCAATCATGTAGTCTGTCTCGGCGTAGAATACATCGACGACAAGACGTCTGCCTGCGCTGCGCAGAGCGGTGACCAGGCGTGGGACCAGCACGTCGTAGTCCCCCCAGTCACTCCAACCAGAAGCTGCACCGCCGTCGCTCTTACGCGTGAACAGCAGCGCCTCCGATGAGATGCCCTCAATGCCTTCAACGTAGATGCGCTTCAGCAGCGTCGGCCACACGTCGACTTCAAATCTGGCACCCTCACGTTCCATATCGCCAGCCGCATCGCTAGTGCTACCGCTCGAGGCTGCGGACGTCACCGTGGACACGAAAGCCTGGCTGGCACCAACCGCAGCGCCCAGGACCGGACTGAGGTGCTGGTTAAAAAAACGGGCAAATTTGTTCAGCTTGCCGACGACGGCCCCAGGAAGGACCTGGACGACGGACATGAGCGTCGACGTCGTGTGGGCAGGTCTGATCCACGGCGCGCCGATCGCCAGATACGGCCTGTCCGGGCTCAGAATCTCTGGGTGGCGCAGCAGTAGATCTAGAGCAAAAAGTGTGCCGCCGCTGTGGCAGCTCAAGGCCACGTGCTTTATGCCAAGGTGCACTAGCAGAGCGGCCATCGTCTCTGTTCGGCACGATGAGTCAGTCTCCCCGCACGTTGGATGGCCGGATGACAAGACCGTTTCGAGACGAGACACTCACCCGACCACCGAGGAAGCATGTCGTCCACGGCAACAGCATCGGTGCCCCCTATGCCTGGCCTGTCCGGATTGATGACGCGGACCTTGTGCTTCTTGGCAACCTCGTCCTTGGGGATGTGTACCAGGCGGGACGCCAGCATAGATCCGAAGACGAGCAGGACAATCCCCTCTTCGGGATGGGCCTCATTGCGATAGCCGTAGTCAGCATACTTGACTGTGAATGGGTTGGGTCGACCGTTGGCTGGGTTCGGTGGCAGCACAAAGGTCCTGCTAAAGCGCGGGTCGTCACAGTAGTTGGGGGGGATTTCCATTGCGATTGTTGGGAATATAGAAAGTCAGAAATTATGTTGTGAAGAAAGGTCTGTCGCTTATTTTATAAAGATCTCATCTTGGAACCGACATATCTAGGCAACAAGAATATAAGCATCACGTGATGTGCACATGCTCGTAAGCTCCTCGGAATGGAAGTCACACGCGGCTGTGCTGTGGCTGGTGGTTTAGGCTACCACTTAGCGGAAATCGGGCTGCAGCCTCGCAGTTTCACGGGCACACCCGGTAGACAGGGCTGAGTGTCATTCGTGGAATCGTGCGTCTGAAGCATAACCGCATGTACATATGTTACTAAGCAGTTGGGAGAGAGCATTGTAAGTTGATAGAATGCCCACTAGCAACACGATGCTTCTCCTACGAATTATCGCTTACATGAGTTGATGATATAATGAGTTCGGACTGGAAAACTATTGTCCCTAGGCCTTGACGTGAGTGTTCACTGGCGTTTACATTTGTATATGTCCCACGTCCGTCTTGAATACTGTCTGTCTTTTATATCAGCTCATTCATTTACGTGCTCACTGCCGATCGTTCTCAAATCAATATGTCCATCGATATGGAATCCCTCGAGCGGGAAGAAACCCAGATCTCTGGCAAAGAGACCGTACTCATCTGTTCCGGCTGTGGTTGTATAGTTGAAGACACATCCGGCGAATTCCGGCTGTGGTTGTATAGTTGAAGACACATCCGGCGAAGGCGATAAGAACAGCCAGTTACACTTACTGTCATGTGGTTGCGTTGTGTGCTATCGGTGTGCCAAAAACAGCAAACATATCATCTGTCTTCCACGGCACAGACGCACTACATATTATACAATGCGCCTATATGGAGACAGCCTTAGCTGCTCTGTTTGCTACGACAAATTGCCCGATGTCGCCGTCGTTTTCAAGTGTGGTAAGTATAGGTAAATCCCGATTACTCCCCAAGTTTGACCGTGTTTATCTGACACAGATCACGCACTCATAGGCCACTTCTTTTGCACCGCTTGCTACAACGATGTTCTTGGGAATGGAATCTGCCCCATGTGCCGCAAACTGATGCGCGGCTACAAGTATCTGGCCCTCATCCACACAGAACGCAGCGCTGCCCCAAATTATGTGTCCGGGCATAAATTCTCTGGCGAGCTGGCCAGGATGAGTTACGACGAATCAGAAGGGGGGGAGAACATCGTTGCTGGTCCTCGCTCGGTTGGGTTTCTGTTCCTCGCCGTCTATTTTATCATGATTGCTGTTGAGCTGGTGGTAGCGATGGCCCCCAACATGAGGGTGCTCGGCCTTCAAGGTTAAGGAATCGTGGTAATGCGCGGGACGATGATGGGTTCAGAGAAATCTAAAGATGGGCTTCTCGGTTACGGTACATTCTCTGAAGTTGTGTATGTAAAGAGACAGTTCTGTATGGGTTTGATGATGCATGCGAGTTGGGGTTTTGACTGATGTCTCGTGATAGATAAGTAGATGTGGTTCAAAACATTGGTGTTAGATTTCTATATCGTTTTCTGGCTTCCCACCTGCCCTGGGTGTCCCCCGAAGGCTTACCTCTTCCCCAATCCATACTTTGGGCGTCGAACCTTGTTAACGCCAAGTATTGAAAATAGAATTCAGTTTATGGCGCTCGATCAACCCCGACTTCAATCCACTCGATCGTCATGTGGGCCATAGGCTATGGAGAAAGACATGGTTTACGGCACTTAGGCCCGCCGCTAGTGCGGGTGGGCCTAGACTAAAGAGGGCCAGCTGAACAAAGGTTAACGAGACGTGCTTTGTCTGGACCGTGGCTCAAATTGGTTCCGCAAGATTGCCCTGCAAGTTGTTTTTCACCAAATTATTCGCCAACTCGGAGCCAATGCGTCCCGCTATACCTTGGTACCAAAACCTGACCGAACCTGCCAAGCACCTTCGCGTCAACATCTCTGGTGCCGTCAAGAGACTGACTCTCGCTAGATCCTTTCCATGCCTTTCTGTCGGAGTTGACTGTATACAGAAGAGTAAGGGTCCCGACCAGCTGCTACGACATCCAGAAAATCCATGTCTGCACACATATCAGGCGCCAGAAGCGAATCGTGAACATCTATTTTGATGTCGTCGACACATGTTAGTCCTGTTGACTTGCGGATTTTCGAGATATCATCAGACAGCACCTGCACGAGCATCACCGTCACCGATTTGTCACACCGGCCAAATTGTACTATTGAAAAACGGACGTGGGTTATAGCCTATATCTTGCCCGTCGAAGTCGTTTGTATACGTCCACTCTTGCGCTTGAGAGGACTCGTTCGAATGACCGTCGAAAGAGTTTTATCTGGAAATGACCACAGGGCCAGCTGGGAAGGAGATGAGCAGAAATAGAAAATGGTTGGCAGGGGGCACCGACTGGACTTGTCTTCTTGACATTGTATGTCGTTTCAAGAATGAACAATACAAATTTCTTTGGGGCGGACAAAGTGATTTCTAGAAGTTCGGGTTTTGTTCAGTGACCTCAAAGAAAAGTGTCTGTCCAATTCCTAAGTCCGAATCGAAAGTAGAAGCAGAAAGAGCCAGAAACAATCGTGTATGTTCATAGAGAACACGAACCTCATATTTCATCCCATCCCAAAAGCGTCCTATTATTCTATCAATAAATCAAGGCAACAAAGTCAGAACTAGCCAGCAACTCATAGTGAGAAATAAGCACAGCCTCCTTTCTACTAGATTGCTGGAACGATTATCTTCTGGCCAAGATGAAGAAAATACACGTCAACAGATTAGGTGACACAAGATAGATGCGTTTGTTCCGTGGTGCAAAACAAATTAAGTCCCGCCACAAAACAAGAACAACAAACAGATAGAAAAACACGAAGGGGCAGCCGAAAACAAAAGGCACGAAGAGAGTGAACAAGGCGCGTAAACGCCGAAGATATGTCTGAAATAAAGCACAATGTTCAACAGAATGATGTTTGAAGCAGGATATATTTCCTGTCGTTTGAATTCTAGGCATGACAGAGATGCTTCAGGCAAAAACAAATACATTGATCCTGTTTATATCAAGCAACAAGGATCGAAGCCGGGCTTTCTCGTGGTATGAAAGTTTGATTCGATTTTCCTGCTTTGCGGACGTCACTACACGCCTACACTCCACGTCACTGTTGTTTTGACAAAGGTTCGGACGAGAAAGCGTGGCTGGGGACAAAGTATTCCACTTCACTTCACCTCTTCCTCTTCTCATTTGTCTCACCCCCCTTCTTCTCCCACCTTCCTCCCACTTCTCCTCACCCTTTTCTCCCTCTTTTGTTTTTCACCATCCATCTTCACTCAGACCAACAGAAGAAATATCCCTCTCTTCACCTTGAATCATATCTTCATCAAGCAAGACACTTCAAGCACAAGAGACAACGATGTCTGATACAGACTTGTCCTCCAACCATCTCGGCATTCAGCCGGCAGGCCCGTCGACTTTTCATCGATTCATAGGCCTGCCCCCTGAGCTGAGGGTCACGATCTGGCTCCTGGCCACACCTCGTCAGACCCGCTTCATCCTCTTGGACCCAGGTGTGTGTCAGCCTGCCGAAAAGGTGCCGGATGACAATACAGGCTCTGCAGAGCAGTTTCAGAAAACAACACGCGTGCATGGCCAGTTTCTTGGCCCCGTCACTTGCTTCGTCCCGCCATCTTTGGCATACGACATTGTCTCTGACGAGGAGGGAGCAGGCCGCGTCTTCAGCACTTGGTCAGTCTTCCCCAAGGACCAGCGGCTTCCAAGTACGCTTTATGTCTGCCACGAGTCTCTGGACTTCTTGACTACGTACTGTGGCAAGAACTGCTCGAGTCCTCGCTACACGCGGATGCCACGTTACCTGCGTACCCCCACATGGCCGCACTTCATTGTCGAGATGCGCTGCCCTTTCATTTCCTACGAAGACGACATCTTTGTGAAGGGCAGACACGAACCGAAGTTCTACCCATTCCAGAGGTATCATCTTCCTTCGTTCTGGCCTCCCATGATGATTGATGAAGCTGTTGTATCTGCGAGAAAGGCTCAAGAGATATCAAAAACGCGATCTGGTGTCTCGTATGAAGCAGTTGGGATTGATTTTTCATCTCGTCATCATTCAAGCTTCAATATCGATAACTACGGAAGGTCCTCTGGCTGCATCCATGTCCCAAAATGGTCTCTGAAAAAAAATGAGGCCTTCTCCGTCTTTGAAACCCATCTGATCCGGCGCATTGGAATTACAATGCGCAACTGGGTATACCGAAACATGAATGTCCACCGCAACGGCGGCAGATTTGACACTTTTCCTGGGCTGAAGGAGGTTGCAGTCTTTGGAGATCACCCTGTGCTCACCGATGTGAACCACAAGGTAACCTCAGAATTTGATGGCGAAAAGATCAGATGGGACGATGCCGAAGTTCGGGGAATGATTGAAGCGCACAAATCTCACCTGGCCGTGAATCACTTTGCGGAACAATTTTTGCAGTTCGACGACGAGCCCGAGGAGGAGCCTCATGAGCAGCCCCAAGAGGAGCCCGAAGATGACGATCTTGAGTCGGTCCACGAACCGACGGAAGACGAGCGACAAAACGTCCTCACTGACCGTCTGAATGGTGAGTTGTACGTTGGTCTTTCCACCAGCCCATACAAGGCATCCGGCTCTCGTCGGTACCTCGGCATGGAGCTGTGGTAAACGCCAAGCCCACAGACAACAAGGTAAGCTTCGTGAGAATCCGAAATCGCTGTCCATTGCTAACGATACCAGGATGCAAGGCAATGGAAGAATGTATGATTATTTTCTGCTTCAAACCCGATTTGCTTTATGTTGTAATTCAAGAGGGCCTGACCAGCCTCACCAACTTTGCTGCAGATGATTCTAGATAATTCCACAAGAGATCGCCGATACAACTTGTAACGCAGGCTTCTCTCACTTAGCTCTAGTTATTTTGCGAAGGATACAAAAACATCAATTTCCACGAGGATGCCATGTCACAGTGCAAGATACCGATTGTGCCTCAATATTTATTGAACCCAACATGAAAACCCTTCTGTGCCATGACTCTATCACCTCCGATCCGAACTGTGATGATGGGGGTAGCTGAACTTTGTCAGTGATTAAAAGGCTGAAAGCCTGGTGCTCCGAAGTTAAAAGAGAGCAACCATCAACAATTACTTGGTCACGAACAAAGGCTGTACAAAACATCAAATTATGATTCTACTATGCTTTTCTTCTCCTGATTTTCCCGACGCTTATGCCGATTACATGGCAATGATTGCAAGTAAGGCGCCTAAGAAAGCCGTCACAGAACCGATTTCAAGCCGGGCGTTTGCACCAGCTGTGACCACCGTAGATGAAGCGCTGCCACCAGAGGCAGATGTGGTACTTCCCGACTCCGAACCGAAATCAGAACCTTTCGCGGAACTGGAGCTCGTGCTTGAACCTTCAGTTCTACCACCGCTTTCACTGTCAAATTTGGCCTCAGAACCTGATGTCGACCCTGACCCTGACCCTGATTCCGACTTGGAGCTAGATGCTGAGCTAGGCTCGGAGCCGGAACTAGAAGATCCAACGTCTGTGCTACCACTGGCACTGCTGGTGGTGGTAGTATTGTCCTCAACTGGCTTCCAAGAGCCGCTGTTGCTGCCGCTACCGCCTGTTCTGTCTGTTCCACCCGTGTTGGGAACGCTTGCATCGCCAGGTGAACCAGGATATCCACTGGGGCTACTGTGATCACCGTGATCACCGGAGCTACCAGGGCTACCAGGGCTAGCAGGGCTTCCAGAGCTTTCGGGGCTCTTTGAATCGCCGGGACCTTCAGAGCTTCCTGCGCCGTCATATCCACTATATCCACTGTGTTCTCCAGAGTAACCATAGTGACCAGGGCTACCATTGTCGCCAGAGCCTTCAGAACCACCTCCATGTCCACTAGAGCCACCTACAGAACTGCTAGGGCTCCCACCTGATCCACTCCAGTCATGTCCACCACCATAGCCGCCACCAAAGCTGCCACCGTAGCCACCACCATTCCCGCTTCCAGATCCACCTCCAGAGCCACCCCAACCACCATATCCACCAGAACTTCCTCTAGTGGTGGTGGGAGAGGTCTTTGTAGCTGTGGATGTGGCGGAACTTGTGCTTTTAGAAGGAGAAGAGCCGGACTGAACAGAGCCAAGTGAAGACAGACACGTAGATGACAGAGTCTTTATTGGCTTGGAGGATGGAGGGATAGATCCGAATGAGTAAAAAGTGTGCGAGCGTGAAGATTCGGATTTGGTAGAAATGAACCAGGGCGTTGAAGACGACGACAGCAATGACGGCGATGACGAAAGAACCGACGACTGCACATACGAAGACGGGGACAAATACCAAGACGTTGACAGCTTTGATGTTGAAGTCGTTGGGGTCATTGTCCAAGACGTTGGCAGCTTTGTCGATATGAAAGACGAAGGGGTGGATTGGGATGAGCACGGCCTTCGTGACCTAGATGACGAGGTAGACAATGTGGTGAATGATGGTGTCGAAGTCGATGGCGGTGTAGACGTGGGCACGGACGAGGGCACCGATGAGGGACTGGTAGATGACGTCACGGGAGTTGAGGACGAGATCTGCCCACTGCATCCAGTTGTGGAGACACAGGAGCAAACTTTGGACACAGAGCTGATGACTTCCAGACCGGTAGCAATGCCGCATCCGCCAACGACACAGCCGACGACGGCATTTTGAATGGCGGCCGCCGATGCGCACTGGCAGACATAGTCACCGTCAGCGCAGCCAGCATTGGTTACGGCGGCAGACTCGATACAGCTGCTGGCACAGGACGGGACGGCACTGATTTGCGCTGCGCAAGGTGAGCACACCGGAGGTGGTGTTGTCACTGGTGAAGACGAGGAAGGCAGCGGCGTGGTAGTTGACGGAGTTGTCGAAGAGGGAGTGGTAATAACAGATGAGTGGGTAGCCGAGGGAGAAGAAGGGATGGAATGAGGGATAGAAGAGGGTGGAGATGAGCTGGAGGTCCATGTAGAATAGGGTGTAGCTGAAGAAGATACTGGAGGCTGAGAAGAGGATGCCGGAGGAGCGGTGGATGGAGTTGAAGTGGAAGCACCACAGCCGCTTGTCGTCACACAAGTACAGACATCTGAGACCGAGCTTAAGACGGCAAGGCCGGTGGCGATACCACAGTCACCTACGACGCAGTTCACAGCGGCGTTCTGGATGGCCGAAGCTGATGCGCACTGACACACATAATCGCCTTCAACACAACCGGCATTAGTGACAGCTGCGGATTCGATGCAGCTGCTGGCACATGCTGGTACCGCGGAGAATTGGGATGCACAGGGAGAGCAGACCGGAGGGGGAGTAGTTACAGGTGAAGAGATTGGGAGGGAGGACGAGGGTCCGTGTTGAGGACATGGATGAGAGGATGGATGATGGGACAGAAGAAGACGAAGAAGATGAAGATGAAGAGGACGAAGTAAGATAGGACGACGAGATAGAAGACGACGGTAGTATAGACGTCGGGGGCGGAGACGATGGATAAGTCAAGGTTGTGCTTGAGGACAATGACGAAGGCTGCGATGACGAGGCACCTCCGCATCCGCTGGTAGTCACGCATGTACACACGTTGGAGACAGAGTTGATGACGGCCATTCCGGTGGCGATGCCGCAGCCGCTAACCACACAGTTCAGAGCGGCGTTTTGGATGGCGGACGAAGAGACACACTGACAAGCATAGTCGCCATCAACACATCCAACATTGGTGACGGCGGCAGACGATATACAGCCGGTGGCACACGCAGGTACGGCAGAAATCTGTGGAGCACAAGGCGTACAGAAAGATGGTTGTGTGGTTGTGAGATATAGGGTTATCGACGACGAAGACGTAGAAGAGGGCGAGGAAGACGGCGTGGAATAAGGCGTGAGCGTAGATAAAGTGGATGAAGTGGACGATGAAGAAGTTGAAGAAGAGGAAGAAGAAGAGGAGGAGGAAGAAGAAGAGGAAGAAGAAGTCGAGGTCGAAGAAGATGTAGACGACGAAGATGTAGAGGGCGGGGACGTGGAGGAAGCCGGAGACGATGGCGTCGACGACGGGGATGCCGGTGTCGACGAAGAAGACGAGCTCGAGGAGGTGGTCAGAAGCACCGAGGAAGTCGAAGTCAAAGTCGTGACAGAGCTTCTGCTGCTGCTGCTGCTGCTACTAACAGAGCAGCCGTTCGACGAGACGCAGGTGCACACGTTTGACACGGAGCTGATAACGGCCAGACCGGTAGCGATGCCACAGCCACTGACGACACAGTTGAGCGCGGCGTTCTGGATGGCAGAGGAGGAGGCGCACTGGCAGGCGTAGTCCCCGTTGACGCAGCCGACGTTGGTGACGGCTGCAGATTCGATGCAGTCAGTGGCACACACAGGCACCAGGGCAATCTGGGCGGCGCACGGTGGACAGGCAGCGGCCTGAGCACGCACGGCAGTTGCTGTGAAGAGCACCAGCAGAGCGGCGTTCTTCATCGTGGTGGTCGTCCTGATGGCAATAACGAGCGGATTGTTTACTTTGTATAGCCGAGGTAGAGGCACTGGAGACGCAGGAGACTGCGTGAGATCTCTGTATGTCATGGTTGTCCCGGCCGAGATCTCATCACCGAAAGTCGTCGCTCTTTTGTAGCAGAGAATGGATTGTTCCCCTCATCAAACTTCACCTTTTTCTCACATGCTCGTCCACGAAAGCTGGCCCGCTCCGCCCGCTGCAGAGCTGGCCAAAAGACCAGTCTGGAGTCATCTCAGTCGACCCTTTCCCGGCCAGATCGGCGCCAACATGCTATCGACTTGTTCGAGCGGGGTGGTAACATTGGACTAAACAAACTATTGCCTTGACGTCAGTCACATTCCTCTGTTGGACATGCTTCCACGGTATAACAACGGGCATCCAGCGTACCGCCAAGCCGAGACAGGCTATCCGTGCATGCAAGGCGTCGTATTCAGAGTGCAGGAAGCGGGACCATGGCTCAATACAGTAATAGCCTGTGGCGATGGAAGATTGCCGGCAAAAAATGGAGCTGTGGTCTAAATAAACAACGAGACCCTGATTAGTGTGATCCATTCCCCCACAGGCAACGGGTTCTCTGCCCAGTGTGACGATCTAAAAGGCGGGGAAGACAGCAATAGCGTACTCACATGTTGATGCGAAAGTACTCCTTACTCTGTTCCCTTGTCTCATCCGAGACACGGTGTGAAATTGAGGAAATGGCGTGGATCGGCAGGACAGCAGGGGTCCGGCCAGGCGTGCACGCACCAACGATCGACAAATAACCGGTGGAAGTCCTGTCCAGGCTGGAATGTATGATCCGGCATGGCGATCTGGAGCAAAAGCGGAACAATTGTACATAGTAGATGGAATCGATGCCAGTCGTGGAAGTAAGATTGCAGTATGCCGGATGTGTCGAAGAAAGAAACGAGGACGAGCATGTTTAAGTAACAGCGTACCGGCGCCTGCAATCAGCTGTCAATCCCGATTCGATAGAATTGGTGATGGTTGTGAGCCTCGGTGACATCTGCAGGGGAAACGTGAACGAGCCACAAGAGGGTTAGCTGGCAACAGATAATGCGGAGAACCCTGCCAAAATTTAGTCTCCCTGCCCTCATGCACGCCAGACTCGGTACCGTCGTAGTTTATTTAGCCCAGAGAAAGGACGCAGCTGCAAAAGAGTTAAATTAGACTGTTTTGACGTTGAAAAGTTTCATGGCTCTTTTTTAAAGAACCGGTAAGATGCACAAGCTAGTGAGTTTGGAAGGAGCAACTGTTGTTCGCTGGGAGTGGGTCCACTTATGTTGTGCCCAGAGCTTTACTACGTAAGTTCTAGACACAAGTCTAGACTACCAATACTAGAGACCCCGCAGAGAAGCAGAAATACTTACGTATTTACCCAAGGTATCATCATTCTGGGTCTTGGCTTGTTCGACTTTCGGACGCAGGCATTGTGTGGGGTAATATGTCGTGTAAGAAGCTGTAATCTCTGGGATATGAATTCGGGTCAATGTGGATGTTCTAGGGTCTGTTTTCGGTGATGGCGTATGTAAAGGGTGTCGAACACTATGCAGGTGACAGTCAAAGGCTTGTACACAAATTTCATTATCCAGGCCTAGATTTGCCTATATACCAAGGGACTGCACGTTTACTTGATAAAGACGGAGCGTCTAGGCCAGATTTCTGTGTCATCATCCCAACTCCCCCGAGGGCCACGCGTTAATAGGATTATTCCGGCTTACTCAAAGCAGCATTTGGCCGAAACATGGTGTGTTCTTGCGCTGGGAACCGGCCGAATCGGGGATTAGAGGCCCGTCTGACATCGCCGTATATTACCCCACACATCAGGTGCCTTTCTTCTCTCCGGCGCCGTACGAAACAACATACAGCACCAGAAACAATGGCAGCCATGCTTCCAAGCACCATGAACAGGACCAGATCTCGTCCTCACTCCTCGTCTTATGCCTTTTTGAGCCTTCGACTACGCGGCAGGCTATCTCTTAGCGTCCGGCATTCTCGCTGTCCTCTACCATCGCTGTGCCGATGCCCGTGAGCACCAGCAACCACTCGCTGTTACCTATTGCATCGCCATCTCGTTGGCTGCCGTCACGAAGTACCTCCGCAGCCTCGGTCAGTTTCCTGGCCACAAGCTTCGACACCCCAGTTGCGATAACGCCTACACCTCGCCAGACCGCTCCGACCGCCCATCTGGAGGAGCACCCGTCTGACTTCGGTCTGCTGCGTGCTGTTCGCCACAGCACCAAGGTCGACGGCCGGGCTGCCAGCGGGGAGACCATGCCTAAGCCGCTAGGCAGCGACAAGCCGGAGTGGCTGTAAGAGAGCGTAATCTTTTCATGACAGCTATACGAGCATTTAAGGAATCTGAATCGGCTTGCTTCAGTATTATTTTAGTTGCTTTATTGGTATTCACCTGCAGTCCGTAGCTTCGAAGATGGTGCAACCTTGTAGACATTCGTACAAGAGGCTATGACATGTAGCAGGACTTGGCATGAAATCATTCATTTGACATAGGATTCCAGTCAGGCAATTTCGAACGTAAACTTGCAAGACAACGTTGTCTTGTTATAGCCGTATCTATAGTGTAGTGCGCCCTATGTTGGGAAGAGGACCGCTGAAAGTATGCTCTTCGCAAGAGAAAAAGGGGGAATTGGCAAGAAAATTCTTCGGCAGCATTGAGTGGCACTCGTACATAAGCTATGAAACGTGAGTATTAAGTACGGTATAAAGTAGAGACAAGAAGACAAGGAAGCACTAACTTACTCCCAGCAGAAACGGCATGGGCAAAATCACATTTCTGACCCCCAACACACCCCTATAGAAAAATGATTTCCTCTACCTGTTCGCCGCGACCGCCTACAGCGCGCTGTCGTCCAGCTTCCGTGAGTATTTCCAAAAGGAGCCATCATTGAATTCTTTTATCACCATAATATTGGGCACAGCCAGGATTAGCACATTCGTATCCACTAGGTCCCAAGGCCATTCTCGTATAATAAAATGCAGCAGTAGCTGCTGAATCCAATTGCATTGTCTTACTCTGAGGTGCATATAATTGACGCAATACTGCAGCACTGCATAGAGGGACTTGCCGCCAAATAGCACCAGGCATCACCAGCGGTGACTGCAAAAGCTGAAAGCAAGAGATAGTGCAGACAAACTAAGGATGTGGAGGCGCAGTTAGGGCGGGAAAGCTGTCTTGCTATTGGTCTATATACACAATCTCAAATGCTCTCCCGTTGATTGGCTCTGCACATGGTGGGCAGCTCTGTCCTCATTGGACAAGATAACAATACTCCAACTGCATGCCCTCATCAGGCAGGTGCAACTTCCACACCGGTTAAAGCTTCCACGTAGTTTTTTGGAGACTTGCAACAGTATGGACTCTTCAATGGCTCACCAATTGATGGATGTGGGTACAGGCACAGCCCCTGTGGATCTCTTGGATTTGCTCTTTTTCTCTCCATTCCTTGACCTGCCGATCTCTCAGTCGTCGATCACTTTCGATTTGCCTCAAATCTTGTATTTTGTTTCTGAGGAAAGCGATGAAGACCTCACAGGCACTCTCTCTAGCCGGGACCGCCCTGTTGGCGGCCACTGTCAATGGCGCCCCGACAGTCGATACCACCTATCCCTATACCGGGCCTGCTATTCCCGTTGCCGATTGGGTCGACCCGACGATCAGTGGCAATGGGAAGGGTTTTCCACGTCTGGTAGAGGCGCCAGGCGTGAAGCCATCGTCAGCCAACCCGACGAACAACGTCAATGTCATATCCTTGTCCTACGTGCCAAAGGGCATGAACATCCACTACCAGACGCCTTTCGGCCTAGGCGTCTTACCGTCGGTAAAATGGGGAACCAGCGAGGCGGCCTTGCTATACACGGTCACAGGCCAGACCCATGGGTAAGCAATCTCTTCTCCTTGTTACTGTCTGCTGTGTCTAACACCAAAAGCTATGACCGGACACCGCCTTGCTCCATGGTGGCGGTGACGCAGTGCAGCCAGTTCTTCCACGAGGTCCAGATCACGGATCTCCAGCCGGACACCACTTACTACTACCAGATCCTAGCAGCCAATGGGACGACGGAGTCGGACGTGCTCAGCTTCACTACAGCCCGTGCCGTTGGCGATCATAAGCCCTTCTCGGTGGCTGTGCTGAATGATATGGGCTATACCAATGCCCAGGGAACGTTCCGGCACCTAAACCTGGCCGCAGACGACGGCTTAGCTTTTGCCTGGCACGGCGGCGACCTCAGCTACGCCGACGATTGGTACTCTGGCATTCTTCCGTGCTCCGACGACTGGCCGGTGTGCTACAACGGCACATCCTCAAGCCTGCCGCCCGGTGACTACCCGAACAGCTACAACGAGCCATTGCCGGCGGGCGAAGTTCCCGGACAGGGCGGGCCGTATGGCGGTGACATGAGCGTTCTCTACGAATCTAACTGGGATTTGTGGCAGCAGTGGGTGCAGAACCTGACGATCCGGCTCCCCTATATGGTGATGCCAGGGAACCACGAGGCGGCGTGTGCCGAGTTTGACGGGCCGAACAACGAGCTGACGGCATACCTGGTCGACGACAAGGCCAATGGAACGGCGCCCAAGTCGGAGCTGACGTACTTTAGCTGTCCTCCATCGCAGCGGAACTACACCGCATTCCAGCACCGGTTTCGCATGCCGGGCAGCGAGACCGGCGGCGTCGGCAACATGTGGTACTCGTTCGACTACGGGCTGGCGCACTTTATCAGCCTCAACGGCGAGACAGACTACGCTTACAGCCCGGAGTGGCCGTTCATCCGTGACACTGACGGCGTGGCGACGGAGCCGAGAGAGAACCAGACGTATATCACGGACAGCGGCCCGTTTGGCTACATCAAAGACAATGCCTACACCAAGACGGAGGCATACGAGCAGTACCAGTGGCTGGTTCGCGATCTTGCCGCCATCGACCGCAGCAAGACGCCGTGGGTCTTTGTGATGAGCCACCGGCCAATGTACAGCACGGCCTACTCGTCAGACCAACTGCACATACGCAACGCATTCGAAGAGACCCTGCTGCAGTACGGCGTGGACGCCTATCTCGCCGGCCACATCCACTGGTACGAGCGCATGTTTCCCATGGGTCGCAACGGCACCATCGACATGGCCTCCGTGGCTGCCAACGACAACAACACCTACTACACCAACACTGGTGTGTCCATGGCACACATTGTCAACGGCATGGCCGGCAATATTGAGAGCCACAGCACGCTAGCTGACGGCAAAGTTGTCTTGAACCTGACTGCCGTTCTAGACCAGACGCACTATGGCTTCAGCAAGCTGACCGTGCACAACGCGTCAGTCGTCACTTGGGACTTTGTGCGTGGCGACGGCTGCGGCATCGGAGATTCCCTCACACTGATCAAGAGGAGCAACAGCACGAACAATAGCACAGCGACACCGTCCAGTCTTGGCTACAATGCAACCCATATCGCATCCAGCTCATCAACTAAAAGTGTTTCCACGCGCTTCCCCACCGGTGTCTCCACGACAAGTGTGTCCATAGGAAGTGCTACAATTGCTACAACGACCCCAGCTGGCACGGCTGATCGCGCGACCGCCAGCATATCTACCACGATCTCTGGTACGGTCGCGATTGTCACTAGCGGCAGCTTGCAGCAGAAGACGTCAATTGAGTTGGCGTCATTCGCAGTCTTGCTGTGTGGAGTGTGGTATTTTACGTAATAATCACGTGTACATTCTGAGCTTAGCCTCTAGACACTGAAAATTATGCAATTTGTTGAGCGTGCATTGCGTGGGTCGTCGGTCTTCTAATCCTCCGGCTTCTGGAAGGCACACGATCGCTTGCGTGCTCGGAACCGAGCTCGTATAGAACTCGTATAGAAATCGCGTAGAACTCGTGAAAATCTCGTGAAAATCTCGTGTAAAGCTCGTATACGCCCCTTAGCCACATACTCCGTAGTCGTAGTAGAACTTCGAGAGTCTGTTACAGAATCCCTCGATTGGAAAAGGACGGGCCGGTTCGGCGTGTTTCGAGATGTTTACTATGTACTCGTACCGGGGGACGGGGGTATTGGGACGGATGGTGGGCCGCTGACCCGCCCAAGACGGTGCCCGTGCCGCTGGAAACGGAGGAATCCCTACTCGCAAGGTCTCTTGCCGTCGCGGAAGAACGCAAGATCGGCAAAAGCTACGACTCCTCCGGGAGTGGATGTTCACTAGGATGGACATCGGGGAGCGTGCTCAAGATGGTCCGTGTGATGAACGAAACAATCAGATACGCGTCAGCACTCCAGTACGTGGGACTTTGTAAATCCTACTCTTTACGGTCCCCTGTAGCGGCCAATGTGTCGGCGCCAAGACAGCCCCTGAGCTAGTCCATGTCGTAGGGCCCGAACGAATAGACGAACGGTGCGTTTCGTGATATTAATAGGTACAATGTACCATGGCCCTAAAAAAGGAATGATCGCGTTTCGTTTTCTGTACGAGCACGACGTACGTCGTATGCTCGTGCTGTCCCGCAACAGCATCGCAACTGGAGCTCAATATCGGCCTATTCGGCGGCCAACACGACATTCTGGGGGAAATTGTGGCGGTTGGGCTGGGTCCGAGCGTTTAATTATCTTACGTGGCCTGTCACGTGGCCTTTCGAGATTCTGAAGTAGGGGGCTCCAGGACGGCCAATGCACAGAAGGTCACGTGTCGGTAGAAACATCAAAGACATGAGAGACTGCGAAAATCCATATTTGTGGCCTACTATGTATGTCGGAATTATTTGTCTCGGTGGTGTGCACGTATCTTTTGTTGTGGCGCCGGGGTGGCTGGCGATCCTCAAGTCATCAGTAGCAAGTGTAGATCACGGATCCACATCAGTACAAGGAACTGGCGCTCTCTGCCTCCAAAAATCGACTTCTACATAGATACACTTTCGTCCAGGTGATCGTCTCCTCCACAACGGAGCGGCCCTGGATCTACATGTCTGGCCTTTAGTACAGAGTAGTACGGTGTATGATGAAGATCAGTACGAGTATACAATTTATAGATTGTTCTACTTGCCTTACAGATCTGCACAACAATGCTAGATTCTTATTAGTCATAGAAACGGCATTGTGGCACGTCATGTGATTGTTGTTCGTCCCTCCGAATAGCATCGCCTTGCAGTGCACATTGAAAAAACAGTATGCCGGCTTGTCTAATCCTCCCGTACATAAGTATGCCATAAAAGCGGCTAGTACACTTTGTGCGGAGTATTCGGCAAATTGATGCCTGTTCCATTTTACAAGAGTTCTGCCACTACATCATCACTTTAGTATCCTAACTGCACATCAAATAGTCTGCACGATAACGCCGGAGTATTGTTTGTTTGACTAGCTAGAAATACTAAGTCAATCTTCCATATACTGTCAATCAGTAGTAACCCTTAAAAATGGAATTACTAATGTAGTTGCCGAACAATGCTCTTAAAACACCAAGTAATTGTATTTTTCAGAAACTTAGCATGGCACATAGTTAAACAAGTATCAAAAAGTAGATGTATTATGCCTTGCAAAGCAATACACAAATCATTCGTGATCCACCCTAGAAACTGCCTATATAACGCAAACCGAGTGGCAAATCAGTTTAAAGCTTAATTTACGGATGCCTTTAAACGGGAGCCCTTTTGTTCTCTATATTATAAGCATGTTCTTACCACAATCTGACCACCGCATTTTATTGAAGTATACATCTACCACATTGTTACAATTATAATAATCTAGCTGCCATCTTTACAAAGGGGGCGGCGCATTCAGGGCGTTCAGGGCATCTGAAATACTAGTTCCTGGTAGCTGTAGGCGTTTTGTTGTGCTAGACAAATAAAAGTCTAGGCCCTCAATCCGTGAAAAATTCAGTCAACCTACGAAGTCGTGGGCTTCATCCCTTCCTCTTTATAGTATGAATCCACAAATGTAGAATCTCCATTGCGCCAAGTAGAAGATTGTGTATTAGGACATCTCATCGCATTGAAAAGCACCTGGTATTAAAGCCAACCTAATGAATGTAGCGGTATCATAGCACAACAAATCTAAGAAACATTTTATGGAACACTCAAACGCCCAAAACCCAGTAATCAGAAAAACAAAAAAAAGTCGCATCACCCGTACTTTAAATCAAATTGAGATAATGACAGATATCCCAGCATGCATCTCTGAGGGATTTTTCGGCCTTCCAACCGAGCTCCTCTTGTGCACGACCGACAGCTGCAATGGACGACTCCACATCACCCGGCCGTCGGTCAACTAGTTGCCAGGGAATTTTGCGTCCTGAAACCGACTCCATGGCACGGATCACTTCCAGAATGGAACAGCCTTTGCCGACGCCCAGGTTGAAGGTGCGGTAGGAGCCCTTGAGGCGGCCCTCTCGACAGGCCGACAGAGCGGCCGTGTGACCCCGGGCCAGGTCGCTGACGTGGATAAAGTCGCGCATGGCTGTGCCATCGGGCGTGTTCCAGTCGCCGCCAAAGACCAGAAGCTCTTTACGAGCGCCGGTCATGGTCTGCGTGACCAGTGGCAACAGGTTGAGCGATTCGCCCTTGGGATTCTCCGCGAGCAGACCGGACGAATCGCAGCCGATGGGGTTGAAATAACGGAGTACAACAATGTTCCAAGACGGGTCGGAAACAACCAGGTCTGAGAGGATGGCCTCGGCAAAGAACTTTGAGCGGCCGTACGGGTTGGTGATCTCAACGCAGCCAGACTGCGGTTGACGCTCGCTATCTTCAGACTCCAGCGCTTGCTCGCAAGATTGCAGGCAGTTCGTCTCCAGAAGAGTGCGGCCGGCTTGACCTAGGTAGCCATAGACAACGGCAGAAGAAGAGAAGATGAATGTCTTGATGGAGAATTCCTCGAGCAGGGCGAGCAGATCGACAAAGCCGTTAACGTTGTTCTTGTAGTACTTCAACGGCTGGCATATGCTCTCATGGACCGTCTTGTAAGCGGCAAAGTGGATGACGCCGACTATGTCGGTGATCTTTGTCCCGTTGTGAGACGGTGCGATGGACGAGTGAAGCTCAAGGACATTTTGCATTGCTGGTAGGTCTCGGTAGTTGATGTTGTGATACTCGACTACCGGACATTGGCCGCACTCATGTGCAGCATAATGAAGACGGGCAACCTCGTGAATTCCGTCGAGCACATGGCGGTAGCTGTTGCTTAGATCGTCCACAATGATGACATTGTAGCCAGCCTTTAGCAACTCCACGGTTGTGTGGCTGCCGATGAAACCTAATCCACCAGTGACGAGCACGTACTCGTCTCTTGAAGGAATGGGAAGAATGTCACTGAGCGAGACATCCGAGACGGCAGCATCAAAGTCGCTGGTCTCTGTAGCGGGTGTAGGTGGACATGAGGTTGTGGAACGGGACTGATCGTTGCCCGAATATTCGGAAGCAGGATAGGAGCGGTTCATCTTCCGTAGGATATGTGTGTATGTGGGAGTGGGAGTGTGTGTGGACGAAAAGTGAAAGAGATGGAGCGATGGAAGTGTGTATTTGCTTGGTGTCCTAGGATAGAAAACAAGAGCCGGCCTTGATGTGAATAATAATAGTTGGCCAAGCTTGCGGCCACTAACACGAACTATATTGTCGGAAGATAAATACAAAACACGAACAGCCCAGTCGTAGTCTGAAAACTGGAGACGGGTGTGCTCGGCCGTGGCTGGAGCCGAGTTTGAGACAAGACGATGACGATCAAGCGGCAAAAACGAAGCAAGAAGAAAAAAAAACAGGAAGAGAGACAGGAGGTGGAGACTCCCAGCTGTCTAGTGTAGAGCAGGATTTCCCACTTGGTGAAAACGTGAGCGCAGCTCAATACATGTCGTGCTCATGTAGGAATGGTCAGTGCCTATCATCCGCCTAGTCTATTGCGTCTCTTTCAGCTGCACTGGGGCATCGTTGGCAACCATTGCCCAATTTCCGTGTCAGAGGCTGAGAACGGGGCAACTAGAAGCAGCAGGCTCATACGGAAGCGAAGTTTGGCTCTCGTCCAAGCTTTCTTTGGCGAATTCTGGCCGTGGCAATATTATAAGGGATCCCTTTATGAACAGAAATAAATCCGGCTGGACGTTGTGGCTGGAACCTATCAAATATGCCATACCGATATAAGACGTCAATGAGTGTGTTAGTGCTATATTACCGTTGAGTGGGTGAAAAGGGGGATATAGAGTGGGCGTTGGGGGCGTGAGCCTAGAAAAGCCCCCGGGCCCTACCGACAGGGAAAAATATTTTTAGCGCAGTATTGGGCGCTGGTGGACAGTTCTCGGATCGTAAGTTGTCGTAGTGGTGGTTGCCTAAACGGAGGGGCGCTAAGGAGAGGAGAAACGGCCTGGAGGTGGGGATTGTAGGCGTCCAAACGGAGGCCTAGCAGTTTCAGCCTTTGAGATTTGGTATAAATTTATTGAGGGCCCAACGGAGCGTCTCGCCACAGCTGCATCCTCATTTCCATCACACCGAATAAATTGCACCATTAGTTTTAGGCTCAGAATGGAAGAGACCAGCGCAAAGACGTGGCTTGTGATGCCGTTGTACATCTACCCACTCACCGAATCCACATGGGGCGCACTCTATGACGTGTATGTGTCACCTAGCCGTCGTTTTGTCCCTTTCTGACTATGACCTCTTGGCTTTTTTTATGCCTCTCCGTGTCTCTGCTTGCTTCCGTTGTCTCCGTCGTCTCGTCTGAAGCTGATCCTGCCCCCCCCACCTGTCTGCAGGATTATTGGGTATCCAGACCTGAATTTTCTGGTTATTGTGAACCCAAACAGTGGCCCAGGCGACGCCGATCTGCCTGGCCACGACTATGTTCGAGAGGTGCCGAAGCTGAACTCGTATCCAAACGTGTGCACTGTCGGTTATGTGCGCGTGGGCTGGTGCAGGCGGACCCTCGAGGAGACGTTTGAGGATATACGGACTTATGCCGACTGGAAGCGGGACGACATACCGGGTTTCTACGTGGAGGGCATCTACCTGGACGAAACGCCGAACCATGTCGCGCCGGAGCGGGCGCAGCACCTGCACGCTCTCAGACAGTACATCAAGAACGCCGAGGGACTAGTGGGCGACCGTCTGGTATGTGATCATCCCATCTTGTTGGAAGGAAGACGTGCATGGCCGCTCGAGCGTACGCCGTATTCGCAGTGGTTGGGAGCCAATCGATCCGCTGGCAACCGCCGTGGCGCTGTTTCTCCTCTTCCTTCTTCGTGTTTTCTCGGGGTTTTCCTTTTTCGGCTTTGGCGCCGTTCTAGTGCCGTGGTCTATTCCCGGTTTCGAAACTTATTAATAGCTAGTGAAGCGCTGATGCTGATGTTGTGTGAGCAGGTCGTGCACAATCCAGGAACACCCCCGGAGGGCCACCTGAAGCACTTTGGAAGTCCCGACATGGTGTGCTTGTGCGAGGAGCCCTATAAGATGTACGGTGACGACGGCGTGCAACGGCGGCTGAGAGACTACGCCCTGCCTTGGCACCAGACTATCTATCAGATTTCGGGCATCCCGGCCGAGCTCATGGACGACGTAGTGCAGGAGCTGTGTCAGCGTGCCAAGTATGTGTTTGCAACCGACCTGGTCGACGACTTTTACGAGAGTTTTAGTCCCAGCTGGGCAGGATTTGCGGCGGCGGTGAACCGGAGCAACCAGCTGCAGGCCAGAGCGGCGTGCAGCTGAAGGGTGCAGGATGCAGTGAGGCACAAATACGTCGTACGGCAGCTCGCTCAAGGCTTTCCGGAACATAATAATAGGTCGTAATAATAGATACCCCAGAACAGGTACAAAAATACTACGTCGTAGCCTGGGAGCTCCACTTTGACACGACTGTCCCTGTGAAAGTGCACAAGATACTTTTCTGACCCACATGTGGACCCGACATAGGACATACATAGTACGGAGTACGGAGTAGTATTGGCTAAAAGGGTGGAGATGCGATGGATGAAGGATGGGCACAGACAACACGTCAATAAGCACACAATGGGCGGCAGCAAAGACAGTATAGCGAAAGGACGGAATAGCTATGGCACCAGAGCACCAGAGACGCGTACAAAATGACGTCACTGGGCAGCGACCAACGGAACGATGATGCCGTGACGAAGGAAGCAAGAGGAACGGACTGCTGGCCCGGGCTCGCACCAAGTGACCGCCAGCGCATCCGTTGGCTGTGCAACTTGACAGAAGTACGGCATACATAGTAATACGAGCTTTTAGTAGTAAAATTCAACTTGGCAGGACGATGACCGCTGAAGAAAAACCAGTAAACTACGGAGTACGGAGTGCGACGAAAATGTCGAAGTGGACCCACCTAAAGCCGTTCCAATCAAATAGCACATCTTCTCGGTGATTAATGTGCTCGCATGACGAGTATTTGCATGGCGGTATACTCCATCCAGACTTGGGCTTGCTATGAACGATATTTCGGATGACCGGTCGCAAACAGCACTGAACCGGCGAGAGTGCGGCTGAAGTACGTCGGTGGAGACAAATAGCAGAGAAAACGATACGAGTGTAGGGACCCTGTCGTATGTATCTTACCCGGTTCTATGTATGTACGCCGAATCTAATCTCCGGCAGCGCGCTGACCATTTCAGGGAATACCGTACGACGTACGACGTAGTACGACGTAAACTGCTGTGGGAAAAACGGTAGCCCCTGTTTCGCCATGCGCTGAAGCGAATACTACATAGTAAGATACCAGCCACTACCAGTCCCTGACTAGCGACTACGTGCCGTACTAACTGTATGCAGTAATACGCCACACGTATGGAGAAGCGTATGCTACGCTTGCGCCAAAACTGAATATTGATCCTACTAATTCGGCGATTGCCGCCGCTACTAACGTGAAACGGAAGCACGGCTATTGGCTTTGTCCGTTATCGCATAGTAAGCCTGCCACATGGCGAGACTCAATCCATTATAATACTAGTATCGTAGCTTATAATCCGTTCTCTGGCTCGTTTCTCAACAGAGTGCGCGAAAACATGTAACGACATATTAAATAAAGAAGACCATAGTTGGCCTGACCTAGTTGGTGCCAAGAGGCATCTGTTCGGTGAATTGGAGCCAGTCATCCGAGAAGGCCTCGTAGTAGTCGGCCGTTAGGTCGGTGACGAATAAATGCTCAGCAAACCGGGAGAGAGTGCTTAGAAGACCGCTGAGCGTGTTGTTACCCATAACGGGTAAACTATTGACCATGATGCTGTACGCCGACCGAGTGGAATATGTCTCATACAAGGCTTTGACCGTGGTTTCTTTCACGCTCCAAGCGCTGAAGTCGTCCTCGAAAATGACAGTAATGTCAGGGCTGGTAACATTGAATTCCGCATCGGGAACAGTGCCAGGGTTGTGGATGATCTATACAGGAAGGTGATCAGCAAGAGAGGAGCTAGACGAAGCGACAAGTATTACCGTCTTGGAGCCCCGCAGGCCGGTGGCGTTTTTGACCGCGGCGTCGGCCGTGACCATGAAGTCAACCGCGTCGGCGGTGTACTGGTGCGGCGCCTCGTCGAAGAAGATGCCGTGCATGGCGATGTCGCTGTTGTTGGTATACCAACCGGAGTAGATGTTGACCTCGTCGACGACGTCTGAGATGTTGCGGCTGGCATAGCCGGTGCGGACGTAGCCGACGGTGCGGACGTTGGCAAACGAGTTGAGACGCTTCACGCCGGCCACATAGTTGTCATCGGGAATGTTTCCAGAGCCGGGACCGCTCTTGGGGTTAATGACGATGGTGAAGTTGAGAACGGGATTATTAGTCAAGCTGTGGGGAAGGGAGGGGGAGTATGAGCGGCGTGTTTATAGCATAGGGCAATAGGGCAGAGAAAGGAGTCTTTGACCGAATACTCACGCTTCATATAGAGGAGACCACGTCGACGAGTTGGTCGGGTAGATGTAGAGCGGCAGCAGGACGGATGTGCTGAGGTGCTTGTGGTGGCGATTGTTCCGCGGAAGGAGGACGGCCAGAGGGACGACGATGACAATGATGATGATAATGGCAATGATGGCCAAAAGGATCCAGAGCCATTTGGAGTGACGCCACTTTTGTGGCAAGTGTTTCTCGAGATTCATGATGAGGGCAGGAGAAGATAGATACAGGAGGACACAGAGTGTGAGGCTGATAGAACACAGGACCACTGGACCACAGGACCAGAAGAGCACAAGTCAAGAAGGCGATCAGGACTGGCCGGAACAGGACAGGTTCACGGGACCACACCGTCCGGACAGGTTCACGGGACTATTGCAAAGGAGAGGCGGTGCAGAGGAGGTGCAAAAGAGACGCCGTGCTGCAGGAGGGCTGAAAGTGTTGTTGCAAAAGCAAAGTGGGGTGGGGGGGGGGAGAAACTTAAGATGGAAGAACTGTTGTCGAGCTGGGCTATACCAAAAGTAGGTGGGGTGGTCTGGGCACACAGCTGGGATGCCTTGCCATCAGACGAAACGGTGCGGTGGTGCCTGTGCGATCTAGAGCTTGAGGATGGCGGCGGATGCGAGAGAACGCGAGACGATGGCGGTGCCAGCTGTCACATCAATCTCGTATCTGCAAGATAATTCCTCTTTCGGATACAAGTGGAGTTTCAGCTTCGCACCAGCCGTTAATCTTTTGCTTATTTCGTTTAAATTTTTTTTCATCGGTGGCGTCGTCGATACGATAGTGCTCCATCTCAGCACATACTCTGTACGAGATATTACGGAGTATGGACTCGTATGTGCAGTTCTCGTGCATGGAGGGTCCATACGACCAAAACGGACATGGGTCTATGCGGCCCTGGCTAGTTCGGCAATACGTCCTAGGGCGACCCAGTACGAAGTACCAACCCTCTCTAGCTGTCGAGTTTTTTATTGCGCTAAAGTAGAGTGGCGCTTCAGCTGCAGAGAGGATGCCGCTTGATACGGCCACGGCCAGCCGCCGACCAGCACGCCCCATTTTCAAGCTCGGTAAAAAGGGGCCCAAACAGGGGCGCCGTTATGTTGCCTTTTTTTGCCCTGTTCTTGGGGGGATAGTAGGATTTTTGGTGCTATCGGCGGATTGGCTGGTCTATGTCAGCCGTTGGCCGCTCCTGGAGAATCGAGGGCAACAATATATAAGAAAGTGAACTAGGACCATTCCTCGAAATACCCACCTGTTCTTGCTCAGTTTGTGTTCTGTTCTCGGTAACGTACAAAAGACGAGGTCCAAGTAGGCAAGATGGGACCTACGTACCTTGGCATGTCAGCCGTTGGCTGGCACGTGATGACAAGGACGGTATGGGGCCAGGTAAGCACGCACACTACAATGCCACTGGAATGTGGCAGGAGCTACCCGTCAAGCACGTCAGAACTGCACAAGGGGCAGGACCCATTGGAATGCCAAAACTGACGTCCTGAAGATTATCGCCGCTGTTCTTCTCGCCAGCATTGTTTTTGCACTTTCATTCGCTCTTTACCAGGGCAGTCGATTCATGCTGCGTTACTTGCAGGTACGTCACCAACCACCAACAGCGCTACGGCGGATTTTTTATCTCCGTCAAATCGCGAGTCGAGGGAGAGCTAACGGGAAGAACAGCGACGACGCCCCAAGTACTCTATTTCTCGCCCAGTCGCTCGCTACATTGAAAACCTGCGCCGCTCGACCAAGCGACGGTCGAGCGTGACGCGCAGGGAGAAACGTGATGATGATACAGAGGTCAAGTCGTTTGGCGCCTTTCTCGGCAGCTTCGCCCAGCCGCCGACGGCCGCCCAGCAGCGCCTCCTCTCCCAATGGGACATTCTTGTGGTTGATCCCACGCAGATGGGCGTGGTGCCGGCCCTGGCGAGCTGCCAGCCGACATCGGCCCACGTTCTGGCCCGCCTCGACCTGGACGCCCTGATGGCGCTGCACAGCGGCGGCGAGACGGCCGCGGACGGTGACGACGGCCTGGCCTGTCTGACCGTCTTCACCTCTGCCATCGAGACGCACGTGCAGCACGCGGCTGTGCAGGGGGCCAGCTTCACGGGCGTGCTCCTGGCCGGCTTTGCGAGCCACCTGCACCCTGCCATTGTCAATGACCTGGCCCGCTACCTGAAGGATCTCGGCTTCGACCTCTGGCTGGAGCTTTCGTACCCGGACTACCTCGACGAGGACTACGCTCCCATGATCAACCTGCACCTGTTGAAGGGCCTCGTGTATCGCAATGGTACCATGCGCCCTGACGGCGACCGCCAAAACTACTTTCAGATGACGGCGATGCGTGCCGTCATGCGTGCCATGGCTGCCCAGCGAGTTTCTCACAACCCCGCCCTCGTGATGTGGGAAGTGGTGGATGATGGCATGGAGCTGCACCACGCCGTCATCACTCGCACGTTCAACTGGTGCCTCTACTACTGCGCTGTCAACTGGATTGGCCACAAGCGCTCGCTGACCGACGCTGAGTTCGCTGCAACCGATGCCATCCCTACCAAGCCGCTCGGTGCCCTCATGTGGCTGAAGAACGACAAGAACATGAGCGCCCACAACGTCTGGCGCGGGAACGATCAAATGCTCTCGCAGCAGGCTGACAACGCTGCCGTCTATGATTCGATCTCTTCCTTTCTTCCCAACATCGCTTCCCGCCTCCATCTGCAGCCAGCTCCTGCACAGGCCTCTCAACAGCTCCAGATTAACCCGACGACTACTATGACGCGCAGCAGCACGTCCAAGTCGCTCGCTCTGCTCGCACCGCCTGGAATGGCCAGCGGCGGCGAACATGCGCCTGTCGTCAACCCGCTCGGTGTCTCCTGCAAGGGCGATGACTTCACCGGCTTAGGCTGCTTCCAGCTCGGACACGAGACCTCGTTCCAAGACTTTGCCGCCATTCGTCGCTCGCAGCAAAACCTGCAGGACCTCAGCCTGCTCGCTGTCATCACGGGCGAAGAGCTGTACAAGGCCCGCACAACGATCGAGGTGCTTCGCGGTGCCAAAGAGCTCAGCCCTGCCGCATCGGACGCCGTCAAGGACTTGCTGGATCTGCTTTCAGAGGCTAGCACCAGCGATGCGGCCGATTCGCCAAACCCGCGCCTCAAGGTTTTCTCCGGTCTACAGTCTGGCTTCCACGTCGAGAGCGGCGCGGTCTATTACGGCATGTACGACTACGAGCGGGCAGACCAGTGCCTCATTCTGTATCTCTCCAACAAGGCAACAGACCGCGCTGGCGCGATCCTCCACACGTACCTCTCCAGCCGGCAGATCACGCGCACGGAATGCTTCATGGTGGAGCAGCTCATGGCAGACCGCAATGGCCAGCTGAAGATGCCATGGAAGCTGGCGCCACGGCTGGTCCAGGACCTCGAGACGTTGTCGCCCCAGGAGGCACTGCTGTTCATGAAGCGTTTGGCGTTGTCGCGCGAAAGCTCGGCCCTGCTAGCACTGATTCGTCCTTGTCTGGAGGCACAGCTGGTGGATGCGCCCTCGTTGACGCAGCTGCGTGTTCTCTGCTCGACCGGTTACCTCAGTGGCCACGTCACGGCTGAGGAGATGATCGCTGCTCGGCTGGCCTGGTTGGCTGACAAGGGCTGCGATATTCCCGATGCGTACGAGGCCAACAAGCTGTTCCACGACGTGTACGATCGACTCTATGACGTCCTGATGGGCATCGAATCCGAGGTGCTCGCCCAGCTCGGCGAGGGCATACAGAAGATTGTGCTGAGTGAATATCTCGACGCTGGCGCCGACATCTTCTTGCTGGCTGTTTTCTCGGCCTTCCGCAGGATGGCTCTGGACGAGGTCTACCTCGAGGTGCTGGACCGCAACGTGTACCCGAACCACTCGGCCGATCAGGCTGGCTGCTTCGCCGAGAACTTTGGCCTGGGCTCACGCTGTGACTCCTTCTTTGACACCACGCCGCGCAGCATTGGCCGCATTCTCTCGGATCGCTACCGTGCGTACTACACCGAGTTCCAGCCGCCCTTGCGCGAGGAGGGATTTACCGAGCTGCCGACGGCCTACTTTGCCATGCAGGTCGACTTCGACCCCGAAGACGGCAAGACCAAGATCCCATTCTACTACCGTATCACCTTCTTCGGCATCTTCGCCCTTCCGGCCCTGGTTGACGTCATGTTGTTGACGACAATCGGCCGAGGTCTGTACCTGACAACGTACATGAGCTCCGAGCAGAAGACCATGGCCACGACGGCCCTGATGCTGTCCCTACTGATGAGCGGTTCGTTTGGTGCCTGGATCTGCTCTGGCGGCAGCTACTATTTCTTCTCGAATGCCTTCCCGGCCATGAACTACTTCATCATGACTCGCTTCGTTGCCGGTATCGCCGTAACTTCGGTCACGGCCATTATCGGCTTCATTGTCGTCATCTTCGTCCACGGCATCTCGAACGCGCTCGTCTTCCTGTTCTATTTCGTCATGCTCTCGACCTACATGCTGGCCTTGAACGCGCTCTCCATCTACCAGCAGCCTGGATCCGAGTTTTTGTCCGGCCGGACGACCATCATCACCTGCATCCCGATCCTGTTCATCTCGCCCGTCGTCAGCATTTTCACACGCCACGACATTGCCGTCTATATCCCTGTCCTGACCGTTTTCTGCCTGTCGCTCCTCTATGGCGCCCGCAAGACCCTGGCCGAGTGGAGCTCGTGGTATCTGCATATCCCGCCGGTGACAGACTCCGAGGTCGTGGCCTGGTTCCGTGGCAACAGCAAGGGTTCGACCACGGTCGACCTGGAAAATATGCGCGACAACGATGTGATGCCGCTGGCCCGTGACGCGATTCACAAGGCCGTCGTCAAGGAGACCAAGCGCTGGTTCTTTGTCCGCTCGTCGGCCGACCCGCTGGTCAAGAAGCTGGCCGAGGGCTATGGCGCGACCATGTACCTGATGCAGTGGTACTCCAAGTACAAGCGCTCGCGTATGCCAATGCCCTACAGCACGACCTGGAACTTGACCCTCAAGGCTGGCCTGGAGAACATCACGAACATGCAGAAGGGTCTGAAAATGCACAGCGCCTTCCTGCACTGGCGCTCGACCGGCAAGGACATCCTCTCGGGCTTCATGTACTTTGTCATCGCGCTTCTGGACAAGTGGATCGCCCTGATGACACGCAGCCACCTGGTCGGTCTGTCGGCCGCCAGCAGCACGCTCTACCGCTTCGGTATTGGCTTCGGTCTCTGCTATTATCTCTTTGGTGCCGTGGCCCTCGACATTGTCTCGCAGCCGATGTGGATCGCAGCGAACGAGAAGTCGAAGCAGCCAATCACGTCGCTGGAGAGCCTCAGCGAGATCACCAAGAATGATATCAAGGCCCGCCATCGGCTGTACTGGCGCTCGCTCGTCAAGTTCTTCTTCTTCCACCTGTGGGGCACTGCCATCTTCTCCGCTCTCATCTGGGCTTACGATGACGACTCCGGCAACTGCATCATGTTCCTGAGCTACATCCTTGCCTACTCCGGCCTGCTTTGGTTCCAGTACAACAAGATCTTCTGCGGAACGAACGGTGCCAATGCTCTCATCTGCGGTTTCTTCGTCGGTCTGCCCGTCGGTCTGGCAGTTCGCCTGGCATCTCCCGGCTTCGGCTACAGTGGCGTCATCTGCCTGGGCAGTGCTACATGGGCCTCCTGCATCGCCTCCTTCTGGACGGCCGACATTGGCATGCCAACCATTGACAGCATTTTCGGCTCCAAGGCCAAGTCCTATGCTGCCATCAAGTTCAGCGGCGACGGCGAGAACGTGCCGGTCTACACCCTCTGCACGATCGAGCCGATTCCGGAGCTGTCCCAGTCGACGATTGGAAAGATGTTCGAGGACGTCAAGGAGCGCTTCCCGCTGGAATCATCCCAGCACCCTGGCCAGCGCGTCCTGGAGCTGCTCGTGCCACAGGACAGCGCCCGACTGCCGACCGCCCTCAACGCGGCCTTCCCGTCAGCCTACGAGCTGATGCACCTGGCCTCACAGAGCTGGAAGAATGGCCGCATTATGGTTGAGCTGATCTCTGGCAGCCAGTTGCCGCTTTCGGAGGCGAAGACGCTGCATCTGGCCCGTCGCACTAGCGACAAGGTTATCCACCTCTTTGTTGTCACCGGCACTGACGTCTTCAACGAGCAGACGCTCAACGTGCACGAGCAGTGGGGCGCCATCGCCGAGGCCATCGTCCAGACGGCCGCCGAGCACATCATGGGCCTTTCGCACCGCGACGCCACGCTGGCCAGCTTGCTGGCAGTCAACCACTTTAGCGATGCCGAGATCAGCGTGCCCGAGGGAATGAAGCTGCAGCTCAAGGCGTCCTCGACCGAGCGGCTTCGTGTGATACGTGCCGCCGACCAGGTCCAGCTGACATATGCTCTTCTCGGCGTCGACTGCGAGCGGGAGTGGGACGGCCTTCCGAAATCGGTGCGCAGCTTCCTGACGAAGCGCTCGGTGGGCGCCCAGGTCGAGCTGACCGAGGCCGACACCATCTGGCTCCAGGAGCGGATTGGTTCGAGTGCTCCTGTCGCTGTCGACGAGCACCTGGCTCGCTGCCGTGTCGGTGCGGCCATGACCAAGGCCCTTGTCGCATGTGCTGCCGAGCTTGAGCGGACAGACTGCGGTGGAAGCGACAACGAGCACGAGGGTCTTGTCTTCTCTGCTTCGACGGCGGCGGTAGCGGCTGAGCGCCTCAATGCCATCCTGCCCATGACCACGTCTCTGGTGCAGAAGTTTAACCTGAGCTTCAAGTTCCTGATCCTGTCTCTCACGGCCGACCCCGAGTACCAGCGCGAGCTGAACTACGTTACGCAGGGCCTGCCCGCATTTATCCGTGGCCCCGTGACGTTCTTCCTTAACGGCATCTGGGTGTACTGCAAAATGCTCCAGGCGCTCATCATTCCGTTTGTCCTCTTCCATGGGCGCGACCATATCGACAAGATCAAGCGGCTTATCAGCGGCATGACAACAGTTTTGGAGAAGAACCGGATTGTGACGGAGAACTTCAGCGGCCCGTCGACCTGGTTCTGGACCTCATCTGAGGAAGACGGGGCCAGCGTGCTGCGGCTGTCGCAGTACAGCGGCCTGCACAACGAGGAGCCGCAAAGCACCAAGGACCTCAAGGCCATCAACACGTACACGGACAAGCTGGTTCTACAGCAGCGGCAGCTGTATGCCAAGGGCAAGGTGGTGGACTCGTTCCGCTACGAGTACGAGCAGTCGTCTTCGCGGCTGCCGATGCAGCGGACCTGTGTCGAGGGCAAGAAGGAAGGCGAGATTGTGAACTACGACCGTCGCGGCTACATTACTACCGGCTCGGAGATGCGCGGCGTGAACAGGGTGACGTGGAAGCTGTGGTACCGCAAGAGCGCCAAGCACGAAGACGAGCTGCTGTGGGCCGAGTACACGTTTCCGCACATCACGATCAAGGTTCTCTGGAGCATGCCGCCACGCAACCCGAACAAGCGGCTGGAGGAGTGGATTCCATTCTCGACCGTGACGGAGGCCACCTTCATCCAGGGCGAGCAGGTGTACCACGCGTCCTGGGACTACGAGCACAAGTTCCACCCCGAGGTGGCGGTGATGCTGAACGGCAAGCCGGTGGAGACGCCGCTGATGATCAAGGAGGATTGGTTCCACGTGTTTGACAAGCCGGACAGCTGCAGCTTCCTGAGCGAAAACCCGCTGCTGTCGTTCTCGTCGATCAAGTCGAACCCGATCGCGCGCTTCTTCCGGTTCAACGTGAAGCGGTACCAGATCCCGACATCGGTAGCCCGCACACAGCTGTGGAAGGTCTGGAAGAACAGCCGGGACGTGGATGCGATCAGCGTGCGGTGGCTGGACGAGAAGCTGCTGCGATCGGACCGGATCATGCGGCGGTACTGGCGGCTGCGCGACTTTGGCCGGCTCGACGCGGCCACGGCCTACGTGGACGCACAGGTGGACACGATCATGGCGCGGGTCGACATTGACCCACAGACGAGCGCGTGGACGAACCTGGCCTTTAAGCTGAGCGACTTCTATGCATTCGGTCAGGCCGGTGATGCCCGGATCAACACGCGCAAGGCCGACTCGCAGCTCTGGGGCAGCGAGCATGAGCTGCATGTGCTGGCAATGGACACGTCGACGTGGCCGAACGATCCCGGCGGTGTGTCGGCTTGTCGTCGCGACATGGTCAACGATCTGCGGACGATCAAGTGGCACGTGGTGGCCGAGTCGGCAAACGACTTTGGCGTGCCGCGTTTCCAGATTGAGCGCAACGTGCAGTCGCTGACGATTCTGCCACTCTGGGGCCTCGACTTCCTCAACCCGACGCACGGCATCATCGAGACCTGTCTGGACTCGTCGGTGGTGCAGCGCTCTTTCAACACGCGGGCGGCCGACATTGTGGACAACTTCCTGCCGATCTTGACAAGCCTGGTCACGTGCTCTCGGGCGATCGACCTGAACCGGCAGCACATTGAGGAGGCGACGGCGGCGCTGGTGGCGCTGAATGCGTACTTTGAGCGGTCGCGCAACTGGAACGACGTGTGGTACCACCCAGTGGTCAAGCAGCGGTGGCGGGAGCTCTGGCTAACGGAGATGCCGAACACGCTGAGCATCTCGCAGTGGTGGGACTTTGAGAGGCCGAGCATCAAGCAGCTGGACGAGGCACTGAACCTGTGGTGTCGCTACCTGTTCATCTTCTCGCTGCCGGTGCCAGAACAGATTCCGGACGTGTTCCAGGCGTCGCATCACTTCACGGGCGCGACGTACGGTATCGTGTGCAAGGTCAAGCGCAACTGCTCGCTGCACATCTGGGATCACTGCATCAGCTTCCGCGAGTTCACCAGCTTTATGAGCTCGGCCGTGTCGTTCGACTCGCCGTTTGTCAACAGCTCGCTCATCTCGCTGACACACCTGAGCTGCGTGCTGCTGGAGCACCACGCCGACGTCGTCCTGCCGTGCTGCGACTACTTCAACCCGGGTTGGGAGGTGGAGCTGGGCACGGCCGAGGGTGCGCTGGAGCACCGCAACACGTTTGCGCGCAAGATCGACCCAGTCGTCAACGGCATCTGCAACATGGAGAAGTTTGAGCCGATCAAGACAATCCGGACAGAGACCCCGACGGTGGTGATGCTGTCGCATCTCCAGTACGCCAAGGACATCAAGAACGCGATCATGGCGACAGACATTATCGTCAACCGCTGGGGCTTCAAGGACTACAAGGTGCACGTGTACGGCGACATGGAGCGTGCGGCCGCCATTGCGACCGAATGCCAAGAGCTGATCGCGTCCAAGAATCTGCAAGACGTGTGCGTCCTCAAGGGCCTGGGCAATCCGTCGCTGGTGCTGCAGGACGCCTGGCTGTTCCTGAACTCGTCCATCTCCGAGGGCCTGCCGCTGGCCATGGGCGAGGCCGCGCTGACGGGCGTGCCGGTCGTCTGTACGGACGTGGGTGCGTCCTACTGCGTGGTGACAGACCGGACAACGGGTGACCGGTTCAGTGAGGTGGTGCCACCCAACGACTCCGAGTCGCTGGCCCGCGCGCAGATCAGCGTCATGGCCCTGCTGGGTCCATGGGCCTCGTACGGCGAGGACGAGCCGGGCGTCGAAGTCCCGGTGCTGGGCTACCCCCTCCCGACGGCCGAGCAGGTGCAGCAGATCTCTGACCGGATGTACGCCAAGCAGGACCAGCGCCGTGCTCTCGGCATGCTGGGCCGCCAGAACGTGCTCAAGAACTTTTCGTCCGACCGGTACCTGCGTGAGCACGAGCAGATGCTGTGGATCGGCAAGCAGACCAGTCCGTCCAACATTGCGCGCACCGCCACGGCCGGCACTCCGGCGTCGGTGCGTTCGAGCTTCATGAGGTCGCAGAACGGTGGCACCCGATCCCGGCCCGTCTCGCGTCTGACACCCGAGTCGTGGATCTCCTTGTCGAGCGAGGAGACGGCCAAGGGCTGGCGCTCGCTCGGACCCAGTTCCGTGAGCGTGCGCGACTTTTTTAAGGAGAAGTAAGAGAGACGAAGTTCTGGTCTTGCCTTTTTGTTTTCCTTTTTACGCATGACATCGCATCCGGTCTCTTCATCTCTGCTTTCCTTTGTCCTCTTCACTTCAGTATTTATATTTACCATACTTATTTTACCATTTTCCTATCCTTTCTGTCTTTTCGGTTCTTTTTGTCCTTTTATTCCATATCCATTGTGTTAGTTTAGGATTTTCTGCCTCCTGCGCCTTTATTAGTACCCGGCCAGCAGCAAAACAGCATAGTTAGACAGATAACGAGACACCAGATATCTTTGCTCAAGCGCATCGGGCCGTTGGCTCGTACGGATAGGATGTGTGCATGACCAGAATAGTTTAGACGAGATACTGTAACAACGTGTCATTTTGGCAGAGCCTTCGTGTGTGTATTATGTTGTTAGGGACATCACGTGATGTGACGTCACCATGTACGCTGCAGCATGCTCTAAATATGGCTACTGCACTCATATGAAGCACTTCGAGTGGTTTAAAAGCATCGGCGCATAGTGTGGCTTCTACTCCGTGCACCACTAGTCTGTCACGCACGTTCTGCGTGATCACCAGTGTAAGACCCGTACGGTAATCCTTGTGGGATATTCGTCCGGACCAGTTGCACGTATCGTAGTAAGCTCTAAGGCCTTCAGAAAATCTAGTGATGATATTTCGTTCGGTGGTTGACTGATTGAAGACCAGACCGTGCGCAGTATGCGCGCAGATCAGGGCTTCGTCTTATCTAGTAATTTCGGCGGCCGAGGTCAAGTCAGGTGACCTCGGGGAAATCCACAATAGTATCGCAAAGAAGCTATTGTACTCTGTAATCCGTACCTATTATCACAGCCCCATCCAAACCAGGCTAGCGCACTGACGACTCGTCTGTGAGCACATCTGACTTAATCAACTTTCGAAAATGTCGTACAATCTCTGTCTCGCATGCCTCGACCAATTTGCAAGATAACTAGGAAATCCTTTTGAGAGTGCGGCGTACTCGCCAAGCTTTGTCTTGTTATCATGGGAACCGTACGATTGAACGGCCGGTCCCGGTAGCAACTGCGCAGCGGGTCCGGGTTACGTTGCAATCGTCAGGACAGTCATCGGGAGAGGTGCTGTGATTGGCAAGAAAATGCTTTTCTCGTTGTCCCCCCCCACGTTCCCATCTCCTTCCTAGATAGGGATTATATTACGTCAACCGACTGTTCGTCATCATATCTATCAATGTCGCAATAGCGATGTTCAGCGGCTTTCAAAAGCAGGCCTCGTATCTTGTCCATTTGCCGTCCTGCCAATGATCATTGCGGCTTTGCAACCACCAGAATAGCTTGGGAAACATGGCCATCCTATCGAGTGTCGAGCCCATTGCGCTGGACGCCATAGATGGCAAAGCCCTGCACGAGAAGACCACGTCCGCGTCGACGCCCTCGGACGGGTCGGAGAAGATACGGGCCTTTGACGACGACGAAGAAGAGGTGCACGTGACCAATCCGGAACAGCGCCGGATCTTGCAGGAGCTGGCCGACAAGGAGGAGCTGATCCCGACGGAAGCGTTCAAGGCCAATGTCGACGGCGACCAGTCCCCGTGTAGGTGAAGAAAGAAAGACGCAGCCGGTTAGCTCTATTGCGCATCACTGCTGACTCGTTGTATCTTGTCCTCTTGCAGTCCCCGAGGTCGCGGCATGTGTGCCGAATACAGACGACCCAACAATTCCCTGCAATAGTGAGCTCTGTTTTCTTGATCTCATTGTACCAGACAGCTTGGGGTACTGACCGTGCTGCCCGCAAGCTTTTCGAGCTTGGGTTCTGACCACATTTTGGGTGCTTATCTTGGCCGGTGTCAACCAGTTCTTCAGCATGCGCTATGTACGAAGAATGTCCTTGTATCTTATTCGTCTCTATTTTTTTCTGCCGTGACGACGCTGATAATATTGTACAGCCGTCTCTCGCGATCAGCTATGTTGTCGCCCAGATTCTAGTCTTCCCCATGGGCCGTTTGTGGGAACGCATGCCGCGCTGGCGTGTGCCTCTCGGCAAATATTCCTTTGACGTCAACCCCGGGCGCTTTTCGATCAAAGAGCACGCTCTGATTGCTATTGTCCGTGGAGATGTCCCGTCCTCCTGTCAGGGAAGTGGACAACGAGCTAACTTAGAAGTGTTGTAACATTAGCGTTTCGACGGCCTACGCCTCGGGCTCACTCGTGGCTATCATCAGCGATGAGTATTGGGGCTTAGACTACGGGGCTGGCTTTTCCTTCTTGTATCTTCTCACTTCTCAGTCACTTGGGTATGCTCTTTCCTTTTTCTTTCTTGTCTTCTCCACGGCGTACGTCACGTTTCTATCCCAGCTCACCGCTGACTGTCAAAATAGGTTCGGACTTGCAGGACTTGCACGCCGCTGGCTCGTTTATCCGGCTGCCCTTATCTGGCCGGCGTCCCTACCATCAGCCGTTCTCTTTCGCGCTCTGCACGAGCCGCAGGACAGGTCGGCTGTCAATGGATGGACCGTAGGGCGGTACCGGTTTTTCAGCTACTTCTCCGCTTTCAGCTTCGTTCTGTACTGGATTCCAGATTATATATGGACAAGCACAAGCGCCTTTGACTTTATCACCTGGATTGCGCCGCACAACCAGAAAGTCAATACCATATTTGGGGTAAGATCTCCACGTCTAAATGGAAACGCATTGCAACAGGAGGATTAGCTGACAAAACTAGATGAATTCTGGTCTTGGCCTCTTGCCCTTGAGTATAGACTGGACCCAAATCACGTACGCGGGACAGCCGCTTCAAACACCCTTTTACATCACGTGCAATGCATTTGCTGTTGTCGTACTTTTTTATCTTTTCTTGTCACCTATTCTTTACTACACAAACGTGTGGAACAGCGCATAGTAAGATATCTCGCATCGTTCTATATACACGAGTTCGCCACTGACGTATCCTGCCATCTAGTCTGCCGCTACTCTCCTCTTCGACTTTTGATAACACGGGAAAAGCATACAATATTACGCGTGTTATTAATTCCGACCTTACATTGAACGTTACCAAATACGAAGCGTACTCGCCCATGTACATCACCATGTCCTATTCGCTCTCATACGCACTTTCATTTGCCGCCGTGACGGCCATTGTCGTCCATACGTACCTCTACAATGGCTCGGAAATCTGGGAGAAATGGAAGAACGCCAAGAGTGGCGGAGAAGATGTTCACAGACGCCTTATGTACGCTTACAAGGAGGTTCCGGACTGGTGGTATGGCGTTCTCACGATCGTTGTTTTCGGGCTCGGCATCATGACTATTCGTTACTGGGACACGGGCCTTCCGGTATGGGGCTTCATTGTCGTTTGTGGAGGCTTTGGTTTCTTCCTTATCGTGCCAGAAGGAATTTTGGAGGGGACAACGAACCAACGGATGTAAGCATTTCCCCCAAAGCAATCACAGGTAACCGCTACTCACAACAATCACAGCTTCCTAAACATCATCACCGAGCTTGTCGCTGGATATGCGTGGCCAGGAAAGCCGATTGCCAATATGATGGTCAAGTGCTTTGGGTACAACTCGGTCAAACACGGCATGGATTTTGCCCAGGATCTCAAGCTTGGACAATACATGGTATGTCTCCTACCTGTGATGCCTCAGAAAATTCCTTTTTGTGCTGACGGCACTTAGAAAATCCCTCCTCGACCTCTTTTCTTCGGCCAGATCTACGCCACTATCTTAGCTACGATGGCACAGACAGGTGGTAGGTTTCTTTCTGCATCCATGATGTCAAATTTACAAACCATCGTTTAACAGAAATTTATAGTTCTGCGCTGGATGATCGGCCACATCCCTAATCTTTGCTCTCCAAAGAACACAGACCGGTTCACCTGTGCCGGTGCCAAAGTTGTGTACAGTGCATCTATGATCTGGGGCAGCATTGGTCCACAACGCATGTTCCAACATGGGCAGGTGTATTCGTCCATCATGTACTTCTTTATCATTGGTGTAAGTTCGAAATAAGAACTAGCAGAAAATTTGAGGCTAACAGAGTGCTTCTCTCTACAGCCAGCTGTTACCGTGATCGTGTACATTGCGTACAAGCGCCATCCACACAGCTGGATCAGATACATCAACGTGCCCATTTTCTTCAATGCGGCGGGAAATATTCCGCCTGCGAATACGAGTGAGTAACCCCCTTTCTGAGATAAACTGCTGTTGTGCTCGTAGTGACACTGAATGACAGCACAATACTCGCTGTGGTTCATCTTCGGCTTCATTTTCAACTACCTCATCCGAAAGCGGGCCTTCAACTGGTGGCAGCGCTATAACTGTAAGAAACTGTTATTTTTTATTCTACTTCTGTCTTTGTCGTGATGAATGCTAAGCCATCCCCGGTAGATCTTCTTCAAGCCGCAATGGACACAGGTACGGCCATCGCAACGATAATTATCTACTTTGCACTAGACTACCACCGCACCACGTTCAATTGGTGGGGAAACACGGTGGGTTCCAACACAGATGACGCAAATTCAGTGCCGTGGTTGAAGGTTGCGAAAGGCGGCCATTTCGGCAAGGGCCCTGGTCAGTTCTGAGCACATGCGAGCGGAATATATTCTGATACGAATGTGACTTCTTGTATACTACTTTAGTGGAAACGTTTCTATGAGTTATATAGGCTATTCAGAGACATTCAGTCCCCGTGTCTCTGAATCAAGTTCTGTAGTCACTCCGGGTTCTCTGTCCAAGGCGTGTCGCAGTGACGTAGTGAGCTGCACGGAAAGTCACGTGTACGATGTAAGCGTCGGCGACGAAAATCAGGTTCTTCGGCCCGTGAACGGGCAAAACGGGTAGGGCCAGGGTAGATCCAGTTGCCGTTCTCCGTACTCCGCAGTGGCCGAATAAGGCGAGCATCGGGCACAGGTGTTAACACGATGAATAGAGGCTAACGGTCTGTTCGTGACGGATCGGGGACTCTTTTCCATGACTGGCACTGCAGTCGTTTTAGGCTACTCGACAACAATATAATAAGAACCTAGCTAAGATAATATTGCAACAGAATTCCGCGTGCATCGGAAATGAAGACTTTACTTTGACGGATATTCTGTTATAATCCTTTTGCTGAAGTAGATTAATAGGATAAGATGGGAAGAGGAATCTATATACAAGTTACATATAAACCCAACCTAGACTTGAGTATGATAAATAGAAGCTTATCCGGTATTGTCCAGATATAGGCTTGTCGGAAGGGCTATGAAGAGACAACATTGATTTGAAAAGTCACTCTGCAAAGTCAAAGAAGTCGTGCATGCAAACTACTCGTGCGGTGATGGGCATTTGACGACAATAAAGATTAGTGAGCATAATGCCTCAATATTTCAAGTTCATGAGTCAGCAGAGGCAAGATGGCGGAGTGGTTAACGCGCTGGCCTGCTAAGCCAGTTCCTTCGGGAGCGAGAGTTCGAATCTCTCTCTTGTCGTTTTCTTTTTGCTTTTGCTCCCGATTGACCGTTGCTTCCTACGATCGCGGTTATCATGGAGTTGATACAGCAGTACGGAGTAGCAGTGCCAGCATTTTATTTTCGGAGCTGGAGGCAATATGGAGGTATAGGGGGCATCCCGTCTAAACTGGTCCGGGTGTACTAGACTGCGTCATCGGCTTACCGTTACTTTAAATGGGTTCAAAGTTAGGTCTTCTAACTGTCTCCCATCACTGAGATATATTATTGTATAAACGTCACTACCGAAGTTGTGATGAAATATGTATTCTATTTCGACTTTTCATAAACCACAATCCATAACAACTCGTAAAAGACAGACGGAACTCCTCTCTAGCGTCCACCCGCGGGTCGATCGCCACGACTTTGCAAGTGGGTAAAGCTCCACAGCAGCAGCAGATCGTAGGTGGCCTTCAGCGCGCCGGCGCCGCTCAGCAGGAGGATCCAATGGTGCTTACCGGCCAAGACGCCAGAAACACCGACGCCAGCAGCCTGCATCAGTGTCTTGACCATGTTTACAGCACCCATAACGGCAGTGCGCTCGGCTGGCAGCACTGCAGCGGCGAGAAAGGCTTGGCGCGGGGCTTGGTCCATGCTTTGAGTGCAGGAGCGCAACGCGAGAAATGCCATTGCCAGAGTGGTGCCGCCTCGCTGGGATGGTGACGGGAGTGGCACCATGGCGAGCAGGATGGTGGACGGAAGGTGAGTGAAGACCATTGTGCGCAGAGGGCCCAGACGACGGGCCAGCGGAAGAGCGAGGAGGTTCGAGACGGCGGCGAGAATGCTGGTAACGAGGAAGAGCGTGCCCAACACAGCCGGAGCCAGCGAGTGCACTGTAATGAAGAAATAGGTGATCCAAGAAGCCGAGGCCATACCGGACCCGAAGGAGTCGAGGGCGAAAAGAAGGATGAGGCGACTGAGGATACGGCGAGACTCAGCTGAGATGACAGGGAAGAGCAAGCGGAGTCTCTTGAGAATGGATGGCTTCGGGGGGGAGGAGGCTGCAAGAGCAGGAGAAGACGAAGCTGAAGAAGCAGAAGAGGCAGATACAGCAGCAAAATCGCCCCCTCCTGCACGAGAATCGGCCTCTTCGTTGTCAACTTTTGGCAGAAGGCTAGTGCGCTCTCCAGGTTCCGAGAGAGAATCCACACCCTGGCTTTGGACAGCGTTATTGGCGGAAGGGGAAACTACCGCCTCTTCCTCTTGCTCCTCCAGCTCCACGGCCGGCGACAGGCCCAGCGTCAGCAACAGTTTCAAGACACCGACAGCAGCATACACAAAAAACACAGCGCGGTAAGCGAGCTGAGAACTGCTGCTGCTACCGTCGCCGCGATCCTCCAGCAGTTGCACGAGGCAGCCGCCAGTCAGCGAACCGAGGGCGGCGCCAGCAGTACCAGACAGCGTGTACCAGGCGAAGACATCGCTGCGAAGGGCTGGCTCGGTCAGGTGGGCCAGCACGGACTCCTCGATGGCGCGGAAGGGCCCAATCTCGTTGCCGCTCGGGCTGATGACGCCGACGATGCTTGCCAGCAATAGCACCCAGAACGAGCTGCTGATCGCAAAGACGGCGCCACTGGCAGCCATCAGCATAGCCCCGACGGCCAGGATGCGTCGCCGGCCGACGCGGTCCGTCACCGCTGCCAACAGCACGCTGATGGCCGTGTCGCCCAGCAGCGTCAGCGTCATGAAGAGGCCGATGCGCGCGTCCGCGATGCCGAGGCCAGCCAGCAGCGGCACTAGCACCAGGAAGGAGGCGCCGTACGCAAACAGCCGCACGAAACGCAGCACGATGAGCAGCCACACATCGCTGCTGCAGTGCACCACCGAGGTCAAGCCGCTCTCCGTAGCCAGGCGCGTCAGCCAGGCCGGGGCCATTTTTAAAGGGCGGTGAAGGGCGTAGCACTCCCAGGAGCTGCTTGTCCGTGAGGCGAGCTTTGCAAAAGAAGGAAGAACTGGATGAAAGAGCGTATATTCACTGGCAGATGCACTTGTATGCTGAGGCAGGACCAAGAGGCACTGGCAGCCGTCTTTATACTTGTTTATGGAGCTCGGACATCTCGGCGCTAAGGAGCCAGAATTCCTACAGGGCACATCCACAACTGCAATTGCGCGTAATGTGGAAGGCGCGTGGGTGACGTAATGTCGGCCTTGGCACAGTATTACAGCGACCGGACAGACGGTGTTGAAAAACTACGGCGTTGAGACCCCTACCAGAATCTCGACGACGTCAGACCGCGACAACGTGGTTCGAGAAATATGCGGGGAGTCAGTTGGGTTCCTTTCACCTACGGAGTACATGCAATTTTTGGCATCTCTGAGCCTTTTTTAGCGATTGGATGATCGGAGCTAAAGTCGTGGGCCTCGGGTTTTGCAGAGCATAGTATGACGGCGACATTCCAGAGCCCAATATTCCCTAGGCAGCCTACAATACTCCTTATAATAGGTCCAACTAGCAAAATTTCCCTGGAAGGTAGCATGCCAGAGTGGTTAATGGGTAGGACTTGAAGATCCATATCCTATGGGTTCGCCCGCGCAGGTTCGAACCCTGCTGCTATCGTTTTTTTGCCCCTCTTTTTTTGGTGAGGGGGGACGGGGCGTCTGTTCTCCGGAGTAGATCGCCCATGTTGGGTGCAGCAGATGCAGGAGGTAGCTAGAAGCTGAGTGACGGGGGAGCTTACATTGCTTCGCCTATCGATCCGTACTCTTCTATTTCCCCAGCGTTTTGCGACTGTGCACTTTATCACCAAGTTCGATTCCAATGTCAACTGCGATCAACCTTCTAGATACACCCGATTTGAGATTGTGTCCGGAAAAGACACCAAATTATTGCCAAAAGTGAGCGTCTATCCGGGACCTGGATACTGGATTTTCGGGGTCGGCCCCGTCGTCAGTATCTTACTCTTCGTCGCTGTCTCACATTTTTCATTGATGCCATTCCCGTTGTAGACACCGTCTTCGTTTGAGCTGGCGCTGTGTTCCTAATGTTCTCCTCTCTAAGAAACTTGCGGCTATAGTAGGCGCTGCGTTTTAGTCCACAGTTTCGATTCACCATTGCCGCTATCTTCGTCGTATATAGTCGTAATGGCCCTGTACCTAATCACTCCTATCCGGAGTCGCAGTCTGGTGTCGATTTTTTCGGCTTGGCTGCGAGATGGTTCAGGGTTGTGTCTCTTGCCCAGAAACTCAATTAGTATTTCATTTGTCTTCTCAAATTAGAGTCCTTTGCAGCTCACCATATTGTCACTTGTAGAAAAAAACGCCCTGGACGTGTGATGTTCCTCAATGCAAGCAAAAAAAATACCATGAAAATGATACGATTAATTGAAAGATACTCGTACTAATAAGCAAAAGTTAGATCAAAGGAAAAAACTTATTCATGCACGCATGGCAATTAAGTGTCTAGCCAGGCGTCGCTGCTTCAATAGAGGGCTTAAGATCTCCGTTGCGTGGTTCATGAGAAGCAAGGAGATAATCCACATTTTCGGTAAACATCTGGCCTTGTACCTCGTACAGGCAAGAGGCAATCGCTTGTTTGCAGACTCATTGATACACAGTAGGCTGAAATGGTCCTAACTTCCCGTTTTTATGAAAGGACTGCTGAAACAACAGACAAGATAATAGTTCTGAACAAGAAAATTACAGAAAGAAGAGATAGAAAGTATAACGTTACATGAACAGTTTTATACGCTTCTGGGTTTGCAAATATTATCGAGATAGCATTTGCGGAGAAGTGAACCAAATTACTTTACCTAACACATCATTGATTGAAGAATATCATGGGACCCGGAGAATCCAGCGTCCTGCAGCGTCTCTCCCCCCAGACAATTTCAGTCAAGTGCTTGTCTTTGTAGTGCCGGCCAGTCTCTATGAGTCAGTATCTGTTTAGCGGGTCGGAAGGAGAAGAATAACGTGAAGGAAGTTATGGGGCCAACTCATGGAACAGAGTCCCGCGGCTGTAATCTCTGAACCATGTCCCAGCACAGCATCCACGTAGATCGCTGTTCCGCCGTCGACGGGGCACCCGACAGCAGACGAGAAAGCCGCGGTCACGACAGCGGCGATACCAGGTATGTCCCGAAACAAGCCAGTACCTTTTGTGAGACCATGATCAACTTTGTTAATCATGGGCGTGCCGCCAACAGGAGAGACATGGTCGGCCAGGCGGACAAAAAACATCCGAGACCAGAGCTTTGAAACACTATAGCGCCCAGTCGGGTCAAACGGAGCCAAAACGGGGTTATCAAAGGAGGCCAACAGGCGCCATTGGCTGCGGTTGGGCAGTTTGCACAGATGGCCCATGACGGAACTGACGACGGTCAGCCGGTGGGAAATTTTGAAAGAGCGGATGCAGATGCAGATGTTGAAGTCTGCTGCAGGGTCTTCTTCTTTCAACAACCAGAAGCAAGAGGACGATCAGCAGGCCCGTGAGATTGTGGTTAATTGTATGATCGACTCGTGGCCCGTCGTCGCAGCGGTAGAAACAGGTTATACGGCTGACAAGGTCAATTCAACCGTGGATCTCGTCTTGGCAGCGAAGTGCAAACGCACGGATGGAGTCAGTGAATTTCATGGCGAGGCCTCGGGGTTCTATGACGGCATTTGGGTAATCGCCTTGCAGGCGCTTGGCCGCGACACGGCTGCTGTCGTCAGGCGGGCACACGGTCATGATGAAGTGGGACAGCCAATGTGAGAGCAACTGCCGCGCGGCCTCAAAGCCCAAGCCACTGTTGGCACCCGTATTGACGGCGTACTGGCCGGCCACATTGGGGCAGCTGGCCCCTGTGGGCTCTTCAATCTTGCAGAACTAGTTGCGGAAGACAACGGCGGTAAAGCTGTCTGGCAACGTTGGCTTGTCCTTGGAGGACACATCCTTGGTTGTGCCGCTTTGGTTGCGTGGACGGCGTCCCTTCAACTTTATTAGCTGATCAGGAGATGAAGCAAACGTGGCGACCAAACAGTAACAAACGGCAGGAGCACCGTATACCGGAAAAATAGTATATGCAGGAAGGAGCTGCGTGTCAGGAGCGGCATATCCCAAACACTTGGAATATGAACTGAAATGGAAGAATCGGTATCATCCATCACTGCTCTCTCGTCTCTCTCGTACGTTGTAAAGGAAAGCCTGCAGCCACTGCGCCAAGGTAACGCCAAAATAGTCGGGAAAGGTAGATCACTCTGCCCCATCAAAAGTCCATAACAATATACACGCAAATGGTCCCTGACGATCGCATATGCTTGCGGCTCAATACGGACTGCATTCCATTAACGAATGACCGTCGTAAACCAGTCGTCGGCCGGCCTCGCCCAAGGCAGAATGGCTGGAAGAACGGCCTAATGGGTCTATAACCATGTTTAGGGCCGTCCCAGGCATTGAACGCGACGACCTTGACAAGGTTTCATGCACTGAGATGGAAAGCCTGACAAAGAACCATAGCGATCGAAACTTCGCCCGCTTGGGACTTATCCCCAAGACTTTAGCGTTTACAGGACTTTAGCCATTCCGCTGGTCAATCTGCCAGACGGTTCATCTCGGCCATTCAGTGTAAATGGCGGAAATCAAACGCAAGTCGTCCCTTTGCTTCTCTGCTTCCTGGGCCCTGCTTTCTATCTTCTTGAGCTGCCGTTTTTTGGGCAATCAGAATCGGCTATCAGGTGACTCTACTGTCGTACTCGATTTTTTTCTTTCTCGTCTCCTACTTCTGTGCCCTCCTCCATATTCTCGGCTGTTGTTCTATAGCAGGCCGTTCGCTGCAAAAGATTATGCTGGCTTTTAGGGGAGAACTGGCATAATCCAGCGAGTCGAGGACAAGCCCTTTAGCGTGTAGTAATCTGCCAGTATACACCGCTTACCTAGTGGGGCTGAAGCTCAACCAGCCACACTTCGCCACAGATACTCCCAGCATCACGTGGATAAATCCCCGAGGGGAAGATGAAGAATGCAGAAAGCCAAAGATTGGCAATCACTGTTTACACAGAAATGCCATTCTCACCTTTGTCCTGCCGACTGTCCTCGACCTGCACCGTCCCACAAAAGTGACACAGAGTAGAGCCACATCACACCGCCGCGCGTACTCACTCTATCACGCTGCTCACAACGAAGTATCAAGACGGAATCGTGGTTGCTGCTTTTTGCTGCCCCGCCATTTAGTACGGTCATAGCAGGCCGCGACCGAGTTAGCGCCACTGTTTATTTTTCTGTATTTTTTCTTACAGTAATTTTTTCCAGGCACGGAAAGCAGGCCATGCTCTGAAATCGAGAAACACAAGCGGGCCAGCCAAGAAAAGAAAAGAAAAAGAAAAAAATACAAGCCATCTCGAGCGTCGAGCCAAAACAAGCGTCCAGCGTCCAGCACTCACCGCACAACACCCCCCAACCCACGACCGGCACGACCACGTGGGCAAGCGGAAACGAGGACGCACAGTCGTCAACGAGCGCCAAAAGGTGCAGCGAATCGGTAGGAAACGCCACCCAAGATACAAAATACCGAAAAGGGGGGGTAAATAATAACCAAGCCTGACAAGGTTGAGTGAGGGTTGAGGGACACCGAAACTGGATATAGGAACACCATACAATCTAAGCAAACGTCCCGACGAGTGCCGTGCCATTGCCCGGGCTCACGTCTGCCGCCCATATCATCTACCTGAGTGGTGCATCTGTACATTTCCGAAGCCCTCGTGCGTTTTTCATTCGCCGCTTCGCGGACACAACACTGCGTCTTTGGAATTCCGGGACGGCGTCACGAAACTCCCCGCCATCCAAACTGAAGTCGCCGAGCTCTGCTTCAGCTGTTTCGTCGTCCGCGCGACACATGCATCGACATGGCCCTCGACTTTAATAACATCAAGAGTTGCATCGTTGCAACTCTTGATCCGGATGGCGCTGTCCGGCAGACGGCCGAGGCCCAACTGAAAAGCGTGCGTGCCTCACTATTCCTCTGCCTCTCTGCTCCTCTTGTGCTGTCTGCAGGCCGCTGACCGTGCCTCCTCATCTAGGCCGAGACCCTCAATGGATTTACCGATGTCCTCCTCACCATTCTCGAGACCGAGCACAGCCAAAATATCAAGCTTTCTGGTACGCCCACTTTGCCTCTCTTTGTCCTCCAAGTCCTCGGTTGCCCTCTTTCTTTTCGTCTTCCTCTGCTATCCTCTTTATCTCTTTCTTCGTCCTACAACTCTGTTTACTAATGCAATTCCTCGTCTCTACAGCCGCCATCTACGTAAAGAACCGAGTGAACCGGGCATGGACGTTTGTGGATGTCTACCCCGACGAGCGGCTACTTACCGACGAGGAAAAGGCTCAGGTGCGAGACCGGCTGCTACCCATTCTGGGCGCATCACCAGGCCTTGTCCGACAGCAACTGGTGCCCCTGCTACAACGCATCCTGCATTGGGACTACCCGGCACAATGGCCGACCTACATGGAATACACCATGCGGCTGCTTAGCACGAATGACATCCAAGGCGTCGTGTCCGGCATCCAGTGTCTGCTCGCCGTCTGTCGCACATACCGCTTCAAGGCATCTTCCGGCGTCAGCCGTGACGAGCTTAACAATATTGTCGAGGCATCCTTCCCCCATCTTCTGCTCCTCTGTCAGCAGCTGCTGGACCTCGACAGTGAAGACGCTGGCGAGATGCTGCACCTGGCCTTGAAAATCTACAAGCAGGCTGCCTGGCTGGACCTGCCGGCGCGTCTGAGAGCAGACAACATCGAGTGGTGCACCGTCTTCCTGCGCACCGTTTCGAAGGAACCGCCGGCCTGCTCTATGGCCGAGGACACGGCCGATCGCGAGAAGCACCACTGGTGGAAGGCGAAGAAATGGGCGTACTTCAATCTCAACCGGTTGTTCATGCGGTGAGTTCTGGAGCTTTCTTTTCTCTTTCTCGTTCCTCGTACCTCGTACTGACCCATCTGCAGTCACGGCAACACATACACTGTCACGACGGACAATCGCGACCAGATTGCGTTTGCCAACAACTTCACGGCAACGATTGCACCCGAGATCCTCAAGGTCTACCTGCAGCAGATCGAGCGTTGGGTGGCGAAGCAGATCTGGCTCAGCCGCACATGTCTGTCCTACACCGTCGTCTTCCTCGAGGAGTGCATTCGGCCCAAGGAGATGTGGCCACACCTGCAGCCACACCTGCCGAACCTGCTCACGCACCTGCTGTTCCCCCTGCTCTGCCTGTCGCAGGAGGACGTAACGAGCTTCAGCGACGAGCCGGACGAGTACCTGCACCGCAAGCTGAACTTTTATGAGGAGATCTCATCACCGGATGTTGCCGCCACCAACTTCCTCGTCTGCCTGACTAAGGCTCGGCGCCGACAGGTGTACGAGATCCTCCAGTTCGTCAACAATATCGTGACTGCGTACGAGCAGACGCCGCCGGCCGAGCGGGACTATATCGCCAAGGACGGCGCCCTGCGTCTCATCGGCACGCTGGCGCCGATCCTGCTGGGCAAGAAGAGCCCGATTGCAGAGCAGGTGGAGATGTTCCTGGTTCGCTACGTCCTGCCGGACTTTTCGAGCGACAAGGGCATTCTGCGGGCGCGGGCCTGCGACACGATCGAGAAGTTCGAATCGCTGGACTGGCGCGAGCCGGCGAACCTGTTTACGGTGTACCAGAGCATCATTGACTGCATGAACGACACGGAACTGCCGGTACGGATAACAGCAGCCCTGGCGCTGCAGCCGCTGATCCGACACGACGCCATCCGGGAGCACATGCGGGCCAACATCCCCAGCATCATGAGCCAGTTGCTCAAGCTGGCCAACGAGGCGGACGTGGACGCGCTGGCGAACGTGATGGAAGACTTTGTCGAGGTGTTCTCCAAGGAGCTGACGCCGTTTGCGGTGGCGCTGAGCGAGCAACTGCGCGACACGTACTTGCGCATCATCCGCGAGCTGCTGGACCGGGCCAGCCGACTGGACGACGACGCCGAGGCCAACGACGTGGTGGACGACAAGAGCATCACGGCGCTGGGCGTGCTGCAGACGATCGGCACGCTGATCGTCACGCTGGAGAACATGCCGGACGTGCTGCACCACATTGAGAGCGTGATCATGCCGATCATTCGGGTCACGCTGGAGAACCGGCTGTACGACCTGTTCAATGAGGTCTTTGAGATTGTCGACAGCTGCACCTTCTCGGCCAAGCAGATCTCACCGGTCATGTGGGAGGCCTTTGACCTCTTCCACGCCACCTTCAAGGCCGGTGCCGAGCTGTATCTCGAGGACATGCTGCCGGCCCTCGACAACTTTGTGCAGTTTGGCGCCGAGCACCTGCGCCAGAACCGGGCCCGCGTCGACGCGCTCTACTCCATGGTCAACGGCCTTTTTGCCGACCCGAAGGTTGGGGGCGCCGACCGGGTGTGCTCGTGCCGTCTGGCTGAGGCTATGATGGTCAGCCTGCCGGGCGCCATCGACGACATCGTCTCGCGCTTCATCCGGCTTGCCCTGGCCGCGCTGTCGAGCGGGGTGATCAACGCCGACGGCACCGTCACGCCCAGCAGCGAGTTCCTCTCGACCGGTGCCGCCTCGGCCGTGCACCAGGTCCAGCCGCGCAGCTATCGCGTCCACCTGATGGAGATGATCATCAGCGCCATCTTCTACAACCCGCAGCTGACGCTGGCCGAGCTCGAGGCCACCGGCTGGACGAACCGCTTCTTTACCATGTGGTTCGGCAACATGGACATTTTCACGCGCGTCCACGACAAGAAGCTGTGCATCTCGGCCATCATCACGCTGCTGTGCCTGCCGCCCAGCAATATCCCCCCCAGCGTCTCGGTCGGCTGGCCGCGTCTGCTCAAGGTAAGCCGAAGAGGCCGTCCGTCGTGTCTGTTTGTTCTTGGCTGACGTGCATCCCAGGGTATCACCACCCTCTTCCGCACCCTTCCGGCGGCGATACAAAGTAAGAGTGTATCCCAGACTTGCCCCTACAGCGTGCACATGCACAATACGTGATACTGACCGCACAAAAGACCGTGAGGATGCCCTGAAGGACGACTTCCAGTTCGGCTCCGGAGGCGACGACGAGTGGGACGATCAAGACGAAGGCTGGGTCGAGGAGGAGGCCCCCTTGGAAGAGACCGACCCTAGCATCAAGGACGAGAACACGGCCTACATTGACTTCCTCAGCGAGGAGGCTCAGAAGATCGAGCGTCTGCGCCTGCAGACAGAGCCGGCCGACGAGCTTGGCGAAGAGAGCCTGTTGTTGGAGTCTGCGCTTGACAAGATTGAGCCCTATATGTTGTTCAAGACCACAATTACCCGTACGTTTTTGTTTCTGCTTCTCGCCCTGTTGTCCACGTTCTGACGATTGCAGGTCTGCAACAAGCCGAGCCGCAATACTACCAATCGCTGCTGTCGCATCTGTCGCAGGACGAGCGAGACACGATCGAGACTGTCTTCCAGCAGGCCGACCAGGAGGTCGTGAATGCTCAGTCCCATATGAAGCAAGTAGCAGCCGCGGCCGCGGCTGCGATCACAGCTCAGAACGGCACACAGGGGTCACAGTCGATGAACTCCCCCAGCTAATCCGTCGAGCTATCACGACGTGAACAAGCCGGCGATGCGCGTTCGCCGTGCCCGGCTGACGTCTGGACCATGGGGATGTTCACTTGAATCTTCCTCCACTCTGTCCATCCGTCTTCGGTTGGATATCGAGACACATTTTTTCCATAATCATTTGGGGTACCGCCTGCCGGACACTGATACCAATAGAAATAACTGCACCTACTACTTCTCTGTCGTCGTTACCCGCATGCCAGATGTCACGCAGATGCACGAGGGGGTAGCGGCATACGAAACGTCTACGGTCCTTAGTCGTGGTTCAGAGACTGCTCTGCTTCTCTCTTGGCGCTGCATGCACACACACTCACTGACACCCCCCCTTCCCCGTCTTTCTGCTCCCATCATACACTTTGCACCCTTCCCCCCACATGTCAATCCCCACGCGATAAGATTTTGCATGCATACACCCGAGCGGGAGAGCCGGACGAACTGTTCAGAAACAAAAACTACAAAAATTCTTAAAAAAACACAGAAAATCAACCACCCAACGTCGTCTTTCCAAGGCGGGACGAAGATCAAGACTTGGCGTGCGAAAGCAGGCCCGACCACGTCATGAACGGCGAAGGAGGAAAGCCTTTTAGAGCGAGGAAAACCGGGAACGAGAAGACAAAAAAATATCATACTGCGTTTTAGTACATAGCCAAAAATAATCAAGCCATGACATGCTTACTGGATAGCATAAACGGCGCCAGATATTCCGTAGACGTACTCCGTAGCAGGGCTAAGGGACATGCGCGATAACCTTCTTTCTCCGTTGTCTACATTTTTGCAACCAGCTCGTCTATTTACAACACCGAGGGGGGAAGAGATCTTTGTGCCTCGCCACTGCTGTCTTGGGCCCTTCCATGTACACTTTTGCCCAACACTTTGAATCTTGCCCGCAATCAACCACGACAGTATTGCTCGAAATGTACCCGCTGCTCCGACAGCCATCCAAGTCGACAGAGAGAAGGATGAGTCGGAGAAAGCAGATGGTGGAGAAAGTGAGTAAAAGGGAACAGGTCGTGAAGATGCGTAACGGTCGGTTGCTCAAGGGGTATCGGAGGCCATGTATGGATGGATGACAGGGCGCGGCAATCAGTCGAACTAGAAACCGTAAAGTCAGTATGTGGGTCAAGGATAGGGCGTCCAGACGGAGCTGGCGGTGAGCACGTACCGGCGTGAGGAAGGACTCGGCCACGAAACGGGCGCGTGCGTTAAGCTATCGGTCAGTCGTGGTCCAGCAGTCGGGGACGGCGGGACATGCCGAAAGAGGGGGAGAGGGCAGAGGACGTACAAACAGTTTCATCTCGGAGATTTCCTTGTCGACCTCCTCCATGAACTCGATGACAAAGTCGACCAGCTTGTGCTTCAACAGCTCCTCGGTGTGGAAATTGGTGACGAGGAAGGAGATGTCGTAGCCGTCGACGGGCTTGCGCCGCAGGATGAAGAAGGACTCGGCACGCTGCGTCAGGAAGCGGGTGAACTTGTGCACCAGGATGTGCTCGATCTCGTCCGACTGCTTGATCTTCAGGCTGACCCGCACGCTGTTGACGCTGGCCTCGATCAGCACCCGCTCGTGCTCGTTGCGTGCCACCGTCAGCGGCGCCAGCAGCAGCTCCGGTGACGACCGCGCCTCTATCTCAGGTACGTTGTGCCGCTCCGCCACCTGCGACGCAAAGTTGACCAGGCACATGGCCACCGTCAGGGTGCTGCGCACCGCCTGCAGGTACGGCCGCAGGGATTGTGACTGCGGGGGAGGCGGAAGTGTCAGCAGCGGCAGCAGGCACAACAATAGCAACAGAAGGAAGGCACGCGTGTCCAGCCACCATCTGCTTGGCCGTCTCGTCATCCATCTCCCAGGAGCAACGTACCATGATCTCGTTGGTAGGTAGGAAACAGGCGAGAATAATAAAGCTCAGGGGGCACCCTCTTTCGAGCTGGCAGCGTCCAAGGGTCCTAGCCGGGAATCGCCTGTCGTCGCTCGCTCGGCCAAATCGGGGGAGTTGTGTCGCGGGTGAGGATGCTCGTTGCTCAATGGCCGGTTCGCCTTGCTCTCCTTGATGTCTGTCCGTCTACCTAACAGATCTGGATTACGTTGGCTCGTAACCAGAGGGCTTGGCTGGTCACCAGCCACTGCCCCGCATCCCGTGGGCGTCCACGTGACTTTCCCGATTGGCAGAACTGGCGAGCTACGGAGTACTGTGGGCTTTTTTGTGTGCTAGCAAGAGCCGTTTGTATCTTACTAATAAGAGCTTCGTATGGAGCTTTAGGGCTATTCGACGACATAATGATACTGCAATGAATCTTGAAGCCGTACGAAGTTTTCCTGTATCATATGACACTCTGAAAGCATCGCCCATTAGTCTACCCTGTTCGTTTCTACCACTTTCCTACTACGTCATCCAACACAACAAGTCTGCGGGCAGTGAGACTGTTACGGCGGAGCCTTCATCAACTATTGGCAGCGAAGCATGGCTGGGCACTGGTGAGTATGAGCCCAGCGACGATTTGCATACCCAAGCCACTACATTCTTCTCCGAGACAGCTCAGTAGCTAGCCATCCGTAAAACTTGTAAGCAGAGACTGTGTGGCCTGTACTCCGTAGATTCAGCGACAATCTCTCCATCGGTCAATTCAATCTTTGTCAGGCAAGTCGATTTTGCGGATGGCGTGCAGTGTGTTGGACTGCGTCTTGTAGACGACGGCATATTTGCCTGCTGTGAGCTTTTGTCAAGCAGCTGAATCCGTAGAGATTGAAGTGGATAGCATGGAGAATTTTACGGAAGTTCCCGATATGTAGATGGCTGCAACTATAATCAGCTTGTTTCTCTCATAATATAACCTTCATTCACCAAATGCATAAGGTGAAAACCTCGATGCCCGTTCTAGGCGTCTGTTCTTACGACAATGCCACCACAAAACGCTGGTGGTATGCCCTACATGTCAGAGTACGTTCACGGAAGTGTCGCGTCGGAATGCGATCTGCCAAGTCGTGGAACAAAATCGTTCGGCACCTTAGTCTCTACTACGACGAAACACAGCCGATTTCTACGGCGGGCCGGAGCCACAGACAGGAAAAGGTACCCGAATACGTCTACCAAATAGTACTATGACCTTACCGGCCACCTCTTAAGCTCGGCTCTTAAAAAGCCAGAACTTATGAAAGACCCATCGTTTCCTCTTCCTGCCATCCCGAGCTACCTGGCACGTGTCAATAAAGAGAAGAAGGCCGGCCCATTTGAGCTGACTAATCGGGATCTTAACGCTCGCAACATTCTTGTTCATGACAGTTTTCCCACTGTCGGAGTCATAGATCTTGACGGCGTTACAGCGACGCCTTTTCGAAGTAGTTGTGCGATAGCAATCTCTCATATCTCTTGCTGTCGATCCTACCTGTGTCTAGAATAAGCGGGATATGAAGGCATATGCCGTGTATGTGCTATGCGGCGCAGGGCGCTATTTAGTAGGGAATTTCATGTAGCTTTAAAGTACTAAAACAGCGTACTTACTGAGCACCTATAAACATCAGTTCCATAGCTAACAGAATAATATTTTTTACGTTATAAATTTGCGAATTATTAGTTATATATATAACATGTGCATTGAAAACAAATTCTGTTTTCTTTCTAGTGTAAGGGGTGACTGTCGTTTGCCATAGTGCCTGTTTGCTTGCTTCTTCGCAACATCTTCGGAGAATAACGTATTTTGAGTTTCTTACATAACTGAAGAGACAATTCAATATGTTAACTTTTACAATATTTAAAACTTCGCTACTTATAATACCGATCGAAGATGCCGCTCACTGCAGGATACGGTAAAAAGCAGAGGGAAGGACTTTATACCATGCATCTAGGATGGATGGTCTATCAACTTATGGTGGCTATCGTACGACGTTGCCCAATTATTTACTTATTGTTGCACGTGACCTTATGGGTCACTGTGCAGACTTTTCACTGCCGCAGTGCATCCACTAGCTTTAGCTTTCTTTCAGAAAATCCCATGCTTTTCTTCCATAAGGTTATGAGCCCTCTTAATCCGCATTTCCATCAAAAGCTGTCAAGGTTAAAGGAGGCTATACGTAGCGGTCATATAACGTGATGCACTGTAAGGAGCAGGAGGCTGAATAGGGTCTAGTGTGGGCGAAAGAGTGTTGTGTACTAAGGAAGAAATAGATACATCGCGACCCTTCTGGGGATCCGTATTAATACTAGTGTCAGGCCCCGCTTTTGTGCCTTCTGACCAATTACAGGCCCGTACGGCCAAGTGGGGCGGAAGGGCCACAGTGTGGCGGATTCTAATGCTTGACACTCCCCCTGAATACGCCACGTAGGCGCACCGCGATGCACTGAAATCATCCTCGGCAGCCCTTTTCACGGCTGCCAGCCCATCAAGCGAGGCAACAGCCTCTTGAACGCTGCCTTAGGCAGCGCCTTCGTTATGATATTAGCGATCTGATCCTCAGACTTTACGTACCGTACCGTTAACAAGCCGCCTAGTACGCTTTCACGAAAGTAGTGCTACTTAACGTCGAAGTGCTTTGAACGCTCTTTGAATTCAGGCTTCTTCGTGATGCTGATCGCGGAGGTGTTGTCCACGAACATCTGGATGTCGGCTTGGAGGCCTATTTCGAGCATGAATTGCTTGATCTAGCGGGCCTGCGTTGTTGCGTAGTAGGCGGCGCCGTATTCAGCTTCACAGGTGGAGGTGCTGACGGTCGGGAGCTTCTTGGCTCTCTAAGAGACCGGCCCTCCTGAAATCCTGAAGACGAAGCCGTACGTGGAGTGACGATTAACTGGATCGTCGGCCTAGGACGCATTAACCCACTCTTTAACGCAAATGTGCCCCTTTGGAGGGGGCTTCTGACGGCGGTAGACTATCGCGTAGTCCTCCTTGCCTCGCAGGTAGCGAAGCGATTGCTTGGCTGACTTAGCATGCGTTTCCCTGGGTGATTTTATCACCTTTAAGTGCTGGTGTACAGTGAAGGAGATGTTTAGTCTCGTCATTACACTAGCGTAGATTAGCTTGCCGTTTACGTGCTAATATCGAAAGCTGTCTGCCAAGGGCTTATGCTTGTTAGGAGTCACTAGACTGGTAATCAGGGTTGCAATAGGGTGCGATTCGTTTATGCCCTTGTATTTAAAAAGGTTGCGAATGTACGCCGACTAGGAGAGGCTGATCTAAGTACCCCTCTTTGTGGTAGTAATCTTAATCTTAACGCCTAGTAACCATTTAGGCGTTAGTGTTATTTTTGTCTTTAGTAATTAACGCATACTAAGTTTAAATAAAGCGACGTTAGTTTTAGCTTCTTTATAAAGAGCATTGTTAACGTGCATTACTATAGTTACGCTTTTGCTATAATACGTAGTAAGGTTTGTTATAAAAGGCTTAAGCCTTGCTAATACTATAGTTTTACGCAGCTTTTTTTGCTAGACGTAGCTAGCTTACTTTAAGCTGTATAACGCTTATTATAGCTAAATAATGCAATTTAGCGCCTAGTTAAGCTAGTATGCTATTTTAAGTTTTTGTTTAAAGTACTACTAAAACAGCTTTTTTTATTCTATAAAGATATCTTTATCTAGCAGTCTATATAAGTAGGTAGCGATTATATTAAATTAATATAAGGTTTAGTTAAACTAGATAGCTAGTGCTATAAGCATACGCTAAGAGTTTAATTAAAAAGTTAATGCAAAGGTTTTATTATAGTTAAGGCCTTGCCTTTGCTAAAAGCTTTTAGTTACTAGCTTTACCTTTTTCTTTATCTTTTCTTAATTTAGTCTTTGCTTTTGCTATAGTACTTACCTACTAGTAATCGTCTTCTTACTTTTTAATTAGTCTATAAACTTAAAGATGCCTTTTACAATTAAGCTATTTATCTTTTTAAATATAGCCTTACGCTATTAATCTAACTTGCTTTTTAATAGCGCCTCTTTTATAGTTAGCTTATCTTTTTTTATATTATATATACTTAGTGCGCGCTATATAAAGTTTACGCTGCCTACTTTTATTAGATTATACGCAGCCTAAGGCAGTACTATACATTTATAAATAAAAGTTAGATCTAAGATTATAACAATCTCTTAAGGTTAATTTAAAATGTTAGCTTAGTCTTGTAAAGGCTTCTTAAAGTCTTCTAGATTAAAGATATTATCTAAATCTTTGTTTAAATTAAGCTCCTCCTTAACGTTAAAGTTAGGTTCTAAGATAAAAACATTATAGTCTTACGTTTTCTAATCGATTGTTACCTTCTTAATGCAGCGCTAGACTCTCTTAGGCTAGGATTTAATTAAATCTACGTCTTCTACAATTTCTTTAAATATATACACGTCTTTTATAACAACAAGCTTACTATAGAGAATAGCTTAACACCTATATAGGTAAGTCTCTTTAAAGCCTATAAGCATAGCCTCTTTGCCTTATAGTTTAAGCTTTAAATCGCCTGCCTTTTAGATAACTTATTTAGGTTTTTAAATTATAGCTTTAAAGCTAATTGTACACAAGTAAAAGACGTTTAGTATAAAGTTTTCGTCCTTTTTTCGACTATTGTTATGTTGCTACTAGACAATTAGCACCTCTCTTTTAAAGTTAGCTATATAGTTTTAAATATAGGTTACTAACTTGCAAACTTCTAGCTAGAGCATAGGGGGAATATAACCTTAGAGATAAAGTAGTCTAGTATAAATAATAACTTTCTTAACTACCCTTTTAGCTTTTTTGTTCTTAGTTAAGTTATATAAAGGGCTAGGGATTACCTTAATGCCTTTTAGCATATAGTAGCGCTTAATAGCTGTAATAGCGATGTTTATGCTATTGTTAAGGTAAATTTAAATAAGCTTATAGCCTAGTTTATTTGCGTTTCTTTTAAGCTGTAAGGGTA